ATCATGCTCTCCGTAACCCATGTTTTCCGTTAACTGTCGCATGACTGCCACTGCCCCTTGACGACCCAATCGTATGCTGTACTCGTAGACAATGGGTTTGCTATTCCCATTGAAAGCCAGTCCCCGTCCCGCTCGTATCTCGCCGCGCCATCATTACCAACACACCCATGAGTTTAACCTTGTACCTGCGCTAGAAGTAGATAAGCCCTAACCTTTTTGCCTAAGACTATGCCTCAGGAACATGATTCCAAGATTCACTTTTCATTTTTTATTAACACGACTTTTCAACAAATCACGATAGTCACTCCGTACTCCGTTCCACCCGCTTTTGTATAGGTATCTGTCGTTGTTTTGAACCGCTGCTTCCATCTGAATTCCCATGTCAAACATCCACTATGTAGTAGTCAGCGCTATTGGTTCTGAGCATTTATTGACGGTCGGGGTTTTTGATCACATTCGGCAGAATAGGGCTTTCGCCTTCTCAGGACACAATGCCCACAGTCTGCAGGGTTCGTCTCTCGGGAACTTCGAGTGGCCTCGTAGACTAGAGTATGTCGGTCTGTAGTCAGTACATCAGCACTAGAGGATATCTTTATGGGGGTGGACAGCCCGTAAAGGGGGATGATCACCTGGAGCCCGACGCCGGTCACTATCCTCCTTAGACTGTTCTTCAGTACTCGCGTGCTCCAGACCAGAAGCCGGATCACGGTTCTGCGAGCTAGTCACAGGGTCGTCCTTCCCATAATCAAAGATTTTAGCACAAGCGATGCATATCTTGTTAATCAAAGTAGCCATCGCAATAGTATCGTTTATTTCGTCGGAAACGAGATGGTTGAGAGGACTGGAAATGTGTAGCAGGCAAAGTACCTCGTTGTCGAGGACTCGTCAAGCAATTTATAGCTCCCTGGTCGACTTGACTAACTAGTTCGAGCATTATGTGGACTGTCAGAAACGTGCATACAGGGCAATATGTGGCCTCTTCTTTTACGGCGGTAAAGGAGCATCCTATGTACACAGATCAAATGGCCGTCGAATTGATAGACAGTAGCCATTCACATTCAGGGCTAGCGCTTCCTAAGAGAGCACGCACTGGGGCTTAAACGGCCACGAGTGAGGTGTCTATCAAGGCAGGGGAGATGCAGCAGTCGTATATCATCGCATATAGATCACTCTAGATTGGGATTGTGCTCCATAAGTGGCGGGCGGGCTTGCAGGACGAGATTCTTTGATTATAATATTGTAGTGGGATTCGATACGCAGCGTACGTCCGTACCATACCGAGCTCTATTCCAAAGCGCTTAAGTTGAGTTTATACCCCCCCAGTACGTGGCGATCGTGGTTATTACTCTTCTTCTGGACATGCGCTCAGGCCCATTTCGGGTTCGTAAGTCCGCGGCCAGGCTGCAGATTCGTACTGACTAGGTCGGTAAATCCTCATGGGGGATTCCTTTTTCGTCCCCGTTGGAGGGCTTAGCAGTGTATTAGGAAAAAGGGGAGTGTCGTAACTCGGTACCCCCGTGGTGCGATTTCAGTATACCTTGCTGGCCTATAGGCTGTTTGGAATTTGGCAAGTATCTCAGATGGCCCGGCTCGACGGGGCCATGATTCCTTGATCTTCCCTCGGTTTCCCCGGATATCATAGATTAGGATTTGCGGACCTGCCCTATCGCCCGGGAGATTTCTCTAGTGGAGACCCTAGTGACTTAGTGTGCATCGTCACTTAGTTCAGCTGACGGGATTAATTTTACCAAGCCCTAATTTGGGAATGGTGGCACCTTTTTGGCACCTTTTTGGCACCATGCTGGCACAATGCTGGCACTATACTGCAGAATGGTGACAAAATCCCGGTATATTGCACTAAATAGCCTCGTTTCATCCTTTCTTTGTTCCATTCAGAATTAGTCTCTACCTTTTCTCTTCGCATATTAGAACTAAACCTGCTTTCTCGGCATATCGAGTTCACTGCCGGAAGAGGTAATGGCTGCCTTCCGCATAACCAAGCCCGAAGGAAACCAACGGGAAAATCCAGACCCCTGGACTCCGTAGAACCCGCGAATAAGCGACTCCGTGGTACGCATTCTACATGGTAAGTGTAGGCAATGAAGTGGTCGCACGCCTTCATTCGGCGCTTGTTGAAACTTGGTGTTTCCGACCCCCAATCACCATTTCCAACCTTCGGGTTTTGGTGTTGGAGATTTTCTTTGCTATTTTTCCTCCATTATCATCATCATCATCATCATCATCTGTTCCAACTACTTTTGGAGGTCACCGCGGAGTAGAGCCGGAATACGTTATCGAGACAGGGTCATAATCAAGGAAATGGGGGAATACTTCATCGCTACCGCATGTGCGGAGCATATGTATAGAAGGGCGAGGATATTAAATGCGAACTTGCGGGAGACTACCATCAGTCCAATATCTAATCACCAGTGAAACGATCTCTCTACTAGACATCTTCCTCTGAAACCTCAGGGAGTTTTGGTAAATCAAGTTCCGGAATTTAGAACGACCTTGAAACTAACAACATGCTCTATCCACAGTCGACAACCCTTCCCTAAATATCCTGCGAACCATCAATCTCTCAAATTCTACTCTTAAATGAACTGGTATACCGCAACGCCTTTCTCCATTCCAGCAGGCTAAATATGTGATGACAATGACGCCTTGAGCAAAAGTAAAACCAAGCCTGAATACCGATGATAACACAATACCCGCTAATCGCATAACAATGCATCACTCCGCGATTCTTTGAAAAAGTGGCAAAGGGTATACTTATTGCTGAGGAGCTCGAGGTGGTGGCTGCTGTTGTTGTGGCTGAACTGGTGCGCTATCTGCCATTCGAGGCCGCTTGGGGTCATTCGGACCAGCAGGTGGAGGTGCAGTGGTGGAGTTCGTGCCAGGTGAAGTACTGGCATTGGTAACGTCGCTCAAGGGTGGACGTTTGCCGTTCAAATTTTGCGGCGGAACACTAGCCCCTCGAGTCACTGGGCCTGAGTGGGTAGCGTTCTTCGGATCGATACTTGGGCGGGTCAGAGGTTTAAAGGACGAAACGGTCGGGCCTCGAGATAATGGGCTGCCGAAACCGTTTGTAGGAGCTCCTGCACCGCTAGCTCGGTGCTGCAGACTGGTTGCAGGGTTGGTCAAGTCGCGCGAGCGTCCTTTCTCTGGGGCAGGTGAAACGCCGTTGCCGCTTCTTATTACCGCAACCGTCTTTGTATGATCGATTCCTGCGGTTTTGCGGATAGATGGGCTCTCTGCATGAGGGTCGAACTGTGATCCAGGTACTGGGGCTGCGTTGGGATTATCACGCAGCTGATCGGCTGCCCGGGCGGAGAAAAACCCCACTGCTTGAGGCGGCGGAGGCTGGTTCGAGTTGTCTTGATTGAATGCTGGGCCGGGCTCTCTCTTGATCGGAGGTTGTGCGTTGGCATTCGGCATCGGTTGAGGTGGAACCGTCGGTCTGGCATTGGGCATGTTATGTGGCTGACCCGGCGCGGCCATCGGTCGTCTTTGATCGATCGCAGAAGATGGGTTCTGTCGCGCGTTCGGTGGCAATGATTGTCTTGCAGCGGGGTTGTTTGTGCTGATCCATCTTTCAGGTTTCGAAGGGGTCACGGCATTAGAGTCAAATCGACCCGGGGGTGGTGCTCGTTGAGGGAATGGGCGGTTCATGGGAGTCGGTGGTTGTTGGAGCTGATCTGTCTCTATCACAATCTCATCGGGGTTGCCCGTATTGGTCACCACGAAGTCGGCTTCGTCAAAAAGATCGCCTATCTTTTGTCAGCAAGTCTCAAGGCAAGATTAGACGGTCAAACATACTACCAAATTCGCCATCACCATCAAATGCATTAGTATGACTGGGAGCACTGCTTCTTGAAGGCTCCGCTGGGCGTGGCAAGGGCAAGTCATCATCCTCTATTATTCTGTTATTGGGCGCTGGTTCTTTTTTGATGGGTGCGAAATCCGGATGACGATGGAGGTCATTAACATCCCATCGGGCCTGTCCAAGAATTAGCAGGAACGAGACTTCGTCAGGACACGGACGAAACACTCACGGGTGCAGTCTTTATCTTGGTGACCTTAGAGAGGTAGTCTTTGTCATAAACACAATTACCCAAAACATTTCCGAAGTTCCTTAGGGCACGTTTCAATGCATCTGTTGTCCCTTCTTTCTTGGACTTCTCGAATGCGGCTGCTTTGCCCTTGCAATTCTCGATGTGACCGTAACCAATATCCTGACAATCCCATCAGCTGGTGTTTGCAAAATATTTTTGTATGAGGGGGGGGGGATTCTTGTACCTCATGAAATGACCCATCTTTGAGCGTAACCCTCACGATAACCGATAACCCAAGATTGACCTTTCCCGTGTTTTCATTCTCGTCGACCTAATCGAAGAAGTCAGTCTTTGAATTAACCACAATCAACCACGGGACAACAGACAAAATCAATATCAACCCTCTGGATGGAACTGGACCAGCCATTAAACCCAAAGACTTCGTTTGCGAGATTAATGCATTTATCCGCCGAGAGATAGTGCACTTTCTGGCCCGCAGCACCAGGTCGCGCGGAGATGTATTCGGGTCCGAGTTTCCTATCCAGTCGTGCTTGGAGGGTGGCAATTTGCATCGCCGTGTACTCGCTCATCCGGCGTTCGGGTTCCTCGAAGGGATTCGTAATGACGGGGCCTGCTCCATTGGGCATCTTGATGGCGGTGGGTCCGCCGCGATGTTGGTCGCCGACACTGGGAGATACACGATTTGTTAAGAAAATCCTTGGGGTGACAAATTTTGGGAATTGGAACTCGATACTCACGCTGGCATATTTTGTGGGTGTTGTCGTGTGTTTGGATGTTGGTGATGGAGACGTGTGCGGCGCGTCTCACTCGTCGCGCAATCAATCGCGATATCACGTGCTGATAGCTCTTGATAAGCTAGGCAGCCGGCTGGCAACAGCAGAGTTGGGGTTATTTTACAGTATTTGATGGGCACAGATGATTTATGTTGGGTGTCTATCAGAGGATGTAGTCTCTCAATCTCTCTAGTAAGGCTTGGCTTGCTTCTTATTCCTATGCAATGCTCAACATGCTCAGCTACCTCATAATTCATTTAACAAGTGATATGTGCGCCAAATTCCTCAGTAGAACTGCGAGCACGCTATTGGATAATGAGACTAGCGCTAGGCACAAGACCAAGCTCCTTCAACGTCTCCCCGAAGAACTCAGCATCGAAAACTTTCCTGGGGAAATTTTGGGAGAAGCTCTGAACCTCAAGGCCGTCCTCTTGCTTAAGGGCCTCGACAACCTCGAATAGAGTCGTAGTAACGGGCAGAGTCTTCATGATATTGCCCTTGGGAGTCTGGAAGCGGAGACGGGTCTCGGTATATGCAGAGGCAGGCTTGGATGCAACAGGGGCAGGAGCAGCGGGCGCCGCGGCGGCGACAGGAGCTTGAGGAACGGCCACACCTGCACGTTCAGCACGTTCACGCTCAGCCTTTCGACGACGTTCTTCCTTGTCGGCTTCAATCTGAGCTTTAACGCGCGCCAGGTGTGCCCTTTCATCCAATTTCTCCTGTCGCTTCTTCGCTTCCTCCTTTTGTCTCTGCTTCTTCTCCAGTGCCTCCTTCGCTTCCTGATTCTCCTGGGTGTTCTTGCGACGGATGTTCTATCCAATCGGTCAGCCAGCCCACCAATCCTCTAATATAACACATACCTCATTCTGGCGCTGCTCAATCTTGTCCTGTTCAGCTTGCGCTGCTCGCTTAGTCGCGAGCTTCTGCCTCAACTCCTCCAACCGTTCCTTCTTCTGCTCTTCGGTCAAGGGTGCAAGTTCTTCGGTGGACTCGGAGAAGTCGGTGTGCTCGGTCTTGGAGGCGTGGAACTCTGCCTGCGCCTGGCTTCGGAATTTCTTGCCACATTCATTGCAGACCAAGCTGCGGGCTTCCTCACCAGGCTTCAGAGCAGGTGCCTCCTCGTCCTCGGCTTCTTGCGATGCTTGGATCTCTTCCAAGGACTTGTCCTGATTGTCCTCTAGCCATTCGAGCGCCCCTTGCACTATCCACACTGTTAGGAATGACGCAATGAACGTTCGCGAGGCATGAGAACTTACGATTACCAGTCTTGTTGACTGCCAGTTGCGCCCTCTCCTTGTCAAAGCCCATTTCGATGAGCTGGTCCAGATCAGAAGCCATGTTTTGTGGTGCTGATGACAACGGCGCGGGGAAGGATGGTGTGATCGAAAGGTGGCTGCCCTGAAGCTCTGGAAAATGCACAAATATCGTGGGATACCCAGAAGGATGATGGTGATGGTTCGATTGATCAAGGGAAAGAAAATGTGGTGTTCAAATCCGGCAGTGGTGGATGAGAGACTGATGGTGGTGTGGATACGAGCTGGAGCTTCTGGGTGACGTATCGCGAAGGCGGCGAGCGACTGTGCGGGCCTGCTCCGCACTCATTCCCGCCTGCGCAACTGAGCCACCTTGCATCATGGAGGGATCTCATAGATCCAGCTAGGATAGAGCAATGTAATTAAATTACACATGAATTCAAACACGAATATATACACCGGTCAATCCTTTATGGGTCTATAAAACTCTGTAACAACCTTAGTCGTCGGTGATGGTGATATATTTCCATTAGCTTTAGCATTCGGAGCTAGCATCGTGCTGTAATGCTTGCCCTGCCGAGCAGTTGAGTTTAAATAGGGTCCATGGTTTGCATTGAATCTGGTACTCATAAAGCCGGGGTCTGGAGATGGATCATGCCGGCAGTACTAAGTCTCTGTCAGCAGCATGTGCTACTCCGATACTAGTAAATGGGACGGACAGTATGACTTAGTAGCCGTACTGGAGCCATCCTCGACATAGAGGGCTATGGCTTTGAAGGTGGCCAATGCTCAAGGAAGATATTAATCTTGCCCACTACGATTCAGTAATTTTAAGATATACCATTGGAGCTCGATTGATCTTGTGGGAACTACGGAGTATGCACTCCGTCGATTGTTAATCGGAACGTCCCCACAACTGATAACATCACATGCAGTGATCACACTGGATTGGCTTCCTTGCATCCCGAGGATGGAGAATTTTGCACACCGAGGCAGTGCCACATATGCCGGGGTGCAGTATACTGTTTCTAATTTCAGACTACCCCATGAGGAAAGGGTTGAGACTATGTAGATCGAAATAAACGTCGTCTTTGTTAGGATATGGTGACATCACCTGACTGCTGAGTCAGCGATATCACCAAACAGGACAATAATCAACTCCTGAGGCGCAGACTCCCTTGACCAGATAGCCCTCCCCTCACTTTTCCGAAACCACAATCGCAACCTCGTCGCGGCAACCTCTGATCCCGTGGCATACCTTGCTTGACTCTTCTTCCCTCTCTCCACGCCCTCACGATCACCATGTCTATCGAACTCGATCCCCCCGAGCTTGGCTTTAAGCGTGAGTGCCCGATAATTGGCAACCTAGCTCGGCGCAAGACACTGACTGGTTTTTTGAGATGCATAGGGCCTTTCAACCAGGAAGTATGCCAGATTCTTCACCTGCATAATCCCACCCAGGAGCCTCTGGTCTTCAAGGTACGTCGAAACACTTTGATATAGTATTGGTCAGACACGGCCCGCGGCTAACACGGATCTCTTTTGTTGTGCGACAGGTCAAGACCACTGCCCCAAAGCAGTATGTTCTATTCGCTACCTACCGCATACAAGTTTATGAGCGTTCCGGTTACTGACGTGCGCCAGCTACTGCGTTCGCCCCAACTCCGGTCGTATCGAGCCAGGCAAGCAAGTTGATGTCCAAGGTTCGAGATCCGTCTCCGACAAGCGCCAAGAGCTATGAAACTGACCTGATCGAATGAATAGTCCTGCTGCAAGCTATGAAGGAAGAACCGGCTGCAGATCAGAAGTGCAAGGACAAGTTCCTGGTCCAGTCCGTTGCGGTCACCGGCGGTGATATGGAATATTCGAACGTTACCTCCATCGTACGTTATCTTCGGGATCGGGAAACATGGGAGGTTTGACTGATGAGTTGAAAACAGTTTGAGAAGGCGGCCAAGTCTGCGGTCATTGAGCGCAAGATCCGCGTGAACTGGCTACCAGCCGATTCGGGTTTGTCGCAACAGTCGCAGGCTAACGACTCGGTAAGTTGCTCTGCACGTATCCTACCTTGCGCGCGTCCCCTAACCATCATCTAGGTATTGGAGGAGGAACCCCCTGCATACACTTCCCCCGGTGGTAACTACGAGACCCCTGCCGTCGGTCTTGCGAAAAAGAGCTCCGTCGATCAACCATCTCCCATCCCCGCCCCCAATTTCTCCGAGAAGTCCACCCAGCCCGAGTCCACCCCGCCCACCGAGTCCAGCGCCTCCTTTTCCAACGCCAAGGCCGCCGTGGCCAGCGCCTTCCCCTCCAGTGATGAATTGAAGAGCCAGCTTGCGGACGCTAACGCACAGATCCAACGGCTCAAGGACCGGCTCGCAGATGAGGGCTTGCGCCAGCGAAAGACTGGCGGCGAGGCGCCGGCCGCCCCTACAACGATGCAGCAGTCACACGGACAGACCGATTCTGGAGTCTCCGTTCAAGTCGTTGCCGGGCTGTGCCTAATCAGCTTTTTGATCGCCTACTTCTTCTTTTAGACTCGTTGCGTGGATGGACCATGCCCACGTGGTGTCCATTGTGTTTACGAACCCGATCACGTCTCAACGCCTTTCTCCCGCTTATTTAACCCCCCCGAGCCTCCTCTACTTTTCCCGTATCTCTCGAAGAGTCTGCCGTTTTGATTCCAGCATCAGCCCTCCTGTCCTGTGTCTTCCTTTCCCTTGGTTCCCTTTCCTTTCCTCTCACCCGGTATCCATACCTCTCTTGTTCTTTTACCCGGTCTCGTGTGCGGCGCTCGACGAGTTCGAAGCCCCTTGGTCCCATTCAGTTCTGCCCCCCTGGCTTTTTCCTTACATTTTCTCTCTTGTCTAATATCTTATGATGAACGGACTAAGTGCTTCGATTCTCTCTTGTGTCATAATAAACGATAATCGAACCTTGGAAGATAATCCAAATCGTTGCTTCCATCAGTATGCTCGGATAGTAATTCTCTTAGTAAAGGAGGATTTTTCACACCGATGAAGGCCGTAAACACAGTTGTGTCTTTAGCCCGGTTACTTCGATATAAATTCACGACAACCTTCTCCACCAGTCGAACATCATGTCTTTTAGCTCAGTTTCCCACTACGAACCATACAAACTCGACAAGGGTCTCAAAACAATTCACAATTTGGAAAATTAACAAAAAAACCCCATTTTGATTCGAGTCTATTGTCACAAAATCTCATCCTGAGACCCGGTTTGAAAAACACGCATTTAGCTAACACTGAATCTCGCTCTCTTTCCACCCATCACCCTCCTCACCAGCCGGACCCGCCGACTCAGCTGAGATACCTTCACCACCACGTCCATTCGACGCTTTCCCAGAACCCCCACCCCCAACAACACGTCCACCTTGAGCACGCTTCACCCGACACCACGGACCAACGTTCTTATCCAGGATAAACGTCCAAATAACCCAAACCCAGCTCCGATGGCATGGCAGAGGTTCATAAAACTCCTTCGCAATCTCATGCAACTTATGCAATTTCGTCCAGGGGATAGCAGGGAAATCATGATGCTCGTTGTGCAAGCCCACGTTATACGTCAGAATATTCAACGGGCCGTAATACGAGTACGTCTCCGGCGGGGCGAGGCCGCTCAGAGGATGCGAGGCATCGACTTTAGCACCGGGCTTTTGCTTGAGTTGAGCGAGGGACTCCGTGCCGCCCGTTTTCACGTTTGAGAAGAAGTAGTGCTCGGCGATGAAGTGGCCTGCGCAGGGGTGTAGGGATCCGGCTAGGAAAGAGCTTGCGATGAAGTAGTAGAATGGTTGGAGGGAGCCGGTGAAGCGGGTGAGGGCGTAGTCGAAGGATAATTGGACGGTGAGGTTGAGGAGGTGGATTGAGGTGAAGGGTGGGCTGTAGATGAACATTGGGCGGACGGCGTAGAAGAGGATTTGGAAGGTGCAGAAGAATGTTTTGCCGAGGAGGGAGTTCAGGAAGAAGGCTTCGAGGGCGGTTGGAAGGTCAGTGTCTAGACCGGTTACGCCGAGGGATTTGTGGTGGGTGAGGTGGTAGGGCTGTTGTTGGGTTGTATGTTAGTATCAATGTTCGTTGTGAATGTCTCGGGGTAAGGAGGATGCTCACCCGGAAAGCAGCACTGTATGGTAGTCCGATAGGGAGGTTTGCGAAGATGGCTAGCACCCGGTTGGCCAGGGGTGACCGGAAGGCCAAGTTGTGGGAGATTTCATGAATAGCGAGGAACAGGTTCTGGTTCGCCGTAGCTCCAACCACGTATGCCGTAGCCAGGAACCGCCAGTCAAGGATGGAGGTATTGCGGAGGAGATACGCGCATGTCAATTGAATGGACACAACGAGGAGAACGACCCATTTCGTCAATGGCTCAGGACCGCACAGTTTGGTGACCTGAAAGTCAAAGTAGAGGTTAGCAATTGCGGTTCAGGAACGGTGGCAAGGTACCAGGGAAACAATGTTGCTACCTCCGCTCTCGCTGGCTAGAAGACTCTCCAGCCACGGGTTAGGGGTCTCAGACGATCCTGATAAACATTGACATACCTCTGGATGAGCCTTGATAATTGCCTGTCGCCTTGAACGGTGTGGCTCTTCTGTGTATGTCCAAAAGAAGTGGTCCTCGACCGAGGCGGTCTCCGGCGGCGTGATTCTGGTGGAGGGGGCTTCTGTGGCCGGTGCGGACGACGCCTTGGCTGCGGACACTCGAAGGTGCGGCGAGGCGGTTTCGACGACCGAAGGCATGATTAACTAGTGTTAACGAGGGTGAACGAGAGTGATGGACGAGGAATGTCGACATGGAGGAAATGCGCGGCCTAGAAAAGGCGGAAGACACTCCACGTGGGGCGACACGGGAGGTTTAGATGGTCCGATGGGGCTTGGCTTGGTTGTTACACACTTCAGGGGCGATAAGGGTTACGGTGCCATCGTACGACATGGTAACATCTAGAAAGGGAAATGTAGTGTATTGATGGTGGGAAAGAGAAGTAAGAATTTGATCTTAAAATTCTATTTACAAATTGAAATCTAGTAAATAACAAAGCGAACTAATATAACTCTGTAAATAATACGTTATCGATAGCGATCCCATGCGGGCTCGGGGACTATACAACACCACCACTGGGTCCAATTATACCCTCCGTCTTGAAGATTCTCTATTCTAAGTAACACGAACCATATGTCTCCTCAATTAAAAACTTAATTGGAAAGATTCATATATATCGGCCCTCGAAATGACAACAGCTGATGAGAATCGGTCCGGCGAAGAATGGAGTGAATTACTATCAAGAGCACATTTTAAAACCGCAACTTCACGATTTGACTTGTATCTGCTGCTTATTGCTTTGAGAGATCTAAAAGAGATGATAGTATGAGAGGTTACATAAGCGAATCGGCCTCCGAAATCCAGGCGAAACTCGGGTGATTGGCACCGTCTATTGCAGACGTACAGTAGGAATGCTTCACCTTCGGTTTAGAAGAGTCAAGAACTCTTCTCTAGTCCGTGCATCAGATCGCATGCATCCAAGCATGCAGCTGGTGGTTGTCGTGCTGGTAACCTTTTCTACCCCACGCATCGCCATGCAAAGATGCGAGGACTCCATAACAACCCCAACACCCTGCGGTTTCAGAATCTCAGAGATCGAAAGAGCAATCTGCCTGGTCAGGCGCTCTTGGACTTGGAGTCTGCGTGAGAATATCTCAGCCAGTCGGGCAAGTTTGGAAAGACCAATCACCCGGCCATTGGGAATGTAGCCAATATGTATCTGCCTCATCTTGTCAATATCGTACACTAGAGATGCGTTGAAGGACTATACCTTTCCAGTGAAGGGAATCATGTGATGCTCACAGAGGGAAGAAACATCAATGTCCTTCACAATGACCAATTCATCGTAATTCTCATGGAAAATAGCCCCATTGAGCAGGTCTCCAACACTCTCCCCGTAACCCTTGGTAAAAAAGAGAATAGCTTTGGCGTATCGCTTCGGAGTATCACGGAGGCCTTCTCGATTTGGATCTTCGCCAATGCATTCAAGTATGGTCCGCACGGCTCCTTCGAGCTTCTGGATTCGCTCTGTGTGTTCCTCCGGGGTTGATATTAACCGCTTTCGTGTGCCTGAACCTAGTAGGTACAGTTTAGTGTGAAGACCTCTCTTCAAAGGAACATTCTAGGTATCTTACATGGCCAGCTGAGACCGCCAGGATAAACCGGCGAGATTTGAGTATTGGGAGCTGCCGAGAGGCTAGCGTTTGGCACGGTGGTTGGATCAACATGATCCCCAGAGTCGTCAGGTGTCTTCGAAGGAAGGCGACCAATGTTCATGATTGAAACGGATGGAAAGAAATTAAGTGGGAATGACGTAGAGGGATTAATTGAAGAATCAGCTTCGATGGTGATGACCAACTTTAGAAGAGTACATAATGAGAAGAGGAAAAGGAAGGACATGGTTAATATAGACGATGGAGAAACAGGCAGGATTGGTATTTGTCTGCCTATACAGCTAGAATGACCCTTTTCTGAAATCAAGCCGGCCCCCAATGCAAGAATAAATTTCGAGAAACTACTATTGGAGACTTTGACAGGTGGATTTTTAGAATCGACAAGTTATGACGAACAAGGAAGAGAGACCAAATAGACCCGAAGCTTCAGGGAGATACCATATCGACACCACACAGATAATGTTTGTTTGCTTGACTGGTTACATCAAACGTTCTACGATATTCGAATCTTTACCTTTAGATTCGGTATTTCCCGCGAACGGAACTTCCCAGCACATCGTGTTATGAAGTTCTGTAAAATTGCATCAGCATACCATCTTCACCTCACACTCGACTTGCCAGCACATCTCATTCGCCGGTTGATCCCCTCATCTGAACCTAATCCTCATGATACAACCACCACATCAACATGACCACCCTCGAGTCCCTCGAGCGGGCCCTTAGACAGGAGGCCGAGAGCATCGAAATGGTCTCCTGCCTAAGAGAACCACTCACAGACACGCAGTACAGCATCGGCTTCGAAATCTTGCTGCGAGACTCGGGATGGATCACGTATCGAGACTTCATCGTACCTCAGCTCACTCAACTATTGACCCCCTTCTTAAAATCCTCTACTCAAATCTCAGTACTGGAGATCGGACCCGGCCCGAGGAGCGTCCTTGGACAAATCCCCAGCGTTCTAAGGCAGAGAATCGGAAAATACGCTGCTTATGAGCCCAACGAGCTCTTTGCCACAAGAATCAAGGAAAGCTTTTCCTCATCCTCGGAGACGGAGCCTCCGCTGCCCTGTCTCGAGGTGCCGCCCATCATTCATCAAATGCCATTCAATCTGCACGAAAGCGGTGCTCATTTCGAGAGATTCGATGTTATCCTCTTTTGTCACAGCATGTACGGCATGATTTCAAAGACCGAGATTATTGAAAGCACAGTCGAAATGCTCGTTGAGAAGCCCAGAATCGGAATGGTCGTGGTTTTCCACCGTGCCGGTTGCCTATCATTCAACGGACTAGTAAGCCATCAAACGGCTTCTTTCTCAACCGGAGCTGTCAGCGTGGCAAATGACGACTGTGAATTGGACCGCTTCGCTCCTTTCGTGGCTGGATTCACCTTGCAAGATTTCAGCAAGTTCGCAGCTCTTCGGAATTCATGGCGAAAGGTGTGCCGTGCCCTTGGTCGGAGTAATGAAGCCTACCCGAACCAGCTTTTCTTCAATGCGCCTGCAATCATGACGGCTTTCACCAGACACGCGACTGCATTGGCAGACTTGGAGGCACAAGTGCCGCTATTGGATGTGAACCAGGTTGTCAAAAATCGGGAGGCTCTTTCCCACCATCCGGCCTCTGTTGTGAGACCCACGGAGATTCAACATATTCAGCAGTGTGTTCGATGGGCTCGCAAGAACCATGTTGGTCTGACAGTGGTTGGAGGAGGCCATAGTGGTCACTGCAGATGGCCCAATGTCGTTGCAATTGATATGAGCGCCTTTGACAAAGTCCACATCCTCGCTGGTGAAGAAGATGAAGAAGATTCCGGCTCTAAACAGGATCCCTTGGTTATCGCTGAAGCCGGCTGTAAAACTAGCGATATTATCCGCAAAGCAATGGCGGCAGGGCTTACAGTGCCCCTAGGGTCTCGCCCCAGCGTTGGCGCAGGATTATGGCTACAAGGCGGTATCGGGCATCTAGCCAGGCTTTACGGACTATCCTGCGATGCCGTCGTCGGTGCTATTTTCGTCAGCGTTAAAGATGGCCGACTCCTGTGCGTTGGCGGTGTACCAGCCCAGCACCGGCCACCCGATGCCGTGTGCCCCGAAAACGAAGCCGACCTGCTATGGGCAATCAAAGGTGCTGGAACAAACTTTGGTATCGTCCTCAGCGTTGTGTTCAAAGCGTACCCAGCTACAACCCACGGAGTACGTAGCTGGATCATCCCGCTCATTGATGATCATGATGCACGCTTCAAGATCAACTACATTGACCTCTACGCCGCCCAGCGGCTCCCTGAAAATTGCTCTGTGGACATGTTCATTTACCATGACAAGGACCAGGTACAATTGGGGCTTACGCTGTTTGAGAGTCCCACAGCAGAGGTTACCCCAATGACCGCTACCATAGGAACAGTCCTGGGGCCCGAAAAGAGTTTCAAAGCTGTGGATGATGTGGGTTTGTTCGAGACCGACATGTACGTGTCCGAGATGCATGGTGGGCATGGTGGAAATAAGACCTCCTCGTTCAAGAGGTGCATCTTCTTGAAGGATATCAGGTTTTCACCAGTCGTTGAATTACTCATCAAGGCTATCAAGACTCGGCCCACACCACTCTGCTACCTACATCTCCTCCATGGGGGTGGAGCGGTGCGCAATGTAGCAGCTGATGCCAATGCCTTCGGCTACAGAGATTGGGACTTTGGTTGTGTGATAACTGGAATCTGGCCCCGCGCCCGAGATGGAACTGAACTCGCTCGTGTTGTGCAGGCGTGGGTTTACAGAGTCGCCGAGGAGTTGTTACCACGAAGTTGGGGAATCTACAGCGCAGACCTCGGGCCTGACCCCCGAGACGCCGCGTTAGCATCCAGGGCTTTCGGCCCTAACTACCCACGCTTGGTTCGGCTCAAACAAATCTTGGATCCGCATAATGTCCTCGCTTATGCTTGTCCCCTTCGACGAGTTCCAGCTACACAGAAGCTTATCATCCTCGTGACTGGCGAAAGTGGCGTTGGTAAGGATTATTGCGCGAATTCTTGGGCCTCTTCATTTAATACAAACTACGGAAACAGCCTCCTCGCTCGCACATTTAGCATTAGCGATGTGACCAAGAGAGAATATGCAGCAGCGCATCCCGGCGTCGATCTGAAACGCTTGCTTCATGATCGAGCTTACAAAGAGCAACACCGGCCAGCTTTGACAGCATTCTTTTATTCTCAGGTGGCCTGTCGACCTCGTTTGCTTGAAGAACATTTCCTGGGCGTGGTATGCAGCGCTATGTCTGTGGATGTCCTGTTTATCACAGGACTGAGAGAGCAGGCACCCCTCGCGACTTATGCGCATTTAGTGCCTGACAATAGACTCATTGAGGTCCGCGTCCAGGCAAGCCCACAGACCCGACGGGCACGTCGAGGCTATCCCGATGGCGATGATGGTGAAGGTGACGGCGAGGAGCTTAACCACTCCGAATACAGTCCAACTCTGGTCTACAGAAATGAAGAGACGGGCATCGAGCTGGTGCAGCATTTTGCAGTGTGCTTCCTGCTTCCTCTTGTCGGCGAGGATATTCAGCGACTAGCGAGAATGGTGCGCCCCGTTCCAGGCTTTCCACGCCCTAATATGACCTTCCAACATGTGCTCGGCATTGGAAAGCACCCAGAAGGGCTGGAGCTGTGTACACGCCTACTAGAGAATCTTCTATTCAGTGACTGGATTCGTGTCAGTGCCATAGCCTGTTGTGAGACCGGTGGCTTTACATTTGCCTCGCCATTGGCAGAGAAAGTCAAGAAGCCAATTGCGATGATTCGTGAAGCTGGCAAGCTGCCCCCGCCAAAGATTTCCGTCACCAAGTCTGCATCGCATATCTCAGCTTCGACGCCCAGCGGTTCAAAGGAGCAAGTCATCGAGATGGAAATGTACTTGATTCTTAAAGGTTCTTTGGTGGTTGTTGTGGATGATGCGCTTGCAACGGGTCGGACTCTTTGCGCGGTGCTGGAGCTCTTGGGAAAGGCCGGCGTTCGCCAGCAGGATATCATCGTCTTGGTCGTTGCAGAGTTCCCTGCTCATCGTGGTCGGAAACTTTTGTACGAACGTGGGTTTGGCTCTGTCAATATTCGGAGTCTTTTGGTTTTCGATGGGGCATGAGTGAAGAACGTGAGCAGCTTAGGACTTTTGTGACAGAATCAAATTTTTCGATTTGATGTCCGTGTGTTCTCTTAAGGCTTGTATTATCTGTGTGCGTAGTGGAGCATACTGACAATTTAGGCTTGTGTATGCTGTCAGTAGCATTCTCTATTCGCCGAAATATGATTTCTTAGCAAACTACGCTACTCTATCCGTCGAAGGGACTCGCCTTCGGACGCGAACGGGCATACCATCCTTTGGACGATTGGTTAGCTCATTCGTGGTCACGGCCTGGTAGGCCGGTTCACCGAAAAGCCGGGTCGCATTCGCGGCATAGGCAGGTACAATGTCCAACTCCCTCAGCGTCATTACCAGCATAAGCCTTAGCTCGAGGATGGCTAGCTCCTGGCCGATGCAATTCCTCGGTCCTTGCTCGAATGGCCTCCACGCGAGCTTCCTACCGTTGACGCCGGTGTCCTCCTCAACTAGCCACCGGTCAGGGAGGAAGTCGTTCGGTCGAGGCCAGTACTGTGGGAGCCTATGCGACGCCTGTGACGTGGACATGAGAGTGAATCCTTCAGTCGAGAACTGCTGACCAGTCTCGGGATGCACTAGATGCAGACTGCGAGATCCGGAGCGGATAGAGGCGATGGGTGGGTAGAGCCGAAGGATCTCCTTGATGACTGCCGCTGTGTATGGCATTCTGTAGAGTACGGATGGGTCGCTGGTGATCACGGCGGCAGCTTGGGCTGGGTCAGGCCCGAGCAAGCGGTCGTGTTCCTCGCGCACACGGTCGGCTATGTCTGGATTGCCATGTAGGCAGTAGTATGCGTAACACAATGTACTCGACGTAGTGTCATGGCCTGCGATGAGGAAGATTTCGACTTGTGCAAGGGCAACGCGAAGAAATTCTTCGTCAAAAACCTGGTTTATGGATGTGGAGTCCACGGCGTGCCCGGTTTCCTTCAAACGGGCTTCAATGGCAAGTCGGCTGATTGTCTGGGGGCTTCTACTGCGATCCGTCTCAAGCATCTGTCTTTGTAAGATTGGAATGATCTCGTTATGTAGGATGCGGTTGTTATTCCAGATAGCGAGGCGGCGGAAAGGATTGTTTTGTCGATGGAATATATTGGGACCGTCTGGGATCGAGATCCACCCGAGCTGATCCTTCAAGGCTGTATATAAGCGACTCTCCGACACTTGCACGCCCAATCTTGCTCCTCTGGCATCAAAATCATTTAATTCGAGTTAGTCTTAAGCTGTAAAGTTCGGACACATCTAGGAAGGGTCTCGAGATTCTCACTCACAGCACCACCCGTCCGATGATATCAAATGTAGCCTTGGTCGCCGGTGTTATTAAAGGGAAGACAATATCTGACCGCATGTTTTCGAGGAGAGTATCCTTGAAAACTTGACTCTCTTCGATCAAAGCTGGGATGAATAAAAGGATATTCTTGCTTGAGAAGCCTGGGTTGAAAATAGAGCGCCACCGCTTCCATTGATCTCCATCTGAGCACAAAAGGTCTTGACAGTTGGTGAAATCCTTGAATATCGAATGAAGGAGGTCACTCTTAGGCATTGACGGGCTCTGGCAGAACTGCGCAATCATATCGGGCTGGAATACTGCTAGCAGGGGGTTGGCGATAGGCCAAGCGTCCATACATACGAGACCTTGGGCTCGAAGCTCCGGGTACTCATTGGTCAGCAGTATTGGAATGATTTGTCCTGCTGTATCTCGAGGGTATTTAGCCATGAGCTTGGCGAATGCTGGAAGGTGCCCGAGTAGGAAGGAATGCGGTGGAGATTTCTTATTGGACGGTCAGATGATAGCACAATTGTTGGTTTGTTAAACCGGCATTATATTCGAGAGAAGCATTATCATTTCTTACCAGCCCACTATTCCTCATGAAACGGCGCACCTTCATGCGCACTTTGATGAGCCTGTAGAAGAATCGGCCCAAGAGAACGACAAGGAACAGAATAAGGATCCGTTTTAGGACTGCAGCTTGAATCGTAAGCTCCATGCTTGGCAGATGGTGAGAGAACTAGTGGCAGATAACATGCCGGGTGGGGAGTACATGAGTTATAGCCTTTTAGAATAGTAAAAAAATGCATGATTACAGGTCACTTCGGCTTTTGCTTGGTCGTCGTTCGGCGTCTTTAGTGCTGACGCCAATCTTCGCCCCCACCCCCAGGAGAGACAAGTACCACCTTCCTTGGGATACATTTTGCCGATCTCAATGAGGGTCTCGTACTGCCGAGCAAGGCTGATTCTTTCTACTGTCATTTGACCGAATGACACTGTGTGGATGAGCGGATGCCTAGCCGGGGTATCGCGAGCCTTAATCTAACGTAGTGAGATTTCGCGATTAAGTCACAGCCCCAACTAATATCACTGGCCCAGAGCCGCGATATTGTCTTGTTGGTTCACCGCTTGTGTAGTCAAATAGCTTACTTCTGGTGACAACTTGCATCCATCCGCATACCTTACTTAGTCTTGGCAAAACTAAATAATCCAACAGTTCATACCGGTCATTGCCAGCTCCATCAGCCGTGCCCAGTCTGCCAGGCGACGCTCTCAAAGCATCTCTGCTAGCATCTATCAGAGGGCTAATGGCGGTCTCCATTTTCTCCTTACAAAAAGCGACGTAGAACATCTCAGTCCGGATGAACCTAGTCACAGAGCCCCTCTCACTGACACGTCCTGCCGTCGACTCCTTTGCCTTACACCTCTCGTTCCCTGCTCATATGCTGTCATCTATGTCCTTTCAGCACACCATCATGGAGCGTTGGCCAATACTTCGCTGCTTTATGCCAGAGTTCACTTGGTCGGACAATAACGTCCGACCAATCTCCAATGAAACACCACCCACACCTCGGCCAACACCAGCCCGATTGCGCCGATTTTGGGGGTTTCTGCATAAATATCTGCGAGGATTCTCTTGGTCCTACTGCAGCTGGGTCGGGATCGAATACGATTATCAGATTGCCCAGCTCCCATTTGGCCTGATCCTGAAATGGTCCGATGGCACTCGATTAGAAGAAGTATTGGCGATGCAAGTCGCCCGAGTCATTTGCTAGGGAGAGCATCCCGATACACCACATGCACCCGTCTCGATTCTAATGACTCGCGTGCCTGGCCAAGAGCTGAGACAAGTATACGAGACACTGAGTAACGAGGAGCAAATGTCTGTTTTACAAGAACTCAAAGTCTGTGTGGAGGTGATGCGTGGATGGTCAAATCCGGGGAATGGGAACAGAATATATTCTCTGCTGGGCACTGCGATAAGGAGCGTTCGCGTTCCCAATCACTATGCTGGTCCATTTAAATGCGAGGAAGAATTCAACGACTACCTCATCCAACCTTCTTGGCCTGGCGGCTTTGCGTCCGAGGCAGCATATAAAGATGCTCTTGATCTGGCCAAAGGTATGCGAAAACTATCGCATCACGTCGTTTTTACCCATGGGGATTTAAAGCCACATAATATCCTGGTCAATCGGGGGCGGATCACAGGCTTTTTGGACTGGCAGTCGGCAGGCTGGTACCCTGACTACTGGGACTTCACCACAGCATTAACATTCACACGGGAGGACTTCTGGTGGTATAGTTTCGTTGTTGACCTTGGCGGCGGCTCGTACTTGGCGGAATTGGAATGTGAACGTGCATTGACTTCTTTAACAAGCGCTTCCTATTATCGGTAACGCCTGGGCTGGATTCTTGGTTTGGTATGACTTGTTGTTTTTCTTTACGTACACGCCGTAAGAACCAGTCTTTCGGGGACCTAAGGACTTGGGCCCATTTCCTGGCCCAAGCCACAAAGTCTAGCTAACTGCCATTCGAGCATATATGCAAGATTACCACGAAATGTACCTATCAAAAACCCAGGAGACTGACCATAGCGCCCTCCATTGAATCGCGCGCGAAACGTACTATGTTTAACGACCTATCAATGCCTTGTTTGGTTGTACATCGAGGCCATGAATAGGAATAACTAGACATTACTAGACGTCCTACCAATGATTGACGGTGCGGGGAAGCAAATCAGATAAAGTATGAAGGGAAGCTACAATGTCTTTGGATCTGCCAACATACAAGTAATAGCCTCTCAATCTACGAAATCGACATCTTATTTCATTACTTCTCCTATATAATAGTGACTAGCTTCTTCTGGCCATGTCTCTTGCAAATCTCAAAGTGAATAGGCTTTACATCATCCTATTCATCAGAAGTGACCCACCAATCCCAAATGATTTCCACTGAGGTCATTATCTTCCGAATAAATCAGTGAACGGCGGGGAAGAGGCTTATGATGATAGATTGAGCTACGGATGATCGAGAGAAAGCATCGTTCCCATAAGGCTCCGCGAAGTCTACGCAGATGCTAATCATTTATTACAAGTCCCGATACTACAAGTAAGATGTACGAGAATGACAAATGAACGATCATCGATAGTGTTTCATGGTAATTGTCGTTTTTAGTTTCTATAACTATTTCATGTGTCATTCAACATCCTAGTAGTCGTCACCGCGGCTAATGACTTCCTTTACATTAGGACGAAGGACGATGGTCTGCAGGTTGGGTTAGCAGTCCATTCAGGTAAACAGGGACTGGACGATAACGACGTACGTGTTCATATTGAGCAGTATAAGAGCCCTTGATATCGCAAAGGGGCGGGTAATCTTGGACAATACCAGATGAGACCAGGTTGTTCAACTTTATCTGTATTAGTGCACATTCTCCAAGAGAGTTGCTTGAAATGACATACCCCGAGGAGGTACTTCTCCTGGCCCAAGCGGTCAAGATAGCGACGGCAGAACGGTAGGGTGCCAAAGTTCTTGTGGATAACGTTCAAAAGGTTCTTAGCAGACGAAAGGCGGAGAGGGACGTTGGGCGCATCCGCAGCAAGGGCGTAGTGGGAGCATTCCATCTAGATACGAGGTCAGTACTTGACCAGTCGCGCTGAATAGTTAGGGGACTAACATCTTCCCGAACGTAACCCTTGCCGGTACTGCCGAAGGTTTCGATGGCGAAGACTTCACCCTCCTCCATCTTTGTTTGGTCAGAGCCCTTGACAATAGGCACGCTCTTACCACCGTGGATAACGTGCTGCTCGATGTTGTGACCGTTCAGGTTACGGATACACTTGACAGGATACATAGTTCCGTTGAGCTCGACCTCGTAGCTCTCCATGGCTTCCTGAATGGCGGCACCGATGTCACTCATGCGGACGTCAATTCCAGCTTCCTATAGACAAGTTAGGTCGAACCCACTAGTCATTTCCCAAGGGTAAACATACCCGGATACCAGTGTTGGTGGCATCCTTGACCGCTTCCAGAAGCGGATCGTAAACAGGGTCGAAGCTCATGGTGAAGGCGCTGTCCACAATGCGACCGTTGAGGTGCGCACCGAAATCAACCTTCATCACATCCCCTTGGTTCAAGACCATCTTGTTGCCCGCATTAGGAGTGTAGTGTGCAGCGCAGTGGTTGATGCTCAGACCGCAAGGGAAACCCATGCCGCCCTTAAGGTTATCGCCCTCTTCCAGACCGGAGTGGCCAGTCAAGGCACGAACAGAGTCCTCAATACCCTCCGCGATCTCCGTCAGAGTCTGACCGGGCTTGATATTCTTCTGTGCATACTGGCGAACTTGACGGTGGACCTCGGCACCCTGGCGGTACTCCTGAAGGAAATCGTTGTTCATGCGATCGAGGTAGCGCTTCTCTTCGTTGGTTGTGCGGTACGCATTGTCGTTCTTGTACTCGACAATCTCGCCCTCGGGGTATACGTTGTTGGGGAAAAGATTGGAGACGGGGACTCGTGGCGGAGAGCTCTGGACCTTGGCGCCGCCCTTCTTCTTCTTCTTGGACTTGCGCTTCTTCTTCTTTTTGGCGGCTGTCGTGCGACACTACCGTTAGCTTCATTTCGAAACCTTGCGGGTGCGGGTCCGGAAAGCGGGGTCATGAAAGTATTGGATTGTAGATAGAAACACGTACCACCAGCTGCGCCAGCATCCTGTGCGCCCTCTCCATCTTCTTGGTCGTCGTCAGAATCGTCCTCTGCCTCACCGGGGACCGCCTGGCCAGCAGCGGTGGCGTCGGCCTGGGCGCCGTTCTGGCCGTTCACTAGAAAGGCTAATGAGTATCGAACGTGTGGCGAGATAATTATTGATGAGACTCACGATCCAGCTGCTCCAGCTTCTCGGTCGCCTGGGCTGCCATTGTGTAGTAAAGGACGTGCAGTTGGAGTGGGGGAGGAGGAGGAAGAGGAGAGGAGAGCCGACTCGGATGTCGGGGAAAGATTTTCGCAGGCGATAAGATACGACCCGCCGCTTAATGACGGAGCATTCTCCAACTAGTCAGTCAGCTACATACTTGGTCTATACTTCTATCAATTTAGATCTTCTTTCTTCAAAAGTGTTATAGAATGATACTTGACTATTCTTCATTCTCGAAAGTACTACAATGTCGCGGCTCAATCCCAAGTATATGTCCTTCTTTCGAGTTGGCACTGAGAAACGCACCAGTCAGTATAGAAAGGTGAAGCTGCATGCAAATGGGCTTGATGGATTCCTATAGAAGATGAGATGATATTATTAAAAGACTTGAAGCTTTCTATGTCCTCAAAGCCCGGTTTTCAACACTTTGACAAACTATTGTGTTTCGATAGGTTTGTAAAAGTTGAGTAGTGTCATGCATATTCAAATCCAATGGGTGTTCCAGGAGGACCTTGAAAATGCCAATATTTCCTTTCCTGGCAGCCTTGACCAAAGGATTTGACCGCAGTCATTGACGAAAAACATATTGGCGCCCTTCTTCAAGCGTAAACGAGCCGCACGCTGCAAGACCCGAGATCTTGTTGTGCTATGTCTTGCTCTTGCCAAGAATGGCAATCACAAATTCGTTCATGCAAGCCAAAATTGTTACAAAATACCACCAGAAAGTAAGACAATGACAGAGCTCAGAAGCGATGAGTGCAAAAGAAGGGGTGGAATGGGGTGATGGAATCGTGGTTAGCGAGAAATTGAGACTAGGGTGATGAGAAAGAGAGAAAGATATGTGATAGGATAGGGCCAGCGTCTGTAAGCAAGTATATGGCTGGACATCCTAAATTTGTTATCGAGCGATAGGACTCTATTGATATGTTAATAATTGTATGTTGGCAAGGGAAGTAGTGAAAGCTCAATTGACAAAAAGGACAACTGTGAAGTTAGAATGGCCGGTCCAAAGCTGGAAGTGGGGAGTATATCACAACCGGAATGTTGAGTGCATAAGTTCAAGCAGTCAAATAATGCCCAGAAGCAAGATGTATTTCAAAAAGGTGAATCGAAGGAAGGCAACTCGCTGCAAAAGAAGGGCACTAAGGCTAGGAACAAGTACTACCTTCAGTAAAAGCCATGAGCTAGAAGTTGTCCCATTACGTCCAGCTACGGCATGAGAAACTGGGGACGTGGCTGAGGTTGTACGACCACTCCTATGATTCGCTGAGGCTATATAGTTATATATATGATGATATTGAATGTGGGAGAACGTCAGCCATCATTCCCTTTTCTAATTTTGATGTATATAGCTGCTAGTCCTGATATAAACCTGAGGAATCCACAACATAGCAAACGGCGTTATCTAATCTGATCATCAGCTGCCTCGAGGGCACCTACTAGACTGCACCGAGGGAGTGAATATAATTTCTTCGCAATAATCCACATAACACTAAGCTATTTACTTTGGAATTATGTCTGAATCTCAAATCAAGTAAGCCCTCTTGACTAAAACTCCCAGACTGAAAGAGTCTTGACCCTCCGCACCCCCAACTCGCCTATGACGCCACTCCGATCGACCGATCAAACCTCTAATCACCCGCCAACTCCAACTCCGCTCTCCTCCTCACACAGCTTCCCGCCTGACCCTCTCCTTTCTTCTCCTCATGCCATAAGCTCGATCATAAATCTAGGCAATGCCTCCGCCTCGGACGAATCCCATCTACATTTTCCAATGTCCACACACGAGTCTATCCTTGTCTCCGCGCGCTATCCATGGGAATCAGCGCAATCTCACCCGCCATCATGGCACGTCCACGCGACCAACAAGAACACAACTCCAACATGCGACACACCCTTCTCTCCCACGCGCGCAATTCAAAGCCTTTGCAACGAGTGCCTCTCGACGCAAAGAACAAAATCATTATGACACCCTCGATCTCCCGATAACAGCTACGCCGGCTGAAATCAAAAAGTACAGTCTACACTCCCACCTACCTACAACCCTCGCCCATTCCACACCCTCACCCCGCCCTCCCCTCCTCTACCCTCCCCTCTCTAACCAAACCCCCCCAGAAAATTCTACGCCCTCTCTCTGCGCCACCACCCAGACCGCAACCGCACCGACCCAACCGCCAGCCAACGCTTCGCCAAAATCTCCTCCGCCTACTCCGTCCTCTCCAACCCCCAGAAACGATCCAGCTACGATCGCGACAACGGTTTCCACCACGCCCACATGCACCACCACCCCACCCACCCGTCGGGTTCCCACAGCAGCCACTCGGCGAATCTACACAAAGGCAGCCACGGGGGAGGAGGGTATGCGGGGTCGAGACCGGCGAGTGGATTGAGTAACCGGCGGGGAACGTTTCGGGGGCCACCGCCTAGCTTTTATGCGCAGGGCGGGTATGGGGAGACGGGGAGGACGGGGGATGGGTATGCGACTGGGAAAGCTGGGCCAGGCGCTGGTGATGGTACTGGCAGTGCTAGTACTGCTGGTGGTGGGTTTGGAAGTACAAGTTCGGGCGGAGGGACGCCTGGTTCCGGTAACCAGGCCGATCCTGAAGATCCAATGGGCTTTATTGACCGCAATCCCCTCGGTCACTTCAATGCGCGTGGACACTTCCGAACGCAGAAAGCCGAGGATGCTAGACGGCGAGAGCGTGTGTCCAAGGCTAGATCTGCGGCGAGGGAGACGGCGGATTCGTTTATTGGGGGTGGTGATTTCGGATTGGTTCGGTTTGTGGTTGTTTGTGGGATATTAGTGACTGCTGGTGCTATGACGGGATTATTTCAGTTTCCCATCACGACCGGTGGGGAGGATGGGAAGACGGGAAAGAAGAAGAAGGATGTGGTGGTCTCCTCTTGAAAAGATAGATTGGAGGAGCCATGTTTGGGGTGCTGCATTGATGTACGATATACTCCGACTGTGGTTTTCTATGCATGCCATGCTCAGGTAGCTGGCTGACACTTGATATGAGTCGTTGGGTGACGATTACAAATAGATATTTCTTATCAAACAAAGGAAAAGCTTGAGATTTGATATACAAAGCGCGCTCGCGGTACAGAACTACGACACGCACAAGATTATCTGAGAATAGAGTGTAGATAGAACCTTCACTGAAAACACCATTCTGTCCAAAAGAACTGGGAAGACCGGCGCAGCAACGAAGAATTACAAACTTCTCCAGGAACCCTCATGAGAGGACTCTCGAGTTACCGATGAATGGCAAGGTAAAGGCATTTAAGCCTCGAAGGTGAAGCTGGCGCCAACCTTGTGGGCGGCCTGGTTCAGGTTCTGGGTATCGAAAGAAGCACCCAGGCCGAGAGTGACACCGGGGCGGAGGAGAACGTTGTAAGCCAGAGCGGCGATACCACGGTCGTTGATCTTGGCCTATTGGGGAAAAAAAAGAGATGGGAGTTAGTTTTTGTCTGAGGTGACATATCATCTGACCTGCAGGATGGACTCACCTTGGCGAAGGAAGAGGGGTCCAGGCGGTACTTGCTGGCGACCTCGAGGCCGACGGCGTTGCCGGAGGTGGAGTCCCAGGAAGCCTTAGCACCAGCCTCGACCTGAGCGTTGACGCGGTGGTAGTAAGAGGCGGAGAAGAGGGACAGGTTGTTGCTGGCAGTGATGGCAGCAGAGTACTGGGGAACGGAGTAACCGACGGCAGCGGAGTACTTGGTGATGGCAGCCTTGTTGACATCGTAGCCACCCTCAGCACCGACCAGGAAGCCCTCGTGGCCGAGGACGGCATCGAGGTTGGCAGTGGGGCCGTTCAGGAGGTCGAAGAAGGCACGGGCGTGCAGGTTGGGCTGCTTGAAGTACAGGTTGAGCTTGGCACCCTTGGACTGCTTGGCGGGCTGGTACTGGGTAAGGATCTCAGCCTTGAGGCCCTTGGCAATGTTGTTGTCCAGCTCGAGCTTGGTGTCGAGGGCGTTGGCGGTGGTCCAAGCCTGGGTCAGGGTAAGACCTGGGTGGGGACGAAGCATTAGCTTAACTGAATGCGTGGTAATATTTGAGAAAACAAAAAGGGTCACCCGGCGCGACACGAGGTGGCCGCACGACAGAAAAAACGTCATGGGCCGAGCCTTGGACGCGTCGGGATCGGGTGGTTTGCGCTGGATGGGGCCCTTACCGGTGGGCGCATCAACGTACTTGGCCTCGAGCTATGATGAGAGGGATTGAGTCAGTATGATATTCCGTTTCTCTGTCCCGCGGCGCGGCTAAAGGTTGAGGAGGGGTCCCCGAGAAAACTCACCTGGCCAGCAATGGAACCCTCGTGGGAGGACTTGCCCTTAACGGTGAAGGTGACACCGTTGGGGGCCTTGGACTTGACCTCAAGGGACGCTAGAGATGCATTAGCAGAGCTTTGGAGAGAATAGGGCGTAGCTAGACAGCTAGACATACCCGGGCTGGCGTGGTAGAAGTCCTTGTTCAGGAGCTGTCGGGAATCATCAGCTTCGAGAATTCCTTTCCGGCGATAAAATCTGCAGCAGCCGGTATCATGGAGCTATACGTACGTCATTGGCCGCCTTGGCGATGTCGGAGAAAGCAGCAGGAGCAGACATGGTGAATTTGTAGAGACAGGGAGACTCGTGGATGAGGAGAAGAAAGAAGGAGAAGGAGTGCGATGATGTTGGGGAGAGGTGGGAAGGGGGCTCCAGCCACGGGCCGTTCAGCGCCTTGTGATTGGTCGTTGCTCGGTTGCCGGGAAAGCCCGCCGGTCAAAAGATGTTAGGTAAGCACCGATCGACGGGAACAAGGTGAAGAATCGAGTTTACCCGAGGAATGTCGTAGTTTGCAACTAAATGACGACTGGGGTGCAGCTAGTGGAGTATCTAGAGATCGATTTTCATAGGTTCAAGTATACTATCACAATATCTTGCCGTATTTTTACACAGGGGCCACCATTGGGTATATACACTTCTTTGCATTCTTTTCCAAGCTCTATAATGCCCAATGAGAACTGATCTAAGAACAAACAACCTTCCCTTTTTTATATTTTATCTCAAGGTAGATTTAGGCGGAATCATACTTGGCGTTGTGAATAGCAATGGCACTGTAGACGATGTTAGCATTTGTTGCTCTCCCAAATAGCAAAACATGCAAAGACTTACCGGCCACTGGGATCGCTCTGCTTGGACCAGGTAGGGGTCCAGCGCTCGACGGTACCGGCGCAGGTAGGGGGGAAGTGCTCATCGAACATCAAGCGGTACCAGTAACTAAAGATCAAAGGTCAGTCAGGATATTATTTAGTAATCTCATGTGCTGGGAACATAGAACGTACGCCTCCTTAGTATCGGGAACGTCAGATCCCCACTCAGGCTTAGGGTTCTTCATCTGCTCATCGGTAATATGCTTCTCGGCGTGCTCCTTCAGACCGTCAATCCAGCTGTAGCCAACGCCATCGCTGAACTGCTCCTTCTGGCGCCACAGAATCTTGTCGGGCAGGTAAGGGGTGGTCTCGGGCTCGTCGGTGGTGTCGAAAGCCTTGCGGATGATGTATTTCTCAATGCGCTCCTTGGTGATCATCTTCTCCTGAGGGTCGACGGCCATGGTAACCTCGAGGAACTCCTTGTCCAAGAAGGGCACACGGGCCTCCAGACCCCAGGCGGAAGTGGACTTGTTGGCACGAAGGCAATCAGCCAGGTGCAGGTTCTTAACACGGCGAACAGTCTCCTTGTGGAACTCCTCCTTGTTGGGGGCGGCATGGAAGTACAGGTAACCACCGAAGATCTCGTCGCTACCTTCACCACTCAGAACCATCTTGACACCCATGGCCTTGATCTTGCGGGACAGTAGGTACATGGGGGTGGAGGCACGGATGGTGGTGACATCATAGGTCTCGAGGTGGAAGATGACATCGGAGAGGGCGTTCAGGCCATCCTCGACAGTGAAGGTGAAAGCGTGGTGCTTGGTACCCAGGAATTTGGCGACCTCCATGGCGGCCGCGGTATCGGGAGCACCGGGCAGACCGATAGAGAAGGAGTGCAGCTGCTGGAAAGTAGTGACAGTAGAGAGATCGTTCTCCTCGTCGATGCCGACGAGGTCGGAGCCCTCGACACCGTTCTTAGCGGCAGCGCGAGCAGCCTCCTGCATGCGCAGAGTCTCACGCTGGGCGATGGAAGCGACCAGACTGGAGTCCAGGCCACCGGACAGCAGGACACCGTAGGGAACCTCGGCCATCAGACGCTTGCGGACAGACTTCTCCAGGGAGTGACGGAGCAGCTTGTAGTCAACGGGGGTGGAGGGAATCTTGGCGGCATCCCACCACTTAGGCTCGTAGTAGCGGGTCAGCTTGTCGGTCTTGGAGTCGTAGATGTGACCGGGAGGGAAGGCAATGATGTCGTCGCAGACGGGGTGCAGAGACTTGAGCTCGGAAGCGAAGTAGACAGCGCCCGGGGTCTCGGAAGAGCGGCCAAGGTAGAAGCTAGTGATACCGATGGGGTCACGGGCAGCAACGACACGGTCCTGCTTCTTGTCCCAGAGGACCCAGGAGAACATGCCGTCCAGGTGCTTGGGGGCATCGATGCCGTGCTCCATATACTAGTGAGAAATGAATCAGCAACTGCCCACGCATGTATCCAGTATTCTCCATAGCCACATACCAAAGGAATGATGACCTCACAATCAGAGTGAGTCTTGAAGTTGTACTTGGTCTTCAGGGTTTTCCGCAGGATGCGGTGGTTGTAGATCTCGCCATTGACGGCGAGGGCAAGGGTCTCGTCATCGTTGACAAGGGGCTGAGCACCGGAGTCTGAGTAGGAAAGTGATGATTAGCAACTGATATAGCGGCGCAATTATCTCATTTCTCGTTGAGGCAATAGACATACCGACACCGACAATGCTCAAACGCTCATGGGCGAGGACTATAGAACGACAGGGGTTAGTATGAGGACACGCGACAACCCTAATACTCGGTCGAACTCACTAGTAGAATCGCCGATGAAGTTTCCGCCTGTTGAAAAGTGTTCTTGTTAACCTCCTAGCTCCCAATTGATTGTATCGCCTCTTGCGCTTCCAGTTGTGACTCACTCCAATCGGGACCACGGTGACGAATGCTATTCAACGAGGGGTACGGTTAGCGACAAATTCCCTAAGTCAAGCAACAAGTAAATTGCGCAGGATATAGAGAAACACTTACGCCTTAGCCATGCGCAGAGCCGTGGGCTTGAACTTCTGCACATCGGGGTGACTATTGGGGTCCTCGGGTTAGCATTGAGTCAACCATCCCACCCCTCGCCAAAACCGCGCCGGTCCGGGGAACAAGAGACATGGCGGGGCAAGGGTGGAAGATGTTGAGGGCGTAAGGGTACGACGCACTGGTGACACGCGAAAATTCCACACATGATGGGCGTGAGAGTACTCAAGAAACTGAGTAGAAGGAGATCAATTGAGGAGGATGAAGGAGGAAGAATTGACTAATAGCTGGTTCCGGGGGAGGATCCGGTCAGAAGGCAAAGGGCTTTTTTTTTCCCACAGCGGGGCGGGGGGCGATGTCGGCTTTCCGGCCAGTCTTTGAGTCACCGATAAGATAACCTCTTGGCGGGCCGGTCTGATTAGTTGGCATTCTTAGTCTTTTTATACCTCTGGTCATTGGGTACGGAGGACTGCGTTTCTACTATAGCCAATGCTTATTATCACACCTACATTCATCACGGTGGCTACGGTGGCTACGGTGGCTACGGTGGCTACGGTGGCTACGGCGCCTACGCAAAACGAGAACCACTTTACAATCACACCGAGTCCATGCATAGAACTTGTAAATGCCAGCTGTTCGCTGTAAAATCAACGCCTTCCATTGGGCCAACGCCGCGCTCGTGATCGGTTGCTCAGAAAAGGCTAGTGATGCTCCCTTCGCTGAGACAGGTAACCCATGCAGTTCAGTCCTGCTCTCGCTCACCGGAACATCATGACAAAGAAATGAAGTAGAGAAAAAAAAAAGTAATCATTAATCTGGCGCCGTCGTAGCTCATGCTTTTGAGAAATCGCCTGTCGCGCTTACATCGGCGGATTTTCCCTCACAACCTGGCGCACACGCCGCTCATATGCAGGACGATCCTTCTTGAATAGATTGTAGGCATCGGCCTGCGCCGGTGATTCGGGGTTAGGGTCGTTGAGCAGATCCTGAATACCGAGGAGAATCTGCTTGATGGTGATTGCAGGTCTCCATGCTTCCTCCTCGTTCAGGATTGAGAGGCAGACCGTGCCGGATGGGTAGACATTCGGGTGGAAAAGTGGAGGAGTGAATTTGCCTGCAAAAAGGAACCATCATGTCAGTCCATATTTGTGGTTGGAGAATGCGAAAGCTGTAGATTTATTGTCGCAACCAAGGTCGCATGACCAGGCAGTTGGAAATTGGAAATCCTGCTCTCGGTGGCGATGGTACTAATACGTACACTTGGGAGGTTTTGTCGGATATTCTGGAAGCGCAAAGAATCATTAGCGATCAGTATGCGGATCGTCGATCGCGAGGAATGTGCAAAGCTACTCACCATCGGGGAAGATAAGCTCCAACTTCAACACACAGCCCTCCCAGAGAGTGTCCTTCTTTCCAGGGATGGCGCACTCCCAGCGCTTCAAATCCAGTGTCGCCTGCGGGGTGCGCTGGGGCTTTGCGACGAAGCCGAAGGGGTGGTCACGGCGCCACTGCTTCCTACATGGTTCGTCAAAGATTAGCGGATATTCTGGAATGAACTAGCACAGGATTGATCCGTTGCTGGGAGGTATGACATACCGCTCCTCTTGAAGACGGTTCAAGCAGAGAGTCATGGTGGTAGGGCGTGGTATGCTGATATGAAAACGAGGTCTGAGATAGAGATCGAGTGGGGCGAAGAGTCGATGATGCCAAAGATGGTATGAGGAGGAGTATTAAGAGGGAGAAGAAGAAGTGAGACAGAGGGAGAAGGAGGTAAAGGAACGCGAAAAGTGCAACTGCTTGGCGCAGGTCAATCGCATCAATCGACGAGATTCCGACTGGCGGCCCCGCCAGTGTAGCTTAGGTAAGCAGTTGTATAGGTGAATTTGGCCGGGCACCGTACCTGAGGTTGACAACTTTTATGATAGTAGAGGATATTAGCATGACTAGCAAACACTCTCACTATTATGACTATAGCTCTGCATACTTACTCTCTGAAAATGGGTTTCAAAGACTACATCTCTCTGTGAGTGATATTCTGGATCAGGGGCATAATGACAGCCATATTATAGATCGGGTACACACATACAAGCCTACCCTAAGTATTAAATGCAGTGGACATCAGGGGCGCACCGCTGCATGTCAAAGTCGCCATAGCCAGTACTTACTAGAACCAAAGTTTCTTTCATGAAGGGCTGGTAATTAGCTAACGTTTTGTCATGGTCATGACATAACCCTTTGTTCAATGGTAAGTTCCCTCCACCATACAAGTACAAAGACATTCCTTGGTTCAACCAAGATTCTCATGGCATCACCGCAATAGGATCATGCACGAAACGGAGGTATTCCGCTAGCAAAACTCGCAGAAATCAGGCGCTTGTTTGCTTTGGTTGAAGAAAAGGGTGCCCAGCCAATTCACCTGCCATTTTTCTCATATTTGGTTGCCAGACAAGTATTTTCTTGGCGAGGTCCAAAAACAATTCCTTCTCTTCTCCTCCAAAAAATGTAATTGTCTCACGTAGTGTGCGGTCAGGGATCAGGTCTTCATAGAGGAAGCGACCTAAGATAATTCGTGTGTCTGAGAATAATACGATGGAGAAAGGAGAAAGGAACCATAGCAATACCTTTTCCGTCAAAGAATGGCCCACAGAAGTACTCCTCCGCGGTCTCGCATAGTCTGCCGTCTTCACGTCTGACAGGTTGCGGCCACGAGTACTCTCGCATAAATTGATACCTTTGTATGATCTCCGGAGGAGGTGGACCAAGTAAGGCTATCATTTCGGCGATGTGTAATTTAGCATCGTAGCGACCTTCTTGGTCATGAATATGCTGGAATAGCTCTTTGCCTTCGATCATATCCCACAACTGGTCGGGCATTAGTGGATGCAACAACTCGGGAGAACAACGGAACGCACCAAAACACCAAGATTCCAAATATCCGCAGGCATTTGCCATCCATTACCCAGGATCACCTCTGGTGCCCGATAGTGGTCTGGCTGAATCGGCCAAACGCCCCAGTCGTCGTCTTCTTCCAATCTGGTTGCCAAACCAAAGTCGACCAGCTGTGGTATACTTATCAGGCTTTTGAGTGGCCCGAAGTCACTACGGCATTGATACACTGGTCGTCCCACCGAATTAATCTTGAAAGCCATCGGTTTTGCAAGCTGAGAATCAATGAAATCGGTAAGCACGGTTGGGTCCTCGAATGAAACCATGATGTTGTCAAGCTTTAGATCTAGGTAGCCACTTGTGCTCAGTATTTTCGACGAGAATGAGGGTCGAAAATGAACCTACCGGTATGAACTGTCCTGTACACTTTATGCAAATAATCAAACCCCGTAAGTAGAAAACGGACGTATGTTTTAATGAGGGGCAGTGGCATCTTTCTGTCGTTAAAGCGCCGCTGATATATCGATAACGACTCCCTCATAGGCGGATACACAAGACATGGATGAGAACCTTCTGGGCATTGAATTTCAAAAGAGTCTAATAATGTTCGCATAAGTGACCGCCCGTGATGTGATGGGTCCGCTGCGGAAATATGCTCTTCAACTTCGCGCTCATGCTTAGCAAAACTCGCGTTATTGTTGACAATTTTCAGAGCCACGACGCTCTCTGGCTCTTCGACTGACCTGTAAAATTGTTAGAAAAACGGAGAGCTTCAAACTGGAGAAGTTACTGAAGGCTACCCTGTCAGATCACGCGCAAGCCATACTGTTGAAGACATGCCCCAGCCAACCTTGACTAAGGTTTGGTAACGATCGGCGAGTACCTCTCCGGGCTTCGCTGGGTAGACTTGCTTGGAATCGTATAACGGCAAGATCTCTTCGTCAACAAGTATGCCAGGCGGTAAAGGTGGCCCGGGAGAGGGCATGGGAATCGGTTTCTTGCGAAGGAAGGCAGAGAAACGAGAAATGAATGGCTTCATTGTCTTCATACCAGAGTCATCCCCGTAAGCTAATGGAAAATTATGATGTTACAGGTTGTTGATGAAGAGATCAAGGAGCCTAGACACGACTAGTGAACGTGATCACGTGGCACGTTGGGTAGGAGCTACATATTATGCCAGACCATAGAACAGGGCACATATTGCCGATTTATATAAAAGTATTTCGAGGAAGTATAACTTATTATGAGATGGGTCAGACAAGTTGTTTATTTGACATGGACACTGCCGCCTGATTTTGAAAGAGGCATGCGAAGCCAAATTGGATATCATTAAGCACATTATTCAACATAGACTCCCTGCTCAAATTTCTCGGGGTCAAAGAATCGAGCGAGAATGGCGTTTCCATTGAAGATTCGCCCTTCGAGAGCATTTACCGCCTAAGAACCCCAAAATCAGTAAGAGAGAACCACGCAATATGAACTCCAAAGGGAAAGGAGAACTCACCCGTAGCGCGGATAGCTCATTCGTAAATTTGACAAAAACTGGTAGAGGCGTGCCTACGTCCCGGGCGATGTACACTCGCTCCACTCGCCCGTACTAGTTGTCGTCAGTATGGCCCGACTTGCGTATTAGGGCACTAGTAGACATACCTTCTCATTACACTCCTCCCCAATCTCTTGCATCAAGCCACCTCCCTCCCGGTGTAATTCTTCATCGAGGTCCATGCCATCCAGCATCCCACGGAGAACAACCACGGGACTCATCGCCCCAAACTTGCCCGTGTCTTCATTATTCTTCTTCTTGCCGCCGATGATTTTACCGCGTCCGCCCGGTGTCACGAAACCTCCGCCTTCGGAGTCAGGTCGCTTCTTTCGCTTCTCGACCTTTACTTGTAACGGGTTGACAATGCCCGAGCCCGTTGCACCAAGCCCGGAGCCCTTGGTCCAGCCGTATTTGGCAAGTTGTCGTTCTGCAAAGCCTTTTTGACCGGGAAGCCGTGATCGAGGCGTGTCTTCGCTTTCTTCTGGCGCGGCCTCTTGCTCATTTGCAAACATTTCTTCCAATTCTGCTTCCGACGCTGGAATGTCCTCAGGCGGTGGCGGAAGTGCGTAACGGACTGGGGCGCGGGAGATGGTCGCGGAGCTGGGTTGGAAAGCATCAAGGGGGCGTGGTGGTGGGGGAATCGATGTGCTTGCTGGTGGTGGTTGGTTTCGAGATTGCTCAAGAGGGCGTAGATATGCGTCTTCACCGAAGGCATCATTAGGAGGAGGAGCTGGGGGTTCCTCAGATGGAGGCGGTGGAGGTTGGGCATAGGTGGATGTGTCCATATCACTGTTTACATGTTGACTCATCCGAGCTCGACGGGCGAATGCATCTTCTCCCGAGGGATCATCGGGAATATCAGCTGGAGGTGGGGGTGGAATATCGTTGAGGTTCGGGGGCGGCGCAAAGCTTCCGGGCGGCGCAAATCGAGCTGTAAAGTGCCAATCAGTATCTGGTTTAACGTTTCCTCCAGGAGGTGAAAGTTAAACATACGATTCATTGGACGGTCGTAGTCGCTATCGGAATCTGGCGTTGGCGAGCGCTTCATCCGGTGCGCATACAAGCGATCCTTCCATTCGCGGACCTCGAGGATCTTCTCGTCGCTGTGCCGATATTCCTCGTAGTTGTTTGGACGGGATGGATCATAGACATCATCCCAGTTTTGCATGACCATTTGCGGCTCTTGGTTCTTCTTGCGCTTCTTCCTCCCGCCTCGTTGCCGCTTCTCGCCAACATAGTAGTCAAAATCATCCTCTTCGGTCGCGGCCCAGTCAGCAAGCCTGCTCTTCACAGGTGCCGCGGCTGAAGGCGCAGCTTGGATCGCGCTAGGTGGTAGCCCTGCCTTGGGCAGTGTTGGCTTGGGTTTGGGTTTCTGGTTCAGTTGCGGCCTCTTGGTGGGCTGAAATCGAAGTGAAGCTGTCCGGTGGAGAGTAGGTGAGCCACTATTGCCCCGGTGTAATTATCAAAGAAATTCAAAAGTACCAGCATTGAGCTGCTGCTTTTTCGCAGCGGACTCGTCAGATTGCGCGTCGGTCTCGGAGCTCTGTTTGAAGACGACGGGGGCGCGGGAGATCGTGCCAGGCGTTGACTCGGCTGAAGGGTCGAGTAGATTCGCATAAAGCGACATCCCTCCCCCGCTTTTGGACGAGGTAGATTCGGGGGCCATGGTGGGCTGGTTCCAGAAACGGTTTGCGATGGCAAGTTGCGTGGAGAAGCTAGACGATGATGTCTGTGACGATAAGCAGCGCCAGGGTCTGTTTGATAGGTTTGCACTTTGTCCGCCGTAATGCAGGAATCCGGGGATAACCGGACAATAACAAGGAGTAACAATTTATCTCAACATATGTGTAGGGACCAAATATATTTAAAGACACTCATTAGAAAGAAAACCATGGACATGGCCCAAATCACTATAGAGTTGGTGCATGAGTGCAGGTCAGTATCCCATGGCTATCGTCCACCAGCCAGCCTGCACAGTATATATCTTCACACTTAAACAACATTTAGGTAGCTTCGTTTCAATTAACCAATCAAAAGCAACCCCCTCGACCGATCCATCCTCACCTTCCTAGCTATTATTGACAGCCGTGCATGTTGATTGTTTTTGGGACGGAAAAACAATGGCTTTCATGGGCGACACCGGGTAGAAGAATGTCTCCTACACAGACTAGGATCTGTCCTAGACGGATCAACTCTTTGGAGTCGAGAAGTAGGGTTTCGAGCTCGCGATCGAACGAAGACTCTGAGTGATTGTCATTAAAAGCGTAGGAAGATGTCCATTGTCTTGACATCCAGCGGAAATACTACATGGGAGAAGAAACGGGATTAGACATTGACACGGATTGAATGCAAATTGCAGCTACAGATTTCCTCCTAGTTGGAGTCATCAGGAGTTTTTACGGATTCAGCCTACTGAGCAGGTATTTGAGTGTGCTCTTTCTTGAAAATCGGGAATGCTAAACTTCTCATCTAGTATCTGCTTGGCTGCGACAGCCTCTATCGGTAGGGCATATATCCAATCGATGTCGAATGTTCCAACCGTCGTCAGCCGCCCAAACTCAGCCCCATGCGGGGCACAAGGTAGAGCGGCTCAAGCCGTAATGCCATTGGGAGCTTGGATGGCCGCTAGGTAGAAGTGCATTGCACGTGCATACACATGACTCGAGCCCGCAAAGTAACTGAAGAGGTCACTACTGACTGCTACTCTCTAGGGTCCGCTATAAATTGAGGGCCGTAAGCACCCGACTTCTTTCAGTCGAAGTTTCTCTCGAACTTGCGTCTTGTCGCGTTGAAAACATTTTGGAATATAATATCCATTCAACTACCTGATTCTAAGATTTCGATATCGACTCTTTTCAATTATGGAACCTTCTGTCCCTCAAGGGTCAAATGACCTTGAGGTTCCAACCGCACCAGACTTGGACAGCTTGCAAGGATCCAAACGTGGGAGACCGAGTGTCATTCACGAATACTGTCTAGATGCGCAAAAAGAAGGGCATACTAAATGCATATGGGTATGCATGAAAAAGGGGAAAAAGTGGATAGCAAAGGACATAAAAATTGACAACATGAATGGCGTGTTGGGAATCCCTGAGCTGCGCCAACAATACAGTTGGTGGAAGCGCCATTCTCTCTATTCAGTAATGGGGGTTAAAGAAGTGATGGTACGGTGCTTGCCTGCTTCGCTCAATTCGATACACTAATAACGAGTCACAGTTCCGTTTCGCTAAATTTGACAAAAGAACGAAAGAAATCTCGGTTTACGTGAAAGACTTTGACTACAAATCCAGGATAGCTTGGATCCAGGATGCCTATGACCGCTTGCCGAGCCCTGAAAATCCCGAGGAGTGTGGAGTTGACATAATGGAAAAAACCCATGCTTCCGTTGATTATTGCCCGAACACAGCCTACGATAGCTTCGAAGAAAAAACCTATTGTGTTGCCGAGAGGCTCCGGAAGTTCGAACTGCAGCGAGAAACATTGGAGTGGTTGCCAGCAATGATCGATTTTTATTGGCAAAATGGAATTCAATCAGATCAAATCGATTTTCTTGAGAATGGCTATTTTGTGAGACAGTACAAGTGAGTGAGCTTTGTTGTAACCCTAGTTGAGTCTACTATCTAACTATGCATTTTAGGAACCTTGCATGGGACAAATGGCGTGATGCAATGAGTCATTATGGAAAAGTAGTATACGGCTTTCAGATGATTGAGGGCTGGCATGTCCGCTCTATCTTATATCTCGTCATAGCTTCTTTGTTCCTCAGTGCTTGTGTCATTGCGATATCCACTGCGATTTTGCATAGCTTCGAGGCGGGATTGACGGCAGGTTCATACGCACTTGCAATCGCGGCCGTGATTCTTACTGCTTTAACTTTCTTTAGCGCCATCATTTGAGTGACGCATAGCATCTTCAATACTTCTTCAGCGCGTATATCGTTTATATGATTGATCATGTAGCTGTCAAGCTTTTAAAAGATGGTAGCTTGCTTGTAGGTGATTTATATAGGTTGGCATCAAAGACACGACCATCGTATGAAAAGGCTTATCTTTCCTTCCTTTTAAAACTCTAGATTCGAGGTTTACACAATACCTACCAAGTCCATATGTGTATATAATTCATATTAACATTTCTCATTAAAATTTTCAAGGATCGTACGTGCAACTTTATTCATTTTTCCTCAAAATAGACTGAGGTACTATTCTACCCACTCAGATGTGAGCATATTTGCGTTTCCGCTCTCTATGCCCAGGAACTCCAGTCCCCATTCCGTCGGTACGCATACCCCTCCTGTGGTCCCTCCGACTCGGGAAAGTATCCCAGCTCACAAGCCGAGAAACTAATATCTGGCTGCGCAGCGTAGAAAGCGTCGTACTTGGGATTCAGTGCTTCGGAAAGGCTAGTGACCTTCTTATCTGGATGAAGGACTTGCCATGGAAGCGTACATTCAGAGCTTTTGCAGCTCTTCAGCACCAGCAAGAGAGCGTCTAGACGGGAAATGACCTGCTTGATATCCCGTCCAAGTAACTTGCTCTTCGACTTGGTGAAAAGATTTCGCATCTGATAGGGGTCATTCTGTAGTGAGTGTTAGTTATAAACTGTCAAAGGAAAGCTACTTGATGGTGACTGACTGTCAAATCATAAAGTTCGTGCTCGTTGGTACACCAGACCGAGTAGAAGAGATTGTACGAGTCGCCGATGACCCGCATAGCTTTATAAGTGTTGTTGCCAGAGACAATTCCAGGACCCGTGGGTGAGGTTCGCCCGATATCTCCCTCCTGAAGGTTGGTACCCCAGTATTCAACAGAGACGTGTTCTCGGCGCGGATCATCTTTGGCATCCTGCATCTCCGAACTGGTCAGTGGCATCGGGAGTCCATCAAAGTCCTCTCGCAATGGGATACCAGCCAGATCGAACAGGGTCGCAGCAATATCGGTATGCGAGGTAACAAAGTCTACCTTCCGGCCCTTGGGCACTCGAGGACCTCGGACCATCATGGGAACATTGATGTCTTCTTCGTAAGGGCATCCCTTGCCGGGGACCATGCGATGCTGTCCAACGTGATATCCGTTGTCGGATGTGTAGAAGACGTAAGTATTATCCAGTAGCCCGTAATCGTCGAGCTTGTTCACCACGCCCTCTACCAGCTCATCGACTGCTTGGAGAGCCTGAAGCCGCCTGCGGTAATACTGGTCCATATAGGTGACCTCGCTGGCGTTTAGCTGCGGCAGATCCAAGACCCAGCTGGCTCCACTCGGCTGGAAAAGTCAGTATTCAACTCTCTCAACGTTGCGGAGAAGACGTACCGTGTCTGGATTAAAGTTCTCTCCTCGAGGAACCTTTGCGTTGGGGAACTTTTTGGCATGTCGCGCGGCAGGTACCGGGTCGGTAAATGCTGGGATAGACGAGCCCTCGACTGCAGCCGTCTTCGCATGCGGCGCGATGGGAGCAATTCCAATGAAGAATGGTCGATTAGAACCCTTTGCGTGCTCAATGAAGCCGAGGGAGTAGTTGGAGATTAGATCGGTTGAGTAGCCATCCGACACCACGGGGGCGTTACGGTTGCTCTGGAAAGTGGAGTTCCAGTAGCTGTATGTGGACGGGTCCAACAAAACTGCACGCCAGTATAATTAGAGGCCGTTTTTCTTTTTCTCACGAGGGGAATCAAAGCGTACATTCTGTCCCATTCCAACCCTTGGGATATGGATTGTTATAATTAGAAGTCGTGTGCGCATTCAAGAATTTGCCGGTATAAAAGGTGTTGTAGCCCGCATCCTGCAGCCAGACGGGCAGGTAGTTCTCATTGTGGCCTTCTGACACGAATTTCGGATATCCACCTTGTAACTGTTAGATACTTCATGAAAACATCCAAGTGGAAAGTTGCCTGCCATACCATAGGGAGGAGTAACATCGGTGACATTGGTGTTGTGTGCCAGCTTGCCCGTCATCAAACTGACTCTTGACGGACAGCAAACGGCAATGGTACAGAAATGGCGCTCAAAGACTGTGCCTTGATCTCCGATAAGACGCTGCAGATTTGGCATATAATCAAGTGAGTTGAGGTGCAGGTCCTGATCGTCTACCAAGATGAAGACAAAGTTGGGCCGTTTAGACTCCTGAGTGTGTCCAGAAGCATGGACGGCTCCTGGAGCACCCGATGCGCTGGCATTGGCCAGAAATAGACCGAAAGTCAGAAAGAGTGATGCTATTAAGCGTGGCATTTTGTGAGGACAAGATAGACTACTTTCATAAAATCCATCGGGGTCCTGTCATGCTTTTATCTCTGTGGTTCATCTCCCGGGAATTCCCAAGTATCACCATCCTTCTGGCCTTAGCCACGGACCTAACTTCATTCTCCACAGCTTGCTCCCCACGGGGAAGCTCAACTACCGTGTTCAAGTCCCGAGGGGTCCTCGGGACGTCCGAGTACTAGTGGGGCTTTCCTCTAGGTCATAGTGGGCATGACGATCTTAGCTTCACCAGCTTTGCCGAGCGGCTGAAATGCACTGGAGCCCATGAGGACCCTCGTGTGGGCGTAAGAACTGTCTATACTTACAACAATCTAAAATCGGGTACTCACTGATAATGTGGGCGGCAGCACCTCCGAGGTCGGTCTGACTGGAGTTCACAATAGATTAATCTATACTATGTCTAGCTGGTGTGATGGTCATATACCGAGGAAATCGGTCCTTCTTTCTTGTAAGTGAATTAAATCTCATCTACATAAAGTCATAAATGTAGATTCACTCCATATCTCATCCTTGAAATGATATGGCATTCACGTCACTGGTGAGTTAGAATAGTAGCATTCCAGCGCTCATAGTTCTTGCAGATGACTACGCAAGTCGAGTCTGTTGAAATTGAACCTCAATTAAAATGGAAGTTATTTAAAATCCATTGTTTAGAGCTTTTTGAAACCCCATTCCTAGTGGACCCCTAACCCTTTGCGTTAGCGATGATATTGGTCTCAATGACCCCGCCCCGCATGTTGATACCCCATGGAGAAGGTCGCTTGGAGTCCGCGGATGTCCCGAGCGACTTCGGGATGTGGAGGGAACACGGTCTTCGTCCTTAAGTACTCCGTGGTATTTAAATAGATGTCTTCACCACTTCAGTTATCTCTTTCACCGTGTTAACATCTCACCACTTCATCACTTACCATGTCGCTGCTTTCTTCGGAACAATCCCTCTATCAAAACACACATAGATGCCGATCAATCAAACTCGACAAGTGCATTCGACAAACCAAAACGGACCGAAGGAAAAAAAGAACTCGCTAAGGACCAAGGCTGCTCCTTGCTACCTAACCAAAAGTTACGGTGTTAATGCCCTTCCATCAAAAACGGCTCTCGGGCCAAATTCGGAGACAGTCGTGCCTGCTATCGATACTCACCCTAGATACTCGTCCAAGCTTAAGAGCCATAATCTGATATGGAAATCCGCAAAAGTTTGGTGGAATCAGCGCCAGTGCCATTTATATCAAAAATTCCTGAGCCTCCATTTTTCCTGTAATATGGTGTTTGCTACCTAGACCTGGACTTGGTCCTATCACCGGCGGTGTACCCGCATCAATTTACCCCAGAGTCATGATCACCCTTCTCGTTACTGAAATGTTCAATTGATCTCGGCAGTATCTTATGCAACCTCCAAGAATATGCTCAGCGCCTACAATCTGCTCACAGTCTAATACAAAACCATCAGCCCCTCTTTATCAGTGGACATCATGCATATCGTGCTTAACTCTACATCGATCTACCGACGCTAACCGATAACCAAAGCACCCCACGTCTCTTCCCCACACAGATGCCTCATCTCATACAGCCCTCAAAGTCTTGAAATGTGAAAAATGCATCAACGCAAGAGAACTGCAACCAAAATCTCCAATTCATATTCTATACGTTACAGCTCCTTGCGCACAGCAGACTTGAACTATACCCAACAAACGAAACAATTAGCAATAGAACCACGCATATCTGGCTCCCTTCTCTCTGTGGGACACTACAACCATATACAACCATACAACCATACGACCAATCAAAGTGGAAAAATAGAGATTACAACGTACCGGAATGATCTGGGCATTGGCCAGATCCCACACGCCGGAGTGCGCGTAGATGTCGTTTTCCAGGATGGCGCGCACTTCGGCCTCGTTCTCGGCGATGGCGAGCATCATGCTTCCCTTGAAGGCGGGGGTTTCGCCCTCGGCGGGGTGAGATTCGAGCATTGCGCCTGTAGCAGAGAAGGGTGTTAATCAGATTCTTTCGGTGAGCATAGTGTTTTGCTTTTGCTGGGGTTGATGAACGTTTGTCTCGGGGACTCTGTGTACGGGTTCTGGGTGTGTAAAGGAGACATATGGGAAGGGAGCAGGGCCTCATGAGGTAGAAGGGAAAATAGGAACAGTGCATGGTAATAGACGCAAGTGCTAGTAAACACGAGAACGAAACGTACCACCAGCAACGATGGTGCCCGCCGCAACGAGGGGCTTGACACCTTCAAGGTGGGAGCTAAGAGACATGATCATCATCAGCCAACGATATCCTCCACAACTCGCCCCGCTCATCTACATTCTCGTTTTCTGGGTCTGACTGCCCCAGATATCGGCGGTATAGGTACTCACGGGCGAACCTCGAGACGCTTAGCCTGCGCACCGGGGAAGTCCGGCAAGATGCAAAGGAACTCCTTCTTCGCGGGGGCGGAGCTAGACGACATGGTGCGGACGTTGAGGGGTTGGTGGTGGCAATTGCGGAGCTGCGGGCAAGAGTTCAAAGTGGTATAATATCTGGAGGTGGAATTGAAATTGGACTTGGGGGAGGTAATGCGAGAAGAAGAAAGTACCGAGTGGGAGGCACGATAAGACGGAATTATTCTGGACGGGGCGCGGAGGAAGTATTGCCGAGTGTGGGGGGTGGACGAAGCGGGGAGGTGACGGAGGGAGAGTTTGAGGGGCATTTTGGGGGGGGGAATGGGGGCTGGCGTGGGGAGGCTGTACGGAGGACTACGGAGTAGGTAGTGCAGTAGTAAGAAGTGAGAAGGTGGGTAGGGGGAGGTGTGTTCACTTGAGGATTGGAAATAGGGCCAATGGTGGGTGGTCGGGAGAAGGATGGAAGGGGAAGCTCGGATTTATGCCGAGGTTTACGTGGGGTGCACACCCAAGTTACTCAAGTCAGAACGGTGGTGTACGACGGAAGAATTACATCTGGTGAAAGAGTCAATGATGAACGGTTTATTATGTACACGAAAATGTCCGAGTCCGTCGCAGCGCGCATCCGATAGTGCCTCCGTCGGGCTCAATTATAAGAGCCCAGAGTCGGAGTATACTAGGCGAGAACCCTCTCAAAACAAGAGACTATATCATGCCACCGATTCCTCCACTGTCCATCGTTGAAGAACTGATCAAGACGCCTCGATTCAACAAGTGTAGAGAGGAAAGGAAACCCGCAATTGAACAGACCCAGTGTTTAGACTCGAGGCAGGATTGAGGAAGACAAGGAAAAAACGAAATGATTGGAAACATATGACATGACAATGACAGTAACGGTCCGGTTCTCGATCCCTAGAGGAATGTTTGCAAGAAGAAAATATGACAATGACATGGGCAGATCACTCAGATCAACACCAGCCAGTCTTGCATTATGGGGGGCCCAGGCATAACCCAAAGTAGGGCCTAGATCCCTAGAACACAAAGAGCCTGGCCAGAGAAACTCTGGCAAACCGCCCGGGTAACAAGAACAAATTCAGTATATCAAAAAAAAGGAAGGTCTGGAGAACCGGCCAATTCTATAGACCCTGCAATCCTGCCAAACAACATTTTCCCCCGTAGCGCCAAGGTAAAAACAAAGACACACAACACATACACACACTCCCTAGAACGCGACAACGAAGATGGGGTGGATTATGGAAAATCATTAGGCTTCCGTCGCGCGAAAACATCCCCTCCGAGAATAAATGGAAAAAAGGAGAAGCGGATGGGTGGGTGTTTACAGTCACGGTAGGTAAGACCACCGTGTCCGTGGACATGATGCCCGAGTATATACTAGACCCTCTCGTTGGGCTCTAGACGGGTCGATGAGGATAAGGGAGAGCGGAGGGGATGATTGGGGGAGGACGGATCGAGGGAGCAAAGATCAACTTTGGGACCCCCGTGGAGCGATGTGGCTCACTGGCTATGTGAGATGCAACTTGTTTTCGGTTTAGTAAGCCTTGCGATCTCCCAGGTTGCCGGGCTTCTCGTCCGTGTCAATGTGCCAGACCACGTAGTTGGGCAGACCAACGACCTGGTAGCCAGCACGCTTGGCCATCTTGGCGAAGCCCTCGGTTTCGGCCTGGTTCTCGAAAGCGTATGCGGGGAAGTTGATACCTAAAAAAGAAAAAAAAGCGATGGTGGTTAGAACCGAATGGAAAGGATCCGATGAGCAATTATCCACGTACCAGAACGGTGAACGTCAGCCTTGACGAGGATGTTGACGCCACCAATACCGTCAAGCTCGACCTCCTCGTCCTTGTTCTTTCTCCAGTCACCCATGCTGACGAGGTAGGTACGGCCAGTGTCGTACTCCTTGTAGCCTTCGGCCAGGATGGTATCGGGGTCCAGAGTTTCGCGCAGGCGGCGGGCCTTGTCAGAATCGATCCAGGAGTTGTAGTCGACTAAGGGAGATAGAATGGTCAGTAAAATGCACACCGAGCGGCTGGACACGATAAGGGAGAGGGAAACATACAGCGACCTTCCACGTCACGGCCGTCGCGGTAACGGTGGAACCAAATGTCTGTCAAATGCACGTTAGCGTGATCCACTCATGTTGAAACCACCTCGTTGGCTGGAAATCAACATACTGGGCACAAGAATATCCTTGTCGTGGGCCATAAAGTCCTCCAGAATGCGCTCAGGGCAGTCAGTAATGTCCACGTCACGCCAGTAGACCCAAGAGTGATCGGGCTTGAGAGCCGAGTAGAGCAGGTAATTACGGGCGCGGCCGATAGCCTTGCGACGAGGACCCTGAGCAGCGAAGGAGTGTCGCTCCTCGACGCTCATCTCAGTCTCGGCACCAAAGTCCTTCTTGACGACGGTAGCGCTGCGGAAACGGATTTTTTCATCGGCGTGATTTTGGATGCGATCGAGCTCGGAGGCCAGGTTCGCCAGAGTATCATCCTTGCAGTCACCGACCAGGAAGGCCAGATCGATCAGGTCGTGAGGGTAGGTCAACTTGTAAAGCAGGTCGAAATATTTCTCGAGGTAGGGGGCGGCGTCGCGCAGAGGGGTCAGGATGAGGACGCGCTCTTTGTTGAAGAAGGCCTGGGTGGTGGACTTGATAGGGTTGAGATCGACTTCGGCGATGGAGGTGCTGTTGACTTCGTAGGGCTCGTGATGGTTGAAGAGGACGGGGGTCTGGGCGTGTGCATTCCACTCAACCATCTCGTTGAGGGACATTTCCATCGGGGATTTGGAGGAGCCGTAGCAATAGAAACTAGATCCCATCACGGGACAGTGGTTAGCTACATCCGAAAAGAATGAGGATTGTGACGTGACATACTTTTGCATCTCAGATGCCGACTTGCTGACACCGCGCCACAGCAGGATAACCAGGCCCGTCACGGCCACGGAGACCAAAAAGCGAGTCCGCGTCAGGAGAACGAGGATCGCCCTCCATGGCGGCAACCCAGCCCTGGCGGACTTCCAATTGACTCCACCCTTTGGCAACAGCATGATTTAAGAAGAAATAAGGTAATTCGAAAAAAAGGGCGAGAGTGGTGATGGAGAGTTGTTGTTGGGTGGATTCGATTTTCAGGAGCCCTGCAAATCGGGGATCCGGGGATGTTGGGATTCTGGGTTCACTGGAGGCACGCCCGTCGAAAGCCCCTTACCGACCGAACGAATGAGGCCTTGGAGGACGCGCGAATGGCCCGACGAGGAAAAATGGTTGATGGGGGGAGAGGTTGAAGGAGTGGTGGAGATAGGGAGGTTAGAGGGAGAGAAAAGAGGAGGACGGGATCGCCGGGGGTCGTGGCATTGGAGGCCCTGCCAAGCGGGACGGCTAAAATCAGCACAACGCTGAGACCAGCACACCGGGTCCAGAACATCGATACTGGTTAGCTAATGGACTTTATGAAGGTTTTGATTTGGAGAGCTCGGGAATAGTCTGTTAAATAGGGTTGAAAGACGGTATCAACGTATTATTGTCTATACACATTGTGCACACTACACTATCTACAAAACTATCCCATGCGCTACTCTAGAGTGATCGTCACGTTTCGTGCCTTTGATCCCGATCCTCCTTGACAGCCACGGTTAGACCCGAACACTTATTTATAGCGTACCAAAATGACTACCACCTGCCGTATATAACTATGCCAGTTATAATGCTTTACACAACCTGTTGAGTGTACTGTATACTTAAATATCAAAATACCCCGACGTTCGTAATACAAAATTGTATCTGTCCTGATCATCCCTTTGAATTTTGAATTGTACCCGCCACTTACATGTCACTGACGCACGTACGTTACGAGCTGCGTATTTCGGCCGGTTGTGGCGTTTTCTCTCCCAACCTTTTCGCCAACTTAGTTCAACTTCTTTGGAATACAAGTCCATTGTACATAGAGTAATTGCCATTAAATTGCTGGTGGAGATATTACCGCTATGAATTTATTCCATGAGACTAATCAGGCTTTAATAACTTCAAAGTTCATCACATGCAGAGGTATCAGTACCCTGGTCAGATCAACTACGGTCTCCTTCTATATAGTCTAGTTAATCATACTGACGCTTGCTCTGCAGTGTATTGAGAGACATTGTTCAAGATGAGCAAGCAATCATGACAAAGGCCAAAGAGACATAGGTCCTACTTCATAACGCATAACTGGAACAACGGGTGTTTCCACCTACTCAACAATATACACACAATTTACAAGAACATCATCAAGCATCCACTTCGTGAAATTACCTAGAAGGTTGTAGCCTAGCCCTAGGTATAAGACGCCAGCAAAAAGAGAGAGATCATCGGCATCCCTTCGATCCAAACATAGACAATACCACCCCACCTCGCTCATCAAACATGAACCTTGCCAAAGATCAAACCGATCACCAAGTGACCGATGAACCCTTCACAAACCCATAACTCACTCCTCCATGAAGATGGTGCGCATGAGCTCATACGCCTCTGAGGAATTCGCCGCCGGAAGAACACCGTTGTACGAGTACGTCATGGCCTGTTCCATGATCGTATTAAACGCCTCCTCCAACATCCCCAACTCCCCGTCATCCTGACCGATTTCCAGCTCAAACGCAGCCTGGGTGGTCGGATGAACGACACGCAGCCAGATGTCTATCTCGGTGATATCGGGGATCGATCTCCCGAGACCTTGGCTGAGGGCGTCAACGAACCGGATGAATCTCAATCCGGCGCTGTCAACCCAGGTCGTGTGCAGGAGGGTTGATGTCTGGCCTGCGGGGTTGGAGAGGATGTCGCTGAGGCGAAACTCAGCGTCGGGGAAGGTCGGGTCAGAGTCGACCTCGCGGAAGTAGAACTGGACATCTGGGATCCAGCATCTCTGGTCGGTGTCCGGGCCGGTGGAGGGCTGGACGTTTGGGGCTGTCCCTGCTGCTGCTGTGGTACCCGGCATAGAAGTAGAGGTGGTGGTAGTGGCGGCGGTAGTAGTTGTGTCAGTAGCAGCAGGGGCGACAGCAGGGTTGCAAGCTTGGGTGACAGCTTGAGACGCAGCTTGAGTATGTCCAGGTCCAGGGGCAGGTCCAGAGTCGGCGTCAGTGTCGGCGTCATCTTGCAATACGGGGTGGTTCTTGAAATAGTCAACCCAGGCCTTTTTGACCAGTCGAGCGAGTTTTTGTAGCGCGAAGAGACATTCATCCGAGTTGTTAGCGTAGGCGGTCCGAATAGAGGTACAAAGTTGGCCGTCGGGGGAAGTGATGTCTCTGATCAATGCGGTTCTGAAATTGGCTCGGGTCTTATGAGGTCTGAAAGACCGGATGTCTAGTTCCATCATGAGCTCGCTCAGAAACTCGCGAGTGTGGGCTTGATCCTCTGAACTCCCCGAGATGCCGAGCATATCGTAGATCTGGTCGCGGGACACCCAGCTCGATGGGGAATTAGCGGTCCGCGACATCTTATCGACGTTACGCGATGACTCGTCGGACTGGTAGCAAAGTGGAGATGGCGGCGAGTATTGAAGTGCGCGGCGGTAGTAATATGAAGTTCAAGACGAGAATGAGGATGATTTTGATAGAACTTGATGGTGATAGTGATGGAACCAGATGACAATTGTGATGGTGATGAGAAGGTTGCGTCCGCCAGAAGAGTGGAAGGGTGATGCAGAAAGGTTGATAATAATGGGTATGAAGTGAGAAATTGAGCTCGTCGACGCGTTATAGAATCGCGCTAGAGGATCGCTTTCGTGATGTTTATGAGCTTGGAAAGCATCATGTCTATCAGATGAGGCAGCTACGCGATAGGACGCGTTTTGGTCTGGCTGATATCTCGCTGACCCACTTGAAGGACAAGATATCATGTGGAGTCTGAATAACCTCACTTCGGACATCGACACGGCATTAGGATTTAGATTGAGAGAATCTCCGTGAAGTTGAAATATTCAGTGAGATTTACATGCGTACCTGATTTTAACCCTAACCAATACACCACGGTTGATCTACCCTAGGTATAGAGCACGACTTGGATCAATGGAGCAGACAGTATCAAAGTCTATATGGTTTCCAATATTGAGTCATGTACTGCCAGAATATTCCTGGCTACGCATATAACTATAACTTCTATAAAATACCTACATAGGTGATCCCTAAATTAGTCTAAAATAGGCATTGCATGATACAAATACGCTTATGAAAACGCTCATGAAGATGTCCAATGAAGATACCCGATGAAGAGTACCTTTTCCCGCTAGCTTTGAACAGAATACACTGTTGAATATAAAGTCATAGTTACACCTTTGAAACCTTACTAATCCAGTGAGTCCCCACTCCCATCTAATTTCAATGATACTAGTGTATCGACATGGTCAATGCTAGCTCTCTTAACACTTAGTAATTTGAAGTAGGTGAACAAAGGTAGTTTTATATGCCAGTCATGCTTAATCCGATCAGTTATGATATATCACACTCACTACCTAAACATGAAACGGGCTACATTGGCCCCACCAGACGTGCAGGTCACACTGCATGACTTTTTGTCTGAGCCCCTAGAAGACTTCCACAGAACGGCAGACGTGGCAAGATCTGGCAATTTCGAGGAAAGGCCAGGTATCGGTTTGCATTCCGGGTGAAGTTAATCAGACAAGTACAATCTTGAAACGACGAGACTACTTGATAGGGAAGGAAATTTTCGTTTCATCATATCCAATTGAAAGTCAACTATAGACAAGAAACCCACAAAGGAAACAAAAAATATCAGTAACATAGACAAAGAAGAGACATAAACCACCAGATGGTATATCCATATCGTCACATCGCCAAGAATAAACAAAAGAAAATAATAGGGAAGAAAGAGACAGAGAAAGAGGAAAGAAATGAGCCACCCATTTTTGGAGGGACAAATGAAATTATCAGAGAAAAGATGAAGGAAACAAGACGGGGTCCGCACCAACGGAAAATAGACAAATGAACACCGAACAGGGATAAAGGCAGAAGAGGTCGCGACTTTCCCGGGGTTGGATAGGGCGGATAGGCTGGAAGTTTGTATAGGCAACCAGGGCAAAGTGAAAGTTCAAATAGTGTTACAATGGCGACGCTAAGGCGAAAGGGCCATAAGTTGAAGAAGGACAAAGCAGGCATGTGACGTGATTCGGTGATTCGATGATTCGAACCGGGCATTCAAACGAGCAAAGCTCATCAAGTTCGAGGCCCGCGACGCAGGGGGAAATAAAGTTGGAGGGTTGGTGTACCATCAACGCCGCCGTCTGCAAGGGGGTGGGCGGAGAGTGAAGGTACGTGCGGGAGAAGACGGAAATAAATCGGATTGGGATATGGCAAGTAGTCGTGGACACGTCAGGATCAAGATGTTTTGGAATGGCTTGATTGATTGGCTTATGGTGAGCCAAGCAGAGAGGGACGGCGAGAAGCCGAAAAGCTGAATGAGGCCTGTGATGAAGGGAAGGCAGGGGATGAAGGGCCAGTAATGGGTGGCGTGGAACTGAGGTACGAACTACCGAAGGACTGCGATGTGGCGCTGGGCAGGGCGTCGTGGTGTTGATATGACTGCATGGGGTTGGCATCGGAAGCCCTGCTGGCGCCGATCTCATCGCAGAAGACCCGCAGGCCGGGGAGTGCCTTCTTCTGGCGCTTGTGCTCGGGGACCTCGATCAATGAAGGGGTAGTAACTTCGGGCTTCGGGGAGCGGAACATTTGCTCGTAAGATTTGAGTTGGAACTCGAGGGCGCGGTTGCGATCAGCCAGGAGATCGTTTTCGGCCTTGGCAGCACGCAGTTGTTGTTGCGTGGTTTGGTTCTGTTGTTGGAGGGACGTCACTAGTTGCTGCAGCTGCATGCAGCGGACCTGGGGCTGGAGCTTTTCGGAGAGTTGGGGGGAGACTTGCTCCTGGCGGATCAGGTGGACGATGATAGCCAGCATGAAGTCGATCAGGTAGACGGCACCTTGAACGATGTGTTCCTTGGACTGCGGCAGGCTCTTGGATGGGTTCCATCCAGCGCGCTCCAAGAAGAAGTCGTGAACCCGGCTGTCCAACTCGCGGTGGAGCTGGCTAAGGTTCTTGCGACGGTTGCCCTCGGCGATGCGGTGTTTCTCGCGCTGATCATCCGGGTCGGGCGAGACGGTGCTTCCCTTGCGCTTACGCCCGCAGAGCTGCTGGAGAGGCGCCTTGCGGTTGATATTCTGAGGTGCGATCAGCGCCATGATCTCGGTCTGGGAGAGATCGGTGGGCCATTCGGTGGAAAGAGCCTTTTGAGATGCAAATGTCTCCTGCCAGGAGCTTTCCGCAGAGTTGGCCGGCGAGGGGGGGGCAATGATTTGGTCATTGCCCGACCAAGGGGACTTGAATTGGCACGACTCCTGGGCTCCCGGGGTGCTGGGAGCAAAGGTATCCTTGTGCTGGAAAGGATTGAAGGGACCACGAGGCAGAGGGTCCATTCGCGGGAGGGGAGGCAGGCGGCGGTCCTCACCCAGATTGGTGTTGGTCATGGCAGTCGATTTCAGAGAACTAGATATGTTAGGATGGTGAATTGAAAACTTGCAAGCGGTATCAGGTGCAACTCACGGGAGCGAGCAGCGTCGCGGAATGTCGTCAGTCATAGAACCCATTTCTTCATACATCGTGTATATTCGTCAAATAATAGGCGCGAGGGTAAGAATATGTGCAGGTTGTCGGGTGTTGGTGCAATGAAGATCAATAAAAAGCCACACGAGTCTATGTACGAAAACGAGCAACGAGTCGAGTTGGGAACTGTCGTTGTCCTCCACGAGAGTATTCACGATTCGACGACAGGGGATGATTGGTCTGACAGAGATGAATGGATGTTGCAAAAAGGTCGTCACGAATCAACAATGGCAATGTATATGAACGAAAAACCTGGTGATGAACTAAGAGAGGGGCAGGATGTATAGACAAAGAGATGCGAAGCTAGGATTCAAGATCCACGCGAGGGTGTGAATGTGAACAATGAGTTAATTCTAAGTTTATCGGACACGGGGGCTGGGATGCATGTTTATATGTTGACGACGAGGAGGGCCAAGAAGGGAAAGGGAAAGGAGAGAGGCATCGAATAGCTTTTTGGTCGGTACTTTTGGTCCAGCTCGATCCAAACGCCATCGAGCCAACGAGGCCAAAAAGGGTAGAGCAAAGCTCGGGACTCGTCTCGTCTCCGGGATCCAGGAGAGGGGAACCGTGAACGATCAGGGCCGATCATCAAATCCATCAAGCGCGGAAGACCGGGATGTCATACAGACAGATACTGTGCATGATGCATGGCGCATAGCGCATGGTGGGCTGTAAGAGACCCACGGTCACGACGGGGAAGCGGCGTGGACCATCCGCTGGGACTGGGCCCTTCGAAACAGGGGCAAGATGGTCGATCGAGGATCTCTGTAGCAAGCGTATCTGTCACATCCTGCACGGATGAACGGGGTCGTCACCATCTTGTCGATCGGCGAATGAGAGAAGAGCGATGGTGCCCGAGAGAGAGGTTCGGGAGGGGGCGAGGATCTACGGGGGCTTTGATTTGTCACCGGCCAGTTGGTTTGGGGATCGTCACGGGGAACGACTTTGGAGACCTGGTAGTCTGCCCTTGCATCAATAGTCGCCAGTCTCTTATAGTATTCTATAGCCTTTCCGATAGCCAGATACGGCAATGCTCGGTCATTGTGGAAGAAAGTTCCAGAGTATTGATCCGGGAGAAGATTCTACAGTGCTACATACTAGTACGGTGCAATCTGATCATAATATTCTACGGGTCACTCACCCGTGCATCACTAGCTCAAACACCGTCAAGCCTCCTTGGAAAATCCTCCGGTGTCCCATGTGGGGTGTGACTGTTTACAAATGATTGAGTGCATAGACAATCTAACTACTGGAAATATGCTAGTGAACATTAAGTCTGGTCCGTCTAGACTCATCGGTAGCCAGGAAAGGGGAAAAAATCAGTTTCCCCGTGGATTAGTATCCACAGTATAAGGCTATGAAATACTACGGCGTATACTTGGTAATTTGTTAAAAAGAAATTCCATAAACGGCTCCTTGATATTTGACTTGCATATTTCCGGATCGAAAAATATTCATAATTCAACCTAGATGATAGAAAATAGAAAAAAGAAAACGGAAAAGAACAGTTCCTCGCCAGTAATCTCGACACATCATGAACCATCTTGAAACACTGCTCACTGCAACAAGGATGCTCATCTCGAACGTATTCCTCAGATAAAGTTAAGCCCTCCATAGCATGCATCGATGTTCAGGAGAACCGACCGTCATAGCGAAAAAGGTTCATTCGGTCGAAGGGGTAATCCGTCGATCCTCTTTTCTTACTACTCATAACAACATCATCATTGATCATTGCCTCCCGCCCCTATAATTAAGACTAATGAAGCAAGGACGTCCGAGTTTCATCTTCAAACTATGCGAGGAGGTCGTCCGGGGGGTACAATGGCATTCAATGAACCTGAGAGAGTAGACTACCATTTTGCGGGAATATCATCTAAGATTATCATCTACAACCTTCCGGCAAATCAAATTAGATCAAATCGCTTCATTAAGATCAACTGGAAACTTCAGTAGCTATTCAAATACCCCGTATTTCTAATTAATCACCTAAATCAAATCTCCTCTCGCTCGCGCCTCCACCGAACACGGGCGGATGGATCTATAGGGCCTCCCAGCCAAAGCGTGATGATGACCAAATTATTCAACGATCAAAAAACGTTATTAAACGGGGAAAGTGCTAACTGTGCGGTGCGGTGCTGTGTAACAATACTACTGTAGGGCCAGCGAATCTCCCCTCTCCCGGTAAAGCAAATGATCCCGAGGCGAGATGATCGCTCGAGGAGTACCACCGAGTTGGAACGACCCAGGACCCAGCGACCGGGATACGATGCCTGTCAGTTGTCGAATCAGATGGCAGAGAGCGATTTGGAATTGAAGTGGAAAGTGGCACACGGACGTTTGGCGTTCGTTAGCTCCTCGAGTGTGGACGAGTCATGGAGCTGAATTGGGTATGGAGTAGTACTTGTTACCGGGGGGCCGAGCCCTAAATAGTTGCACGTTCCGTGGACCCTTTCAGCTAATTACTATGAGGAGATGGTCCATGACATTGAGGACGAAGGAGTCTGAATAATGGAATCTTAACCTTTAACTCTTCTTCAAGTCTTTCGGCACCTACCATGTCGCTAGAAAATTAATTGAATGCTCGCTAAAACTGGGTGGGCCCTGCGACCTGAAGAGGATCGGAGCTGTCATATTTCTCCTTGCCGCCCCTCGTCGAAGGGGCGCACTAACCAGCTCAATCCCACGTTCTCGCTGAACCTTTTAGTGCGATTTAGTGAGATAGATTTAATGAGTAAAGAGTATTCAGTTCTCATGTTGACACCGGGAACGGTCCCAAGTGCTGGCTAGGAAATCGACAGCACGATGTCATACGACTCCGTTGTACGAACTATGTAGCATAACCCTACAGATTCTCTCTGTTCGCCGCTACTGTACAACATTTCCTTGCCTCACTTTTCCCCGATAATACTCAATAACCCATCCCCATATCCAAATTGGTATTCTTGCATACGGCTCCTCTCCTAGGAACCCCCGCGCCTGCGCCTAAGAGCAGTGTGCAGTCCGCGACCTGCAGCACCTCTCGAGGGGAACGGAACCAGAATTTAGCGGAACCTAGACCTACCAACCATGAACCATTCACAACTTGTACCTACATCCTCACCCATGGTCCCTATGGAATAGAACAAACTCATTTTTTCTCCTCTTCCGGACTTCCCCAGGACCCATCGAGACCCCCTCGTCAATCGGTCATGACTCCCAACCTACCATTTCGAGTGACGTGCAGCTAGTGCTAGTGCCCACCCCTCTCTTCTGGAGATGTTATCTGAATTATTCCGACAGACATATCGGTGTTTCTGGGGCGTATTTTGAGTTCATAGATCAGAGATCAGAACCCTGGGACGGTGATCCCTGGGAAACTGGATCGGAGTCTGAGCGTTGCTACTGTAGGTTTCTGAGAGATATGATTGATTTTCCTTCGGTGCATCGTATCCTTTCCACATTTTCATTTCTTTTCTTTGGGATCCCGAGTCCCAGGATAGACTAGGAACGGAGAGATATTCATCGTGCGGTGCGGTGCGTGCTTCTTCCTCCAACAATTCCATTTTGATAGACCCTTGATAGACTACTTAGACTACTCATTTTGTGCTCATACTATCATACCCCTGTATTCCTCCATGGGTTGGAAGAGTCCGATTCCAAATTTTTTTGACCCCTTGTACACACAGCGTGCGGTCGGGATCTTGACCCGTGCGGCTCCAGGTGCAAGGACCAGCCCTGCTCGCGAGGATTTCGCCTCCACGGGCCAGGGGTATCAGCATCGCCTCCACGATTGAAAGAGTCTGCAGGCGCCAATCATTGCTCTCGGCGGGGGCCCTCCTCATGCCAATTGATTTGTATCTTCCCCAATAGTGGCCTATAGTGGACCGGGATGCTGAGAGTAACCTGCCATCGACCTGTCAAGTCTCAACCGTCCGAGTTGACATGGCGGGGGCAGTGTCGTGTCTCACTCAACAGGCAGAAATTAGGAAGAATTTTAGGTCTAGCAAATCTAGTCTTCCAATTTCTTCAATTTTTAGGACTATCAGATCTCTTACCCTACGGAACCCACTTACTCTTCCACTACTGTGGGTTCTCGATATGCTCCACTTCACATCGAATACTAATCGTGGGCTGGTTTACAAATTCCGATGTACATGTAGAGAAGTCGCAAAAGTACCCGTTCATGTGTTGTATCCACTGCTGCGAGATCTCGCTGTACCTCCGACTGGGATCTGCCACTGTACAGTAGATACTTAGGTCCTTGTACTTTGAATACCGCATGCTACAGATCTACGTGCTCTCCAAGCCACGCAACTCATTTTCCGATACAAAACGGAACGATTAAGATGCCAATGGGACCCTCCAGCTTAGGGCAAGCCAAACTCAGTATGTGTAGCGATCTGGTCATGCAGTCAGATACTGATGTATTCTCAATGACGCTGTGGATCCGTGGAGTTTTTTTTTAGCCTGGCGATATGTCTGCTCTCGCTTTATTTCGCCGTCTTTCAGGATCATGTAGGTACAGGGGACAACTGTACGTGCTGCTGGGATCTTGCTAAGACTGGGGATCGGATCCGCCTCTGCCCCGAGTCTAGTGGCAAGAATTGACGCAGACTCTGCAGACTTTGCATGCTCGTGCTGGGTAAGAAGTACAATGGACGCATGGTTCCTGGTGGAAGGGATGAGTATGCTCGTTCGGTGGTGATACGAGGTCAATAATCTCATCATGCAGGCGTGCTGTTGCCAATGACCAGTGGTTATCTGGACGAGAGCAAAACATCAACATAATATTATTCCCCCAGAATATGACGCAATAGATATTAGAAATGAACCATGTATATTATCTATTGGTAGAGATACAGCAAGGGCCGCCGACCCATAATTCGAGGATCATCAGAGAAGTGGACCAAAGTCAATGGCGTATACTCTTAGGCCCAACGCAAAAGACGTCCAAAATATCTTCAATTTCGAAATAGAAAGCAAAAAATGTTGCACGGTGTACGCTACGCCAAAGAGCGAACCGTGGTTATGTGCGGGATTATAGATATCGGGGGAGGAGAAAAATACGATTATGCTTGCCAACAACAATCCCCAAAGGAGTCGTCCAAAATCTCAATAAATTACCCGACTGGTCACCGCCACCAGCCTGCTGCAAGGACTAAAGGTACCATACAGATCTGTTAGCGCCTGGGCCACATAGTGGAAGGTCTATTCTGAAAAGATGCTATATTCGGAACTCAAATTCGCCGCATCTGACACGTCTTCGTTACAGGGTATGTGCAGGTGGTCAACGCTTACACGTCCCCCGACAAAGACCCAGGAACCAAGAATACAAGCAAGCAAAAGCTAGCTCGTCGCCCGTGGAGTTCGCGCAGGTTCGTACTGAGAGTTTATGGGTTCCTACATTGTACTCCGTACGTTTGCATAAGTGCGAGATCTATGCGTAAGTGTATGTGTATGTGCGCTCGCGGGCTCGTCCCATCGCCCGGCGCATCAACTACAGAGTACATACTGCATCTCGGGATCCTATTTCCCTTTATCCTGATATTCCTTTCCCCAGTACCTGGATCACCGGTTGCCTCCAATGCAAGGCGAATGTATCTAAATGGGTCCATTGAGATAGGATTGTGAATCCGGTAGGCTGGTGCTCTGTGCAATCGCTTGGGGTTTCCACTCAAATACCCTACCTACATGTAGTATGCAACGAGATCGATAGAGAAACGAGGGTGCAAGATGCAAAGCGTAAATGGGAAAAGGCACTGGACTACTGTACGGAGTACAAGGTGGTGTATCCCTTGCCACTGCTGTTAATCATTTCGTCTTGCCCCTGCGTATCGTGTACTTTGTCCACAAAAGGATGGGAATGCATAATGCTCTCCCGCCCTCTTCACAAGACGGATACATGGGAAGAGGGACATTGACTGCTTCGTGCCCATTTTGGTAACTGCATCAGAAAACTACTGCAAGAAACATGGTGCGCTGAGTTTACAACTCAAGGCCCTCACCAAACCCACTTACATTATCCACTTTGTTATGGAGAGTCCCATACACTGCACGTAATCACTGCCACTCCTCGAGAATCCTCACGAAAGAAATCCACTCAGCAAATCGAGCCTCCAACTATCAAGATGAACAGATTTTTCCATTTCCCCTCTCGATCGATTATTCTAGCACGTACTACTGACTACTCCGGATGACGATCAATCGTTCCCGAGAATCCTGGCCAATCACCCGCGCCTTCAGCCAGTGTCGTTGAGTTCCCCCAATTGACAGGACAAAGGGCCAACAAAGTTTAATCAGTTCCCCGCGCGGCGGAGACGAGGCTAGACCCTAGATGAACAAGGATAGCGTCCCAGGGATATGGGTAGAAACTCAGCTATGACGATGAATGGAGATTATCCTCCCTATGCTGATTTCTTTCATTGGTCGAATTCAAATAAATAATCAATAACTTAGAGCCTTACAACTCTTTGTCCATCAGTGGACCGTGCCTACCAAGGACATTCTGTGTTTTGTACGGAGTAGTTCGGGGTGTGCTCGAGTACACTCCCGAGGATAACCTAATTCCAGCCTAAGGGTTGAAAGGTAAAGGCTGAGGGTAAGTGCATGTTTGATCTGTCGCTAGCCTTGTACCAGGTTCGTCCCTGGCATTGCGATCGACTCGTGCAGGGAGCCACGAAGGTGCGTCCTCGGGCAGAGAGGACCACGCACTTGTTTTTTACTGATGTGTTCTCTTCCGGCCAGGATAATCAAGTTAGTCAAGTTAACTTGAATCGATTGGGGCCACCTTTGCTACTGTTCTCAAGCGCACTAGAGTTGTTTGAATTTCAGACCCGCACACTAAACCTGAGTAGCCCACTCCCAGAAGGCCAGCAGGCCGGAACAGCCAAGGCCCATAGCCTCGATCTGCTCTCTTCTCCCCCACCCGAATCCCATCGCCCATCGCTCATCGCGCCGTAGGAAAAGGGCCCTTCGTTCCTTGACTGCGCAGCGCCCGTTCCTGCTTCTCGCACATGCAACATGCAAGATAAGATCATTGCGATCGCGCACTCCCCTCTCTCCATGTGTAAGTTTGTATCGTCATCGTGTGCTTCCTTAACTTTGCCTGTCTTAATCACTACACTTTGGGCCCCCCCCCCCCGCCACCCTACCGATCATCAATGGATTCGACTCGATTTCACCACGATCGCAAATACCCACCGACTAAAGGAAGAGTAGTCCGAATTTTCACTCTAATGATTCTTATTGGATCTTTAACATGGAAGCTCGTGCGCCTTTATCCGAACTTTGTCTATTAATCACGTCAATACCAGCCTCCCCGCCCCCTCCGCTATAAGCCCCCAACGAGCAATCATGGACTACGGGGTATACAATTCCATAGCATTCACTTCTCTTTAGTCTCCGGAATACCAGAACTAGTACAATCTTGAAAATCCATCCCAAGTCCTCCATCCTTCGCGTAAAGGTATCCACAAAACCCATCCCCGATCATTAATGAATCCCCCCCTCTTCACAACCATCTGATCCTCGAATCGGAAGCATCGCCCGTCCAGACGCAGGATCCGGCCACCGCACAATTTGATACATCCACTTTTGAAAGGTGAGAATGTGCCAAACCCGCGAACGGGGCCACGCGATTGTCCGTTTCGTCGATGCAAGACAAAACAAAAATCTGAGACGCACATGGCTGAAAACGAACGGATCCCTAGAATCGGGAGCGGGGAAGGTTTATAGGGATTGGGACTTTTGTTGTCTTTGCTTAGGTTGGGTTCACGGCTGGGTCAACTAGTCTGTTGTCTAGCACACACGGCACACCGTACTAATGTACTGTAGAGCCCGATGCGTGGACCCCGAACGAAAATCTAACACGCACAAAAGGTAAATCCCGAGAGAACACCGAGCGGACAGATAAATACAAAAACAAGTCCCGAAACCTAATCGCAAGCTAAAAGGTTTCTATCCTGCAGAGGCGAAGGGGAGTGGGGTAGAGTAGAGGGTGGGGGCACGGATGGGTTCGTTGAGAAGATGAGCGCCAGCGCCGGCGCTTTGAAGTAAATAGAAGTAGAGTAAAAGGATCAAATTAGAAATATAGAGTATAGCAAGTCTTCGCCGGGATCGGAGTTACATATGGAATGGAATTAGACTTGGTGTCAGGCATGCTAGGAGAAATCGCCGACTCTAGAATGATGTTTTAGATCGGAGGCCTGGATTGCAGTAGTATACAGTAGTGCATAAGCAGAGGCGAAGATGAGACAACAGAAAATATGATAGAGTCTGAAACTGTAGAAGTATGACGTGGCTAAGGGGATTGGGAGCTCCAGCCACAATCTTACTGTGCTACCTCCTAGAAGTGTAGATCAAATTGTACTGGATAGTAACTCTTGAGTTCCGATTTGCTCAATACGATGGCGATAACATAGTAATGCAACTAACTCCAGGTACCTGACTGCAGCATGTTCGTCTCAGAAGTCTTCCACGCTACCTCATGCACAAAAAGTAGATACATTCGACAATTAATCGTTCCGGATCTTGATCTAACTTACTCTAAACACCAGCTCCAGATACCGCAGGTAAGACTCGCTTATCCTGTACGGTACTTCTGCAACAATGAACACCTCCATCGGGGATCATCGAAACGCATTCTCTTCTCAAGATGTGAAACTGATCTAGCTAGATGCATGAGTGGATTCCAGAATTTTCCATCTTCGAGATCTACCCGACCCTAACCTACTACAGAGTACTCTGACTTACCCCGCTCAGCGTGCAAGTCTCGGTCTTTGAAATGTGGCTCCGATCAGGATCCCGAATACCTGGATACGTTGATTTTTCAAATCTTGAATCCGAGGTGTGGCGTTCTTAGTTTGAGGTCTTTCGTGGCGCTGTGGATGATCGGGGAGTTGTGAGATGGGGCTGGGTGGGGACTAGATCCCGAGACGACGATAGATGCCCGTGGACGGATGGAGATTTATCGGGCTTCACCTCACGCCGGAGGTATATTACCTATTTCGATCTATACATATGGTATGTCTTGATAGTGAGTTTTGTCGGATTCTATTTGTCCTGGTGTTTCGCGAAGCAATTGTGGTCTACGTTCAGCAGGCGTGTCCAAGGGTTGGATTGTTAAATGCTAGTAGGCAAATATGTGTATTCACATTATAGTATCATATCATAGACCTGCTAAATCAATTGATCAATAATAGAAGCTCATCAACCTTACCAAGTAGAATGACCCTGGAGCATATTGTGAGTACTATACCCGAATGCAGTGATATATATCGAACGTTGCGTGAATAGTCAAGGTTGAGACCCAGTTGTCCAAGATTGAATATACTTCAAAATGACATCCACTCGAGACGTACAGTCTCAAAACATCCATCCATATACTACAAGATGCAATTTCTACCTCGACAACTGTTCATCCAAGTACAGACCACGACAAGCACATTGCAGTACTCTCCAAAAGATAAGCTGCTGAGCATCCACATACGACCTCGTAAAGAAACAAGGTCATATCTAGGCTATCAAAGACAGAGAGCCGGAACGACACCGCCAACTACAAAGAAATGGGGGTATGATGGTTTTGTTGAAGGGAAACATTCCCTAAACCTACAAGCCAAACCAGACCATTTAGCAGATAAACTACTTTTCACCTCAGGTATACCATATCTATAGCCCTACGAGACTAGTCTTGCCAGATTCAAACTGCAAACCGAATACATTAGCACCAGCGTGCTCGCAGCTAAAGACATATCAAGACAAGCAAGGACATGGGTGGGGGTAATAAAATAAAGTAAAAAAAGAAAACTCCTTTCCGATGGGACGGTGACAAGGTCTTCCGAGGACAGAAATCCATAATGCGAATTTTTCCCCATAAAGACGGAATTATTATCATGAGAAACAGCAGTGTAAAAGACAAAAATTGAACCGTTGCTTGGTGGGACTCTGCATCTACAATCTTTCCAACACAAAAAATAGAACAACACTCCTTTCCTCCTTCTCAACTATGAGTCAAATCTCCATTTACAGGAGCTGAGCAACGGCGTAGAAGAAGGCGGCAACACCACCGACGGCAATGCTGGCACCGTTGACAACAGCGGCACCAGAGCTGGTGGAAGTGCTGGAGCTGCTAGAGCTGGAGGAAGTGCCGGACTTGCCGTTGGAGGTGGTAGGGTTGCTGCTGCTGGCATCACACTCGTAGGTGCCCTTGATAACGGTCTTGCGGATGCTGGCGAAGTGGGAGCAGTTGAAGGTGCCGTCAGTGCTCTGCAGGTTGAAGCCACCCTCGACATCGGTCAAGCCAGCAAGGTCGACACTAGGAAAAGAAGGAGGGTGAGCGCACGTCCACGGAGAGAGAAGCCATAGAAGAAGAACTTACGTGTTGAACTTGCCGCTGAAGTCAATGGCACCGGTAACCTTCTCCAACTTGGGGAGGGAAATGGTGGAGAGCTTGTCGTTGCGGGCGATGGTGAAACCACCGTTAACGGTCTTCAGGACGGGCATGGAGATGTTAGAGAGCTTGGAGTTGTCGTTGAAAACGAGATCACCAGTGGTGGTCAAGTTGGGAGCAGAGAAGGTGGTGAACTCAGTACCCCAGAAGCCGAGCTGACCGGTGAGCTTCTCCAGAGAGGGAAGGGAGATGCTGGAGATGTTGCGGAAGGTCATGTTGGTACCAGTGCCGAGGTTGGGCAGCTCAATCTCGAGCTGATCGTAGTTACCGGAGAAACTGATCAGATCAGTAGCGTTCTGCAGGTTGTTGATGTTGATCTTCTGGAGATCACGGTTGTTCTCAATCTCGAACTGGTTGACAGTCTTCAGGGAGATACCATCCAGGGAGGTCAGACCGGTGTTCTGGATGACAACATCACCAGCGTCGGTGACACCAGTGGTGAAGCTGAGGGACTGGAGCTTGGGGAGGGCGCTCCACTTGATCGAGCCGACGGAGCTCAGCTCGGCGAAAGAAAGCTCAGTGAGGCGGGTGAGACCCTCCAGGTCGAAAGCATCGCCGATGGAAGTCAGGGACGCGGCGGTGATGTCGGTCACGTTCTCACCACCGTTGCAGATGATGGAACCGGTGATGGTCTCGATACCGGCGAGAGAGAGGGAGCCGGAGTAAGACTTGGAGATGGTAATGTCACCCTTCAGCTTGGAGCAAGTGGCAATGCCGTCGGCATCGGACTGGGAGGAGACGGTGGTGTCACCGCCTGGAAAAGCGAAGCAGAATTGTGTCAGTTTCACCAGGGCTCGTATTGATCATGTTGCTTGGCATCATGACGAAGAGGCTCGGATGATTTTGACTTACAGCTAGCGGCGAAAGCCACCTGGCTGGCAGCCAGCGCGGGCAGGATGTACTTGGCGAAAGACATTTTATTTCTGTTGATATGCGTGCGATGGTTAATTGATGGTTGTTCGATGAATGTGGTGGTGGTGATTTTTGTGTCGTCCAGGGGAAACCAAGTGCGAGATAAGAGTGTCGCGTCGGAAAAGCAGAGCAGCTGTGGGTTACGTACCAATGGATGGAGAATTAGAGGGGAGAACGAGTGGAAAGAAGATGATAAAAGAGTCTCCTCAGCGAAGGGGAGAAGTAAGAAGTACAAGGGAAAGAACGAGTGGACGGGTTGGGGGGGGGGGAGAGGAGAGAGGAAGAAGGAATAAGAAGTTTGGGGGAGCAGGAAAGGAGGCGCCGTGGGTGGAGATTTCCCGTTGTGTTTGGTTATTTTGGTTTGGTTGATTTCGGGTATGACCGTACGGAGTACCGAGTCAAATGGGTAACTATAAATACCGCGAGTTTACCAAGGGGGACTCGGGACTGGGGCCAGAGTACACACAATACCGAATCCGGTGCAGCCCAGGGCAGTTGTGAACGGCGTACCTGACTGGTATTTGAGTGGTAAAGTATGGTATTCTCATGGTTTTCCAGTGATATTCCACCGGTATCATTCACCTATCTGGCAGGTATGGCCATGGTAAACGTAGCTCGAGTCTGGTTTCAACCCAATTCCTGCTTTTTCTTCCCCGTTAGTGCTGTTTCCGTCACACTCTGCCAATGGCCATTCGCCCGTGCGCCGCCCCTTTCTCCATTTTGTCTTTCAGAGTGGAGTCCAGTCTTGACCCGGTATCATTTCCTTCCACACGTGTTGCTCCTGCTAATGGCTTTCCATGGGTCCGCCACCCTATCTTTGAAAATTTTCTGATTGGGAGGGGAGGCCTGTTTGAGAATTATTTTTGGCTCTCGAGCTAGCAATAACTACTCGTCATTGATTTGACCTTCTACATGATCGCTTGGGGGGAATTCTAGAACTCGCTATTCTCAGCCATGGGTTAGGCTTAAATTGATGCTCAACGAGTACGACTCTCCATTCGGGTCTGCAGGATATTTATTTGGGCCCGCAAATACGTCGTTGCATACGACTGCTATTATTTATGTACAGTATGCATCGGTAGCTTCTTACTTGTACAACTCATACCCACCACCATTGGTTGTCCCTTTGCGCAATGCGTACTGTACGGAACACGGATTCTGGTTTGGTGAATCAGGGCCAATCATTCAGTGGGGTTTCTTCTATCAAAAACTCTCCTGCCTTGAAATTGAAGAGACAATGGTCTTGTACTCGCAATACTTTCCCATAGGTATGGCTGTACTACTATCTCTACTGTAGGTATACATCACCATGCATTATTAGTGCATCTACATATGCATGAACACCGTACAAATACTCCTGTATTTGTTCTTCCACACAACGAGTCCAGTTGCCGGGACGATTCATCGTCCCATCCACGTACATCCCGTATCTTTCGTCTATCTACCAGTTGTCGTCATCCATGCCCCCAACGTCGAGTTGATTATTAACCCTATAATTGCGTCCACTTGTCATGATAATGCTGCTAATATACCCCTGATCAACACACCTAGATTAACCAGTATTGCCTCGAATCTTCCAATCAAAAAGCTGATCGGAATCCGCTTTCTACCTCGAACAGTACCTAGTCCCCCGATTATCACTAACTTGCCCCGGTCGCATCCCCCCCCCAAACAGGGAATCAGTTCCTCATTACCGACTCTGCGCTTGGATGGTCGATCTAAATTTGCAGGAATTCAAGCCTTTTTTACGGACCCGCCCCCCCTGCCGCTATCGTCGACGGCCCCGGTATGTTCGGCCTCTGATTGGCACGCTGGAATGATCCTCCCTGGATAAATGTGATATTCCGTCATGCTGTCGTTCTATCTGAGGCGTGACCAGTCATCCACAGTATCTGCGCTACTGTCAGGTACACAAAAATAGTTTGTATTGATGATGTGGCGATCAGACATGGACCTTTTCTTTTCCGATATCCCCTGAGCAACGACCACGACACGACTTGAACTAGCTCGTTCGCGGGACGGGATCAGAATTGATAGCGTGAAGTGGCAAAATGCGATCGTCCAGTTGCGCTTCATACAGGAATTAGTTCATGAGTCACCGAGCAGAGTAACTATTTGAAAGGAAGACCGTTTTTCCTGCTGTGACCACTTTTGCTTTGACCTGATTGTACCTGACAAGGATTATCATTTTGGCCCCGGCCCCGATGACACCGACCGAATCATATCTCACACGTAAAACGAGTCAGGTAATTATGGGCTGGTAAGTAATTAGCTAGCTCTGGGTCGCACTCGTAGGTGACAACCGAATCCTGGCAAGTCGCAAAACTGTTAATTGAGCTCAGATCCGCCGGGCGCTCCTGTCACTTGAATAATTGCGACGATCGTTCGTCTAGAGCTTCGGCGACGCTGATCTGGGTCCAGTACGGAATAAATTACGTCTCCTTTGTTATGACTTCTTCCGGTGGTGTGCTGATTATGAGTTGAACATGGGTCTTTCTCAATCTGTGACCGATAAAGTTGGTTATCGGCATAGAATAGTTTAAATAACTACTTCTCAGTGCTAGTTGACGTTGTGCTCTCGCGGCTCCTCCCCTATCATACTTCAATTGGCCATGGAAACTCCTCGGCTGGAGGTGTGGTCACATCGCGCATTTCCAAAATTACCATTAAAAATCGAGGTTCGTATGTATTTGTGTAACGCACTTTGTACGTAACGGTAAACCTGTTTCAGATCGCTGAGCGGAGCCCGACTTGCTCCGCTTTGGTGGTCTCGGGCCTGGCGCATCACTCCACTTTGGCAGTCTATCGCTCCACCGGTCGCTTGTCCAGCTTGGAAGAGCAGCCGAATCGTCAATAAACAGTACGTCCACCAATCTACGGAATCGTTACCTGCAATTGACTGGTTTTTCATACTTCATACCGTGTGCAATGGCATACAACAATAAAATAATACACCCTGCAACGGCAATGCCGAAATAGCTGCTGCCAGCGCTGAAGCCACCAGCTAGCTTCTCGACCTTGGCCTGTTACTTTGAACGCCACACATATGGGTCAAGATGGGTACCGCGCGGCCTGCGAAAGCCAAGTTCCAGTCTAGCCCAAGCGAGCTGGAAAGCTCATTTCCAGTCAGCGTATTAATTAGTATTTGGGACATGGTACCTGCACCACCTGTCTTTTTGCTAGTGGGCAGAAGTACCGTGTTCCAAATACTAATGAACTCCTCTACAGACAGATCGTAACCATCACTAGCCACCGCATGGCATTTGACTAAACATTCCAGCCAATCTTTTGGTCAGACCGTTCTTGTCTGGTCGCTAGGAATGCGTGGAACACTTGGGCATAACAAGGCGAGGAACGTACGGTAATCAAGGGAGATAGGAGGTTGGGAGCATTCTTGGGGGCACGAGACCCCCTTCCAGACCTTTGGAATATTGATCGTACGCGCGAGAACTCAAGAGCTTCTGCTGTATGAGGGTGAACAATGTACAAAGTGTGAGAGATTTAACGAGACCGCTCTGGGAATTTCACGGGCTTGGAATGGCGTTGATAAGCACCTGGTTCTGATTAGATTCGAGGGCGGGAGACGATGCGAAGCTTTTTGAATCAAGTTAGGTTGTACAATTACGGCGTCCTCGTTGGTGTGTTTGCGGGTCCTTCGCCCTTCAAGCTTGCGCTGGCGTCGAGTCGCATGAGCAAGGACCGTTACGTACTGTGTACTAATATTGTGGCCCAAACTTGAACTGAACATGGTGGATGCACAACCTCTCTTCTTCCAGGTTCTGCCAAGTTTGAATCCATTTTCCCCAGTCTTAAATATGATACCTCCACATGACTGGCGGATCAATAAGGATAAGACTTGGAAGATTTACTTTGCACCCCCCACTCGGCGATGAATTTTTCTGTCTGGGAACTTGGTCAGTGCCGGGGAGCTGCTGACTTGGCGTAGGCCGCTGACGCAAGCTCCCCTCGCGTCGGCGGAGGTTGAATTCCGCCCCGTACAGAAACAGACTGGCTTGATTGTAGGAATTCTTCCATGGAATTGAATTTGGCTACCCATGGCCTTTGTTCAAGGGTCAAACCGGATGGATTTCAATATTGGAGGCACTGGGTGTTCGCTTCTAGCGTAGGTTTTTGTGGGTTACCGTGGATCCTGTTGTATCTCGCGTTCTTCGGTGGATAACCATGGAACCAGGAGACAGCGGAGTAGATATGGGCCAATCGTGATGAACACCGTTTATTGATGTTGGTTGGATCGGGTTGAATCGTAGCCAAAGATAGGTGCTTTGATCTGGTTCACCCGTTCCTGGATCTTAAAGTAAACGGCGTTGGTTTAGGCAGAGACTTGGCGCGTTTCTTCTGTAATTGAGATTTTCGACTAAGTTATGCCGAAGGTTCGAAGACGCATAATGATGTTATGAAGACTTGGCATTCTATGCACTCCATATCACTCAGAACATGCCAGAACTTTGTAATAGTAGGGATTGGCTAATGAGGATAGCATTTCAGAGGATCATTCCCTAACAACCGGGGGATAAATCACAGATAGAGCCCAAGATGCATTATCCTTTCATTGTCACCTTTCGTAATGCTACCTCTGAATTTACTTTCCCTGTCAGAACAAGTAGTACGTTTGTTTCCCAAAGTTGTTGGTAACAGTGTCTTCTTCGTGCTGAAAGCCCGAGATGTCGCAAGTCCTTTCTTAGCCGCATCATGGCTACAATGATACCTGGAATATGTTCGATGGAGGACAGAAACCTCGAACAAATTATCAACAGTAGAGTAGGCATGACCTGTGCTCTGAGCAATGATTATTGTCGAGTTCCCGCAAAGACTGACCTGTTGATCACAACTCCTTAAAGGAGTCTGGTATATATGCCTCCGTATATTGCCCGAGCCTAATTGTTTGTCATGCAGTATTTCGAACAACATGCGTCCTCAAGCAATCTTTGGGTTTTTGGCCTCGGCATATCATTCGAGTCTACTTAAGATGAAAGTCAAATCAAAGTCTTGGTATGTGCGAGGATGCAACTTTTCATCTCGCTTGAATGACCTGCTGGTTTTCCCAGATGCAACTAGACATCCACCGCGGTGCTCGTATATGTGTGAGAGAGGGCATTATTCAGATACTCGGCATGGCTAAGCGTCGGCAGAACATTGGCAACCTTGCTTGCTCATATCCAGCCACCTTATAGCCTGCTGTTGTACCAATTCGCTGCGTGCGGGAATAACATCCATTCGCTCCCGCGGACCGTATCAATAACGCTAGAACCACTCTTCAAGCAAATGGAGAAGGCGATCCTTCGGGTAAGCCATCCAAATGCCCTTCCCCGAACAAATTCTTCACATCGGATTTGATGATCTGGCTATTTCAAAGCGGTTTGACGTTGCAGTTTGTGATGTGGGGGAAGTGGAGATCATCTGCAGATAGCCCAGTGCAGTGCCTATAAAGGCAAGAGGTCGCGTGCCTAGGTTATGGAAGTTCCCATGACTGTCTGCCCTTGCCTTTTCATCCCTAGTCTTGATCCTAGAAACTGACTGCATTGATTCTTCGCCTCTATAATCTATTCTGTCTACGCCTCTGTTGTTTGGATCTTACCGGCTTTCATAATGGGCCCTATCGGACAGCTTTGTGGGTTATCAGACACAGCCGCTACCGCTACCACATCTTACAGCAACAAAACCGGCTATGCCAGGTGGTTCTCCTTTGCTTTTCCCTATGATCAGTCTTTTCTGGAAGGGTACTCGATCCTTAGACACATCGGCGGCCTCGGAACGGATAGCAACCACATGTCCTACGACATCGGTCAAGATTCCCCGATCCCTGCACCGTTGGACAAGTCAGCATGATCAGACGCCATGGCGAGCACTACCCGCAAGGTAGCGATTAGAGGAAGATCGAGGCCGCGCTTGATAAGCTTTTCAGCTTGAAGATCACGGAGTGGAAGGGTGACCTTACAGCCTTGAAGTGGTGGGAGTATTATGTGGAAGGTCAGGGTCTTTACGGAATGGAGACTGCTACTATTCGTCATGATGGGCCACTGACTACGTATAAACACGGTGCTGAGTATCGTGTTGCGGTATGGGCATTTACGGGATCAAAGTCCAAATAAGACTGTTCCGATGCGGACCACGGAGGTTGAGCGGGTGGTACAGACTGCTCGCAAATTTGGCATGTGAGAAGCTAGCTACTCCTTCAGTACGACGTTCGTTGCTGACCTACTCATTGCTTAAACTAGACAAGAGGTTTCTCGGATGGAATTGTACCGACTCCATCTCTCTTGATGTCATTTCGGAGAGCGAGGACATGGGCGCTGATAGCCTCACGCCCGCCCGGGTGCCCAATAGACGATCTTCCTGAAATTGCAAGAGTCTCAGATCGGACTTACCTGTATTTCGCTTTGCTGCCAATCGCCTCAATCAGCAGAATCCCGGACTCGATCTGAATTCAAGGATGTCTATCAATTAATGTGCTCTAAGATCAACCTCGTTGATAACTCGCATTGCTAATGCTGATCATCGACAGTTACGTCTGTCCTTGAGCTTGACGTTCGTGGCTACTCCGATTGGACTCATACTTTCACCCTGGATGGGTGGATGTGGTTCGAATATACACAAGATTTGAATTCCTGTTACTGTGTTGGGTAAATGCTCATTTTTTTCCCTTCTATTTGAACACATCAGATAGCTGACTTATCGCTTTAAAGACCAGGTGATCTATATGCCCAAGCCGTGCGCGCTGTATACGCCAACGCTTCATTGACCTTATTAAACCAAGGACTCGAGAAAGCGGTATTCTAATTTTTGATTTGACCCTTTCACCTCCATATCCGCTGCGAGATACTGATACTCTTCCCCAATGCCTACGACACCAACACCACCCAATCCTTGCAGCCTTCGGTATCGCCTCCCCTGGAAAGGACCTTCCCCTGGACAAAATCCCTTTCTCATCATCCCACAAGGTTGAAAACATCACGCTAATGGGCTGACTCCTAACTCTCGAAAGACTGAGCTGTAATGCAAACGCAGCTACCGAGAATGGAGTTTATGTCCGTATTGTCCTAAACAAGGCGGTAGTACCAGTCAATTCTTGCCAAAGGGGGACCTGGTTTCTCGTGTTCGCTGGCCAACTACAGGGTAGAATCGTGTCGAGAAATACTTCGCGAATCATAGTTTCCCAATTTTGTCTCGCAGAAAAGCTATGACACGGGACGACTGTATGTACGTGTCGTGAAGACCTCGGGCAAACTGGAAGGGACCCTCGGATTTTGTGGAAGTGAACCTCTTGAGATAGCGGGGGCAGACTTCTCTATCTGTGGGAGAATTCAATGAAGACTTCGTGGAGTTGATGAGAGATAGGGCCCTTACCGGTTTGGAATGCTGGGTAGTGAAGAAGAAAGAAGTGACAAAGCGTGCACAGCCACTTGACGAGCGCTTGTATGGCCCTCGCAAGGAATGGAGGGCGCACACTGCACGTTCGAGAATATATGAAAAACGCTACTCCAGAAAACTGATGCCCAAGAGATCTGGAGGTACTGAGCATTCCGAGGATATCTGAGGAAGGGCTCAAAATACAGACCAGTCCTGGACCCGGGGGAAGACCCTCTGGAGGTCCATAAGTTGATAACTGATCCCAGTCTTAGCCAGATATTTACATGTCATTGTGATTATCTCACGCAAAAACAGAAGCATTTTTCAAGGCCGACTACCCAGTGCTTAATCCAGGCCCAGTGATTTTGGATATTGGCTGGGTCGCCGCGAGCAACGCAGGCGCAGCCCAAAATGGTCAATATGTCCCCGAATATGATCTCGAAAATCACCCCCACGCACGGCAAATCCCCGATCCAGCGTATTTCATCGTATTGGTGCGAACCAGAGAAAGAAATCGGTGTAAAATCCAATAGTCACTGAGAAGCAATGTTCGATCCACTCTGTGAAAAGGGGCTAGCATACTGTGACCGGACGCTCCAGCAGAGCTTCGAGCGATCATTCATAATATAGACGGTGGTTGACTCAGATTCGGGAACTCGGTCAGTGTGCTCATTTATCTCCTAGGGTAGTTCTTGACTACGTACTAAAGGTGATGTGTCCGGGAGGTGGTATGAAGAGGTGTTCAAATGGAGTTTATCTAGGATGGTATTAACGACACGACATGAAAGTTCATGGCACGACAAGGCTAGTCCAAATGAGGAATGCGCGCCCTTCAATATAAATTGCTACATTCGAGATTTCAAGTAGTTCCTACCAAGTCCATATGGATGCATAGCCTTATCTTTAGAAAAGACTATTGAAAAGACCATTTAAAAGACCATTAAAAAGACTGTAGAAAAGACCGTGAAAGAGGGCAATATAGTCGGAGTGGGAGTAGAATATTAATTTAGTCGATTATAGGGATAAATAGATAGAGGTCACGTTCACAGTCGCTAACGTTATTAGCGAGAAGTATTGATGTGGTTATCCAGAAGGACTCAGTAGGTAACTTGTGTATTCGAATGTAGTATTTTGTATTGAAAGGGGGGGAGTTTCCCCGTTCGGACTAGCCTTGTCGTGCCATGAACTTTTCTGTCGTGTCGTTAATACCATCCTTTATCTAAACCCTCGTTTGGGTTGCGTAGTAATATATATTCAGTGGAGGTGAATTGGGAAAAGGAATAGCAGAGACGGCAAAATTCAGGATATTAATATTTCAAATACCTGACTGGAGTAGCAATTGCTTGTCCAACAAAGTTACTTCGGTTTTCAGCAGCCTACTAGGTAGTAGATGCACATATCCGCTTCGTGCTGCGACAAAGCCAGCATTCTCGACCCTGACTATACTAACCCTTTGTTTAACTCGTTTAAAGGTTGCCATACTGTTAAGTCGAGTCTTCATCAGAAGGTGTAAACAAAATGCGCATATTGAGCTGGCCTGAAAGATTTCCACTTGTATTAGATTCTATGAAAGCCTCGTCCGTACTGTGTTTGTATGGCACCGGGAAGGGTCATTTCTTGACCATCACAGATTAAAAGTAAGCCAAGCTTCCGAATATGCTTCTAGACTTAAGAACTTTCTCATCTTCAAGGCTTCAAGATGCTATGTTCTTCTGAACCTACCCATCATGGTATGGACTGGAGAACGAATTTCCCCCGCTCGGACTCCGCAGGGCCGCCAAGGGAGTGTACTCCGCATGGCCTTGTTGATGACAAACCTAACACGAACGTCCATACCTCGGAGGGATCCAATTTGCACAGATTTCTACAACAATACCACTAATCATGTCCCTACGACGCTCTGCGCGACTGGGCGCCCTCCCAGTAAAGCCTCTTCTTCCAAACGTCCCCCGAGTTCAACACAGCGGAGTCGCAAAACCACGCAAGACCTCCAAGCCCAAGAAGACATCTACCACTCAAACCCCAACCGACTCGACATCATCCTACTGGTCCCCCGAACCCCCAGCCGTGACAGACTCGACCGACGATCCAGAAAAGCAGCGCCCTCCTCGTACTAACAACAGACTTTCCACACCTCCCCCGCTCAACCGACCCGTCGATCCGCACCGAACAAACGCAACCCTCCTCACACCCCACGGCTCCTCTGTAAACGCATACCCGATCAACCTCGAAGATGCCTCACCCTCAAAAACGGGTCTGCCCCGACCCACAGCTACTACGGGGACACTCCTCGAGCAAGGAATCGCGCACTTACTCGCAACGGATCCCCGTCTGAAGACTGTTATCGAACAACATCCCTGTCCGTTATTCTCGCCCACCGGGTTGGCAGAACAAATCGACCCGTTCAATAGCTTGGTGAGCAGTATTATCGGACAACAAGTGTCTGGCGCCGCGGCAAAGTCTATTCGGAAGAAGTTCGTGGCCTTGTTCGAGCTCCCGGGTGAAGCTGATGCTGGCGCGGTGCCGCATTCGAGGTTCCCGACTCCGCAGGAGGTTGCGCGGTGTGATATACCGATGTTACGGACGGCGGGTCTGTCGCAGCGGAAGGCCGAGTATATTCAGGGGCTGGCGGAGAAGTTTGCGAGTGGGGAGTTGAGTGCGCAGATTTTGGCGACGGCTAGTGATGAGGAGTTGGTGGAGAGGCTTACGGCCGTGCGTGGGTTGGGGAGGTGGTCTGTTGAGATGTTCGCTTGTTTTGCACTCAAGCGGATTGATGTCTTTTCGACGGGGGATTTGGGTGTACAGTAAGTTATTTATCTCTGCGTGCTGGGCTTGCGTCATGTCGAGAAGAACTCGGATATTCGAGACCCTAGCACGAGGCTGACTTGTTGCCAGGCGAGGGTGTGCTGCTTTTGTTGGGCGTGATGTAAGTAAGTTGAAGGGTAAAGGGGGTGGTAAGTTCAAGTATATGTCGGAGAAGGACATGCTAGAATTGGCTGCGAAGTTTGCGCCGTATAGGTATGCTTGCTCTTGGTTATTCGCATTTGTCTTCATCATTTTGGCTGACTATGGGTTTACAGGAGTCTTTTCATGTGGTACATGTGGCGAATTGAGAATGTTGATGTAGCCGTTCTCACTGGATGAACAGTTAATCAAATACTTTTACCTTTTCGTCCTATAAGAGATGACAATGACTGGGTTGGAGGCAGTGATAAGGATGGATATAATGTATTGTAACCATAAGAAACAGTAATTGCCACATGGGTAAAACCGTCAAGGCACATTTGGTCGAGAACATACAGAGCTCATATCCGTCGGCCGTGGGGAATATGCTGCATGCTAGGCATACCAACTCGATGGTAACGAAGCGATTGGGCCATTACAAGACCCGGGGACTCCGTAGCGCAAACAGTTACAATGGTCAAGCCATACTTGAATACACAAGATCCCATATAAAACGGTTGAACAAAGAAGAATCGATTTGTACAGTATCAGTACACACGCATTGGATTAACTAGACACCCCAATCAACGGCGGGTGCGTATCCATCGCCAAATAAAACCCGACGTCTATTTCATGCAGACAGCCCTTTCGCCCTGTAAATCTTATAGTTTTGCGTAGTCAATTGCAGGTCTCTGCCCGGAAGCATTTACTTGCGGACAACGAGGTTGTCAAGGTCTGCACGCTCCTTGGCCTCCTTCTCGATCTCGCGGATGATGGGGCTGAGGTACTCGACGTCCTAGAAAGTCCATATAATCAGTATCATGTTGATTGGAGTGTGTTTGGGCATGTTCGACGTCAAGGGTCCAAAGTGACAAATCCTCGCAACGGGATTGGCCGAGACCGATAGATTACGGGGAGGGCGAATTTGGGAGAGGGAGAACTCACTTCCTCGGGCTTGGTCTGCTCGTGAGGGGGGAGGAGAGTGTGAGAGATGGAGCACTGCAATTGAGACGAGTATTAGCGTTTTAAAAGCCGGAGACTGAGAAGGCAGAGGGGGTCGGGTCGGTTCGAACCTGGACAGCACGGCGGAGACGGAAGACGCGGTCGTAGGCCTCCTTGGAAGACAGACGCTTGATGGCCTTCTGGACGGTCTCGCTCTCCTCGGGGATCAGGTCATCGAACCTATAGCGATCGAGTTAGTGACTGTGATCGGAGGCAGATGAAGCGTAGGAGAAATCCGGTGTGACCGCGGGCGGGCGAATGCGACAAGGGCCACCAACAGCAATGGTTGGAGGAGCCAATGCCTTGGAATCGCACACGACGCAAAGCACACTGGTAGTTGTTGATTGCTCGCGGTGGGCAGGAATTGGCGGCATAGAGGGGAGGGCGATAATTACTTCAGTCCGAGGCGTCTGTAGCCGGCGGCATCGGTGTACCACTGGGCGATGGGGGTCATCCAGCGCTTGAGCCATGGGCGCTTGACGATGTAGTTGGTGATCGAGGGGGCAGACATTTTGGATTCCCGGGTTGTCCGATTGACAGGAGGAGGTTCTGGTCGGGGGGAAGGAAAGGGCGGTCCGGCTGAACACGAGATGACCCGATGTTGCGAGGTTGTGCAAAACGGAGCTTGCGGCGCTAGTCCCGAAACAGAGTGTTCTTGCCTTTATGCCTGAGGCACAACTTCTCCTCATATACACGTGACGGTCCCGAGGCCTGCCTCAGGCCGTGGGGAGGAATGACAATCGCCGACTCCACCTCGCACCACTTCCGACAATTCCCCATGTCATAATCAACCCTCATTTCCCACCCGTCTTCCTCCTTCCGAACCCTCATTTGGAAGTTTTTGGGGTATGGGACTTGGTGTTTTTGGAGGTGTTATTTGATCCTTGTGCCTGACAGGGGAGCTTGCTCGTCCGGAAAACCACCCCCACTCCGTTCGGAGCCCGTGCTGCACAGATAGGATCTCTCCATCGCATTCAACTCAGACGGGTTCGGCAACAATCGGCTCTGAATAAAGTCCCTTCGCTTCAACGTCTCCTTTCTCAGTCCCTTCTCTTTTTCAAACTCTCAGCCTCAGCGGTTCCTGCCTGCTCTTCACTCCACTTTCCTAGGATTTGAAATCGGGTTCTTGGGTTCCGGATCGAGCACACGATATGCTCGGGTCCCGGAGCCCTCGGTGAACAAGACGGACAGACAAGCGTGAGCGCCTGCCAATCCAACAATGCGCACCGACGGTAACGGCAGCAATGGAGCTGCCAGTACCACCGCCGAGCAGCCTCATGGCTTTCATCTAAACGCTGCCCCGTCCGTTTCCCACGTGCCAGTCGGCGATGCGCCGACTTCCGATTTCACAACTCGTCTACAGATACTCTCGACCAAGATCCCTAGGTGGTACATCGCTCCATTCTGCGGAGCTAGCGCAGGTGTGGCTTCGGGAATTGTGACCTGCCCTCTCGATGTTATCAAGACCAAGCTACAGGCCCAGGGTGGCTTTGCCCGACGGGGAGGACCGGATATGGAGGCAAAGATGCTATACCGGGGAATGCTAGGTACAGGTAAAACGATCTTCCGTGAGGATGGAATTCGTGGGCTCTATCAGGGACTCGGTCCTATGTTGTTGGGCTATCTTCCGACTTGGGCGGTTTATCTGGCGGTGTATGACCGCTCCCGCGAATATTTCTATGAACATACCGGTTCGTGGTGTCCCGAATTGTACGATATGAGAAGACCGGTAAATAATTGCTAACCATAATTACAGACAGCTGGCTGCTATCCCGCGCTTATGCCTCCATCGCTGCCGGAGCCTGCTCAACGATTGTCACCAACCCCATTTGGGTCATCAAGACGAGACTCATGTCGCAAAGCCTCAAGCAAAATAGTGAGGGCGTCCGAGCCCCATGGCAGTACTCCAGCACATGGGATGCCGCCCGCAAGATGTATCAGATTGAAGGCATTCGTTCTTTCTATTCCGGCCTCACTCCTGCTCTATTGGGATTGACCCATGTTGCCATCCAATTCCCTCTCTATGAATATTTGAAGATGGCAATCACCGGCTATGGGATTGGAGAACATCCGGATACGGGAAGCTCTCACTGGCTCGGTATTTCCCTTGCCACCTTCCTGAGCAAAATTTGCGCGAGCACCGTCACGTACCCCCACGAAGTCCTGCGGACTCGACTACAGACGCAGCAGCGCACATCGCCCCCGCCATCACCGGAAGAAATATCCTTCAGAGGCGGCTTGAAACACCCTCATGACCGCGGTCGGCCACCAAGTGTGTCTTCGTCCGATGGCATGCCCAATCGCCCCCGCTACAACGGAGTCATTCGCACATGCCAGACCATTCTCCGAGAAGAGGGATGGCGTGCATTCTACTCCGGGATTGGGACCAACCTGTTCCGGGCTGTCCCGTCTGCCATGACGACCATGCTTACCTACGAGTACCTTCGCAAGCTGATTCACGATTATCAGCACGAAGGCGAGCTGAAGCTCAAGCAAGCCGAAGCTCAGTCCGAGGGTGAACCGATATGATTTGACGACCACAACCCGTCTCACACCTTTTTAGAAACTTTCTCCCGATACCTCACCTCCAAGCCTCATACCCTACCCTTGCACTTGGACATAGTGCCTCTTTATACGCCCGCCCTATCCAACCCTTCTTTGTTCTAACCGGACTTGTATAGACCTGGATGCATGGTACAACGCTTCCAGTTGGTGGCTTTCTTCAGCGAATGGGCTTCGTTTCCCTCATAGCATTTCCAAAAACTCTTCTTTTTGTGTTTTGGTCTGAGGGTTCTCAGCAATTTATTAGATGGCAGTCAGTCTTCTTTGCTAGAAGGCTTTATGCATGTGAAGCCTCCGCGGCCGATACCTCGAATCACATGCCAGGGAATTTGGCGTACCTTATCTTTTTTTTTCCAATCCCGGAATAAAAGATACCCCAAGATCTCTGTAATTGTTTCAGCGTATTTGTTCTTTTCTAAACTCGTTTCTTGTATCTCGCATGGCTATTGCATGTCCTGTCTTTGTACATACATTACCAGATCCCACTGTCTCGTTTTCTCTTTACGTGAATCTATGCTTGAGAACCAAGTATCTCTCTCCTCCTGACTCTTCACTTGATTTGAGGACCAGTGTCTCGTAATTATCCGATTATAAGCTTGACTTGAGAAAGTCTGAGCCCAACGACTTATTTAGGGTAAGACGGCTATAGCGTCTTCCTGGAATCGTCCATGTGTGATTCCGACAAATTTGCAGAGTCTATGATTATAAACCAGACACGATACTTATTTAGACTTGTCCTTCTAAACTCTCAATATTCTTTGCTATCTTCAATTTCCAAACGAGTGGGATCGAACTCGATGCCTGGACCCGCCTCCTGCTCTCGCCTGAGCGCCCCACAATACCACAGATAATATCACGTGATCTCCTCCTCATCCACAATTTTCTTCGCTCGACTTTTTCCTTTCCTTTCTGCATCTCCCAGCATCTCCACGCAGCATGGGATCTTAATGTTTGGATCCCTTCTGTATGCGATGGATACCGACAAGATATTCGATCGTGCTTATCCTTTTGAAAGAAGGGATGTCTCGTTGAATTGAGACGTTAACTAATTAAATTCTCCTTGCACCCAGCACCCAGCACCCAGCTCTCAACCTCTTCATTGACGTGGTGTTGTTTGATGTTTACTTCGCCCCCCGTCACTCTTTACTATTGTGGTCTGACTTGTGGTCCATGAAATACTTGAATGCTTCTTCTCGTCGTCTAAATGATGATCTTTCTTTGAATATTGAACCAGGATGTTATATACACTTGAACTCCTGGGTATGATCATTCATACACTGAAAATTCTGATTGATGATGAAATTGAAGTTGTTACTTTTGTTACTCTTGTGCTCTTGCTTGTCGCTGTCAGAGTTGCCCTATTGATCTGGGGGCTGTTATGTTCCCAGAATCAGGGAGCGCTCGAACTCGCCTATCTTACCTCGATATATTATCTAGCAAATACAACAAAAGATTTAACAAGAAACGCATCTTCCAAACCTAAAAATCTAGTATAAACGTACAGTATTGCTAGAAACACATCATACCAGTGCATCCTCATCAATATAAACCACGGATTTCACCTCCCCTTCTCCGCCCGACTTTCATCAAGAGCCTCCTGGATCCAGGACGAGTCTTTCTTTTCCCGGTGAGATACCCGCTGTTGTGAGCTAGGTACTACCGGTGACTCTTGGGCTTCGCGTCTGGCACTGCGAATAGAGCTGAAACAATAGGAGCACAGGATGACGGCCATGGTGAAAGCCGCGATGGGCGCGTTGATGGACTATAGGAGTTAGTTCCAAAAGCATTTGATACTTGTAGCGGCTCCAGCCATGATGATGCCGATGTGTTTTTGAGCTTGGCTTGTTTGAAAAAAAAGTGAACGTACTCCTGCGGATCTGCCCAGTGTCTTTGGATCTGGCCTGCTTTTGGGGGACATCTTGGTCTAGCCGCGTAATGGGAAAGTCTAGGAAATGTCAATTAGCATAAGACTCTGTTGAGAGCTCGTTTGTTTGGTGAGCATAGGGTACCTGTGAACGACCCTTGAAACGTCAATTTAGCCGCGAAACCAACGCTCAGACCAGGGTCCAGTACCAAAGACGGCTTTAAGCTTCCCTAATCAACGCCTGATTGGGAAGCTTTAACATGGAACCTTTCTACTGTACAATGCTAGCCTCTGGTTTGACGTGAGGCGCAGTGTTGGAAAGAGGGAAAGAGAAGAGTGCCAAGACTCGATGGCCTGATCTGGGGTTTGTCATCACCCCAGCTCCCAATTCTGAAGACAACATTGAGCCTCCCCAGAGTTTGGTATGTACCTACATTGACGGATGAAGATATCAATGTATCTTGAATGTGCTTTCATTGTCATTCTTATGATTCTTCTGGATATTTGTGACCGAGGATACTCGACATCTATCGTGGATGCTCACAGGCCTGTCGACACTGCAGACCCGAACGAGCGGGGTTAACCCCGGCCTGCAATGGAAATAAGCTTAACATGGCCCCAAAACAGAGACATAAGGGCCTGTCTGGTTTGTTAGTAAATAGGTGAGCTGATACTAGCAGGGCGATATCTCTGGTTCTTCATTGCTACAATCTCTTAGCTAAGTTAGCTACATCTTATTGCCCCGCGACCGGCATACTATACTTTTGGCGTGCAGCCTGGCAGCTACTAAAGCCGAGCACCTCACCAATCGTTCTCGGAGACAGCCGGTCATTTGATCGGGGTTCGGACGAAGTCCCCGGCATAACGATCTCGGACGTTGCTTGACTGAATTTGGCGAAGATGTATGCTATCTCCGAATAGACCGCTCGGAACGGAGATGTTGACGCCCGGAGGATTTTGAATATGAGCGATGGATTGCAGTAGAATTTGTTTTTGTATTCGAGAGGTAAGTTCTGACTTGAAATATGAAATCATAGGCCTATTGAAACGCTTATCACTACCGTGAACGTAATATCCATAGTTTCATATCATCGACATCTTATTGGCCCAGGATCGTCCTTCGGGAAACGAATAAGTTAGCGAGATCCCGCGGAGACATCACGGACAACTTCCATATGCCCGGTCAGACTCAATACCATCGCCAACCAAACATCATTGTCACCGAATCCAGAGCATTAATAGCACTAACGATCAGTTTTAATAATCAGCGGGGTCACTCTACTAGTTATACCAATCGCCCAGGTCTGGCCCAGCGGTGTTGAGTCAGCTCCGATAGCCGCCGGTTGATCCGAGGTCGCAGCGGGATTACATAATGATCAGATTATTTTACTTAGCAATGAATTCATCACCCTCCTCTCTCTTCCCGTATCAGATCTGCTTTTTCGCCATCCAACCTACCTTCACCAAACCACCTTTCAACCATCAACCACAACACACACAGAACAACAGAACACATCCAGATATCCCCTCAACCACTCAAACTCAATCACAACAATGTTCAAGCGTCTCGTCACCGTCGCCCCCCGCGTCGGCGTTGCGGCACCCCGTGCCTTCGCTCCCCTCGCAGGCCTGCAGTCCGTCCAGCCCGTTCAGCGTCAGACCCCTGCCCCGACCCAGCGGAGAAGCTACCACGAGAAGGTCCTCGACCACTACAACAACCCCCGGAATGTCGGATCCATGAAGAAGGGTGACCAGGACGTTGGTACCGGTCTCGTCGGTGCCCCCGCTTGTGGCGATGTCATGAAGCTCCAGATTCGTGTGAACAAGGAGTCTGGTCGCATTGATGATGTTGTCTTCAAGACCTTCGGTTGTGGTAGTGCTATCGCTTCGTCATCTTATCTGACCGAGCTCGTCCGCGGAATGACCCTGGAAGAGGCCGGCAAGGTCAAGAACACTGATGTGGCGAAGGAGCTCTGCTTGCCTCCCGTCAAGTGTATGTGACAACCTCTCCCGAATCTATAATACAACGATGATTGTACTAACTTTGCCGTTTACAGTGCACTGCTCCATGCTCGCTGAGGATGCTATCAAGTCCGCCATCTCCGACTACTACACCAAGAACCCCAAGGCCCGGTCCACCGACCTCTCCGGGACGGGCGCCTCCATGGCTGATATCGACCAGCCCACCGCTGGCAGCCCTGCTGCTTCTCTGTAAAGCGGGACAGGACCTCGCCTGCCAAACAAGACATTCATTTTACGAGCACCCCCCCTCTGCCCTTCGAGAACATTGTCACCAGTACAATCATTTGATCGAGGATATTCCCACTCAGTAGTTTACGCGCATGTCCCCACTCCGAAATGCAGAGCAGGCAAAACGGTCGGACGGAGATGGAGTCGAGTTGGCTTTGATCATCGGACAACCTGACCGGACACGCCTGAACCTGACTTGAAGAACGTCAAGTCAGTCAGTCAGTCGGTAAGGTCCTGTCTTGGGATGATGGGTGGATTTTTTTTTACTTTCTCAAACAAATCTGCACATTTGTTTGCTGTACAGAATTTCTCTTTTTTTTTCTTACTCGTGGTTCTTTATGGTTTACAGAACACCCATATGTTTTCTCTTTTTATTCTTTCTGTGCTGGCGCCTTGGTATGTGGGATCCTCGATCGATACTCTATTCTGAAAAGCGTGGGACTGTGATAGTTTCAACGAAACGATGATATCAGAACTTTTCTGGACTTTCGTAGCAGTTTTCTTTGTAGATCTGTACCCTTTTGTGATCTTCAGTAGAATTTTGCTCGCTGAAAAGATGTAATCGTCTATATCTTCTAAGTGTCTGTAACAAATGTATCTATACAAGCTGTCCATTATCAGTAGCTCAGCGAAGAGCCACGACAGACCAGGACAGTAGACCGAACAAAGGAAGAGGGGGGACTACCGAGCGAGAATCACCCCGTCCAGGAACCAGAACCAAAAGGAAAAAAGAACAAGTCAACGTAAACGCCATCGCTGATGCACAGATAGACCGGTCAAGACAATCCGTGCCCCTAAACAAAAATCCCAGGGAATATTTACATCGACAACCGAACCCACGTTACCTAGCACACGTACCAGCGACATTTTTTAAAAGCCAGTGCGCAAACCAAGACGGCTCTTCAGCGATAGCACAGTCTCGAAAACGGAGAGTCTCACTTCAACGCGAAGGAAACCAGCCCACGCAGCCAGGAAATGGAAGAAGTTCCGGAAGATACCACCCGAGTCGCGGATGGACTCCATCTGCTCTTCGAAGACGGTGCGGGTGGCGTACCGTGCTAGGATGAGGAATGTGCGCATAGGGCCCTGGCGGGTGTGCAGGTTTTCATCGAGACTGCGGGCTAGAAGGAGGTGTGTGAGTGACGTCGACTTGAATACTTTCAGCATGGAAAAGGAAATCTTACTAAGATCGTTCGTCTTCAAGATCAGCAGGATAATGCGCGGGACTTGGCCCAGCAACACGACGAGCTGCTGCAACATGCCCTCGCCCAAAGCAGTGGTAACCTCCTTCTTTTCGTCGGCGGTGCGTGCAGATGCAACGTTCTTCTTTGTCAACACGCTGTAGTCACGACCGGTGATGGCGCTGGCAAAGAGTGGGAACTGCTCGTCCGTGACACCGGCCACTTTGTAGGCATACTCGCGCATCCGGGGCACGTCGGCGTCAATCACGGCCAGCCACAGCTTGGCGTAATTGCGGCGCAGATCGCGGTCGATGTTGCGGTATAGACCGTGGTCATACAGGATGATATCAAAGTTGGGGTGTCGGCGGTTCGGGTTCGGGCGAATGGCGATGTTACCGCCATGCGGGTCGCAGTGTAGCGGCGCGTCGTCGCCGAAGATCATTTCGTTGAAGATATGGGCGAATGCGGCGGAGACTTCGTCGCGGTCGATGTTGTTGGCGTCTAGGAAGGCGAGGTCGTCGGGGCGGCGGCCAGCGATGAATTCCATGACGAGAATACGCTTTTGCGACCACATCACTAATGGTAGTTAGTATTGGGGGTTAATGGCGATTCTGGAAAAGGTGAATTACCTTCGGGAATGACCAATGGCGCATCGGAGCGCTTCTTGAAATACTCGCTAGCAACGGTAGCATTCTGAGCTTCCATACGGAAGTCCAATTCCACAGGCAAAGAAAGGTCCATCTCTCGCGACAACCACTCGAGATCATATTCCGGGAAGAAACGCTTCAGCATCGAAAATGTGAAACGAGTCAACGACAAGTCCAGCGGCACCCACTCAGCAAGAGCAGGATGTTGCACCTTGACCGCGACCTTTTGACCAGTTTCTTTCAGCGTGGCAATATGCACCTGGGCGAGAGAGGCGGCACCAATGGGAGTAGGCTCGAACGAACTAAATAGTTCGTCGATTGTCTGGCCAGTGTCTTTCTTGAACATCTCTGCAATTGATTCGATTGACGAGACGGGGCATTTGTCCTGGAGCGGGATAAAGGTCGAGGTCCATTCAATAGGGAGAAGGTAACCCATGCTGCTAAGATGCTGGCCAAGCTTAATGAAAATTGAACCATTCTTCTCCAGCACGCGCAGGGTACGCTCCGCACAACGCTTGTGGCATGCGCGGATTAGGGCGTCATAGTCTTCGGGTGATGCAACGGCGGCTTGGTTGAGGGTGACACGGTAGCTATGAGGGAAAGACGGATTAGCAAATTCCTTGAGTCTTGCCCTTTGCGCCATGCACGCTTCCAGCCCACTCACTCATTGATACACACGGCGAGAGTGCCCACCACGCGACCACTTCTTCTCGCCGCCCCGTAGATATGCTTGACGTTGTCCGAAAACGCAAAAGCTCCAGCACTAAGCAACCCCAGGATAACCAAATACTTGACATAATTTCTCCGTGCGGGGCTCGACTTGACCTGCTCGGCACTACCTTTCACACTAGAGGCATCAGCGGAAAGGAGCGACGACCTCGTGGCAAGAGATCGCTTCGAAGAAACCGAAATCGACTTTGCCCACTCCTGTCGAGGACTCCATGACTTGGCAAAATTTGCGCATGGGGAAGGCGTGCTTAGGACTGATTTCGAGTATGTATGGAAAGATGCGCCGGCGGAGATCGAAGTTTTGAACGATTGTCCGATAACCGTGGCGGGATTGGCGTAGGCCCGCAGCGGCATGCGAAGCGCAGCGCTCATTCCAGCGGGTACAATTCCAATAACGAGCAATGTGGCGCAAATTGTAAGGACGTGTGTATGTGTTTGCGCTCAATCCATCGTCTGAGAATGGGCGGATTGTTGTTTTGATCAGGGAGATTTTTTTCGAAGAGGATCGCCACCAATCGGCTGATGCTTTGCCCGGTCTCGGGCCGCAGGGGTTCTGCACGTGATCCCGAGATGTATACAATCGACGTCATTGCCACTGATTCAGGAACGGGGGACCTGAGTGCCGATACGGACAGATTGTCTTTACAGTATGTCATGTACCTTGATTTCTAAAAGCCCAGGAGCATATGGATGACAATAATTATGTGTCATTGATAACTTATGTAGACTCTATGTGCAGCAGCCAGTGCTTCAACATAGACAGCAAAAAGGGAACTGTTTAGACATAGAAAGATAAACCCTTTAACACATTCCCCATCTTTTGTTCACAACGCCGCCAGGTTTCATTCGGAAATCAAAATGAAAAGAAACAAAACTATCAAGATAGTGAAGCTTGTTTGACCCGAGAGACCTGAGTTCAGGATCACGTCCACTCGGAGTCAGCAATAGTAGGGTGTCGACGCCTCGGAACGATCGAGGATCGTCGATTCAGAGAACTCGGGGCTTTATCGTCCCCTTGAACTAGCTCAACTTGTGACAGACGATTGGACAAACCCCGAGGCATTCGAGGGCGAGCAGTCGGAGCGCCGCCATTTAAGGCAGAACCCAAAGATGAGGTGCTGCCATCTCGGCTGCCGGGCCGGAGCGCCAAAGAAGAGCCACTGAGGGCATTTCGAGGATGCCGAGGTGTTTCACGACCTTCGAGGAATGCACGAGATTGACTGGTGCGGTTTGCCGAAGGAGTGGAAGGTGTAGAGTTGGCGAAGGGGTTAGGACTCGAGGTGGATGTACTCTTCCGGCGGCTAGTTGGTCTGCGCATGAGACCGAGGGAGTTGTTGCTCCGCTCGCTGGATTGAACCAATTTTCCGGCCATGTCTCGAACCAGGATGGCAGGATCATTTTCGAGTTCTCGGATTGCATCTAGCAGACCATACGTGGCGAGCAGGCCGCCTTGCTGCTCGCTAGAATCACAGATGCTGGAAATGATACGAAGAAGGTTAAGTCGAATAGCGGCTTTGTTGTGATGGAGCTTCTGCCCCAGCCTGGTGAACAGGTCGGCCCGAGCCAAGGTTGATGCCACGGGGGGACTCAATCGTAGAAGCTTTTGCAGCGGCTCGAGGAGGTTCTCAAATGCATTTGCCTTGGAAAGTGTCAAACACCGCACGATAGCATCTGCGAACGACATCTTGTCATGTCGGTTCTCCAAAAGATGCTCCTCAACTTTGGCGGTCTCTTCTTGGAGCCTGTTAGAACGTTAGTTGAGAACTCGAGCCGCCGTTATTCCCGTTAGAACTTACCATGTGAAGATGGCATCCAATGCGGTAACCTGCCAGTATGGATCTGCAAGAAGGGAGATGTAGAATGCGAGACCCTTGTTGCGCCACAGCTCTCGACGGCCAACCTTGCCCGACTGGGCCATATCGCAAAGAATGGGCAGGGCAAACTCTTTCAAGGGCCGTTCGGTTTTGACAATCTTCTGGAGCAAAGGAACGATGCCGTTAAGCGCGGCATCCTCCTGCCGGGTCTTGTTGAGTCGGCACATGTTGTAAATAGTGTTGAGGATTTGGTTGGAAACTTCACGGAAGTGGCTGCGTTTCATGGTGGATTGGAGGAGCTCGGTGAGGACATCGATCGCATTGGAGTTCTGAAGCGAGTCCAGAGTGGTCGACAGCATAGACAGGTTCTTGATGAACTTCAGCATGGTGACTTGGTGGACCGGCGACATTCGTCGAAGTTCTTTCAGGACCCCTTTGGTAGGTCGTTAGCATTCAACTTAGATACAGATTGAGGGTCGAATAACTTACGATGCAAAACAGTTCGCTCTGCCACCATCTCCTTCACATGATTTTCGGCCTGCGAGAAAATGAAGAAAATGTTCGCAATGCGACCTTCGATGACCTCGGCTAGTTCTCCTTCCTCATCCAAGACTCTACTCAAGACGAGAGATAGAGGATCCAGCACAGAATTGCGGGACAAGATTCTGCAAAAGTCGTTCTTCGGTGTAGAGCCCTAAATGAAGGTTGTTAGTGTCAACGCACGTAATCCGCCCGGTTAAAAGCCACTTACTTGAAGTTCAAATACGCTCCAGATACCGTTCACTCCAATCAAAACTAGGTCACGCTCATCTTCGTAGTCATCTTCCAAAAACTCGACCAGCACATTGAGACCACCAGCGCTGACGAACATCTGCAGTGTGAGAGTTGACGTCTGGTACATTTGCTGTACAAAAGCGGCAGCTTCCAGACGAATCTCACGGGGGTACTTCTTCGATGCAAACTCATTGACAATGGGAATGCCACCAACGAAGCAAAGGTTCTCTTGAACCTCGTAGTCATTGTAGATGATGGCATTGACCACTCGAAGAAGACAAAAGACAATGTCACGGCGGCGCGAGGTATCGAGAATCTCCAGAATAGGCAGCATGCCGTGAGCGCTGATGATGATATTCTTCGTCTCCGGGAGATCACAGAATATCGTGAGAAGCTGTTCGGAAATCTCTGCTAGAACATCCTCATCTTGGGATGTCTTGAGAGAACCCACCAGTCCTTCCACTTGGTTCCGGAGACGAGCATACTTGTCGCGAGCAATATTGGCTTCCAGGTCCATTTCGTCGAAGCCTTCCTCCAATTGCGCGAAGGGATCGTCGTCATCGTCCTGATCGCCAAGCCAGGAATTGTTTGACAACCTGGAATTCAGCATCAGTGTGCTCTTATCCGAACCATCATCACTCTCCGGCTTATCCAGAGCCACCTGATCGGCCCCAAGGATGTCAGAGAAGTCTTCATCGGTCTCATTTTCGGCGAATCTCTGGATTTCGATAGTGGAGCGATCGCGTTTCACGGAGAGTTGTTTCCGCAGCTGTGGATGATGGCCTGCCAACTCATCATCAAAATGCCAGTCATTGTCGTGAGTTGGAGAGGCAGAATCGTCATCGAACTCCTGATCCTGGTCAGCAGGTTGACAATGAATGATGTTCAGCTAACTTTCGCGTACCTGGAATACTCCCAGCTTCCGATCAAGGACATCCTCATTGGCCATGATAAGGTCCGTGTAATCTTCCACGGAATTCTCCTTGTAGAGAGCGGCTGGACGAGCCCGTCTCACAGGAGGTGCAGGAGTCTGAGTCAAAATGGGAACATTTTGCAAGGCCGATGCCTGCTGCACCTTGCTCGGTTGCCGTCTTCCAGAGTTGCGAGACTTGGAGGGCTCAGCCGAGGGTGCCTTAGTTGGATAGGGGCGGATTGTCTGTAGGGGGTCATTCTCAGCCTGGATTGACCCGTGTGAGTTATCGTCAAACTCATCGAAGCTGTCATCTGTTCTAAGTATAGTCCCATCAAGAGACGCAAACGCCTTGAGCTTCTCAGAGGAAAGCTTCCCATCGAAGTTGTCGTGAGGCCTTAAGTGAGGTAGTTGCAGTGCACTGGGGGAAATCGCGGTGACAAAGTCGTCGTCCCAATTATCATCCTCATTTGAGGATGGAGACCGGAATCGATCAGCGGTCCTGACAGCCGTGGGGGAAGGTAGCGTATCCACAAGAGAGCTGCTACGAGTAGCAGGCAACGGCCCCGCGTTGGGATCAAACTTGTTCGATTTTCTCGTGGTACCAGCACCGGGAGACCGCAACGCTTCGTTCCATTCTTGCACGCTCTTAACGGCTTCTTCGTATTCTGTTGACTTTTTGGGAACGACAGAATCACTTCGGCGCGCATTGACGATCCAAGGGTGCTTTAGAAGCTTCCTCGCAGATACCCGAAGATTGGGGTCTTTCTGGAAGCATTGCATCAAGAAATCTTTCACGGCCTAGAAGTCATTTTAGCATGGGGAAAGGGCGTTCTGGTAGGTGATTCACAAACCGGCGAAGCACCCTGGGGAAGAGGAGGGTGATCATCATTGACAATGCGGAACAGAGCGGGCATGGGTTGAAGGTTGTGGTAAGGCGGCTTGCCTTCGAGCAATTCGATGACCGTGCATCCCAAGCTCCAAATATCCGACGCGGTCGTTGCTCCCGACAGCTCAATGACCTCCGGGGCCATCCAATACGGAGTTCCAACCACGCTTGACTCGCTCAACCCCGTGGTCCGACTGGCCACACCAAAATCCGCTAGTTTGACAAGTCCCTCCTTCGTGGTCAAGATGTTGGCACCCTTGATGTCCCGATGAATGACACCTTGTTCGTGGAGATACAAGAGTCCGTGCAGGACTTGGGACATGTACAAGCCGACTAGGTTCTCGGGGAACCGACCAAAGTTCTTCGCGATGGAATGCAGCGAGCCATTCTCACAGTATCTGCACCTATAATCAGCCAACTCATCCGATAAGCAGGAATCGTCACCATCCAGGTACGTACTCCAGAATAATATTTAAGGTTTCCGCCGACTTGACAAATCCATGGTACTTGACAATGTTTGGGTGCTATTGTCTGGGTCAGCGGATATTAATCACGATATCGCAAGGGATTGCCTCACGTCGAGATTTTTCAGCAAATCAATTTCCAACTGAGTAGCTTCGTATTAGCAGCGATTCACGTAAGAGAAATTCGAATGATCACAATACCATGATAACACGCAATTCGGTCTTTGGAAGATCCGTCAACTTGATTTGTTTCACTGCAACAGTCTCCCCGGTATTCCAGTTCAACGCTCGATAGACCGATCCGAAGGCGCCCTTCCCGAGGCAATCGCCCAATTGCTATCAGAGAGAATCCCTTTGTTAGCACTTCCTCCCCAATATCCTGGCGCGCGACAAGAGACGACTCCCTGGGCCAAACATACGTAGTCCTTGAGCTCTGCAACATCCTTCGCCGACGACTTCAGTACTTTGTCTTCCTTCGGTTTCTCGTCTCGCTTCGTTGGGCTGGTGCTGACTCGGGCCAATCGCGGTTTCATAGGCGTCCCGGGCGTCCTGGAGGGGGTGAGGGGGCGCGGCCCCTCACTGGCTTCGTTGGAGCGGGATACCATCGTAGCAGCAGTTTAGGACCAGCTGATGTGTCCAAGGTAATAGTAATCCGAATGCTGGTCTTAGAATGCGGTTTCAGGTAGACGGTGGCGGGGTGGAAGCTCAGAGCTGGAGAAGGAGGCAGGAGCCGAGGGCAACAATCTCAAAGGTCATATCCGCCGGGTCTGATTCAGTCGAGATTGTCAGCCAAATTTGAATCGATCGGATTGCGCAAAAGCCCCGAGGCCTGGAATGGGAGATGCTGCTATTCGTATGCCAGTGTTGAGGGGAGGGATCGGGTCTCACCAAGCGAACATTACAGGAGGGATTTCGCTGTCATGCTCGAGCGAGCGGAGGGTGGCGAAGAGGCAATGCGCATTCGAGGGGGAGAGGTTGTTGCCCTAGCTTCCGATATAATCAGATCAGACTGTCATATACAAGTCACGAGGCCGTGCGTGGAAGAGCGTTGGGGGTGTGGTGGTTGTTGTTTTGAACTTTCGCTTCTCCACAGGCCGCCGCATGATACTGCGGCTGTGCTCAGCGCCGCCGATCAGCCCTACAGCGCCCCTGCTACACTGGTGAATCCTCTATGGTTCTCAACCCCTGAAAAGAGAGATTGTGACCAAAATAAAAATAGAGTAGGAAAACCATTGCATGACTTTCATATTATGCGGATATATCTAGTTATCCTACTCCTGTAGGTAGTGTTTTCATGATCAAGCCCCACTATATGGAGAACGATAGGCGAAACTCAAGTCGCCATTTGAAAATGCTCTCTTATTGCGCGTAAGATCAATAAATAGAGGATGCTATATTACCACACCCCACCAAAGCAGGCCATCAACCACAGCCCCCCAAGCTAGATATAGCAATCATGTAGCTGTTCTCAAGCCAATTCGATGGCCCACTCGATCACACTCGAAACTCCACTCGCCCCATCCAGGCGATCGAGGGGACAGTATAGTCAAGGTTTGTTCCATGGAAATGGCTGCTTCAACCATAAATAGCACAATCCACCAAAGTGCCGCCGAGATTTTATAACCACTGGACCAGAGATAGATCCGATAATAGCCCAAAGTCAAGTTGCTCGTTCTTCCACTGTATATGGACAATGTCCACTGCCATGCAGCCGATTGCTAATCCAGTTCCATTTCTCAGACATTTATACCATCCTCAACTCTAGAGTGGCCAGGGCTTTCAGGAGATATACAGATATACCACATAATCCGGCTTGAAGAAGGTATAACGGGATCTCGGCACGTCAAAGGAGGGGCCACGGCGTCGCTCGAGCGCGGGGTTTAGAGTATCGTTTCCAGTGCGGTCAAATCCCGATAGGGCACGCGCATAGCATTGTGAGCGGTCGTAATGAAAAGGGGGATTATAAAATTGTGTCAAGATGAGAGAGGGCATTGTTCTAGGCTCATTCTGTCATTCTGGTCACGTCAGCTCTCAGGTAAGTTAGTATGAAGCTGTTTGCTGAGCGAGACATGACCCAAACTTGTCCAACATCGCAGATGCAAGAAAAAAGTGTTGATAGCCCAAAAATGCAAGAGGACGTCAGTCTAGGAATCATAGTGATTGCGAAAGCCAATGTGTCATTGTGGCAGAGTGAGAGGAGATTGGGCCAAGATGTTAGCGAAGCAATTTGATTGCCGAGCGGAGAGATGCCCGCACTCACTTCAAAATCAACATGTGACTTTTCAAGCCTTCTTTGCCTCAGGCAACCAAGGTTTTGCCTTTGCCCAAAAAACCCGAAACCTCCTTCCGATCGGTCCCCATTCCTCCCCCATCCCCACTCCGTCGATGTTCCGGGGCCGCGTTGAATCCATTCTGTTGTCTTTTCTGCCCTTATTTTCGCGTTCCTTAATACATTCACTTTCTCTTTTCCAAAAATGGGTATCCCGTACGTGCCTCTCTCTTTCCGATGCTGCTTGACGCTGTCGCATCCGCCACCTCGTCGCCGCATTGACTAACATGTTCCCAGCATGTGGCGCGAGCCTTCCGAGGCCGATTTAATCAAGTCTGCACTGGAAAAGGACTCTACTGCTGCGGGGCGATCCTCGATTCGCCGTGCGAATGCGACCCGGCGTCCATCATCGCACACTACCTCTCGTGCGCGCCGACTGATGTCCACGTTCCATTCCCAGATGCTCGACGAGATTCAGCGCGGGATAGCAGAGCCTCAGCTCGGCATTCGCTCGCCTGTACTCAATCTAGGTGTTAGTGAGGATGGATTAGATCTGGATGCCAGTCGACGCGAAGCTTTGAGCCGTGGTGCCACGCGTTCGGATTCTCAACGCCGCAGCGAACACGCCCGACGCTCGCGTAGCCATCGCGAATTTCAAGACTACCTGGTCGCTCGAGCTGACGCTCAATCGCGCAATTCCGCTCGTCCTCATTTGACCCCCGGCTTTGCTCCAGCAGTGGCCTACCGGACGTCGACTTCTCCACACCCACCGTCGGATAACATTCATCTCCCTCCCCTTCCGCTTCCTTCCATGCGCCCCTCTGCGACCCGCCCTAACTACAATAGCTTGCCCTCCGCTATACTGCGAGACTATCGTAACGGCAATGCGCCGAGCCGAATGCCTCGCGATTCCACCATCGATGGTCTGGGAGATCGCCAGCGGAGTCCAAGCCCTGATGTGGAGCGCGAAAATGATGCATGGGAGACTTTGCTATCCACTATCACTCCGGATGCAAACCCACCGTCCACTGACACGTCCTTCTCATCAATGGTAACGGCTGAAACTCGACGCAACGCGTCCACGCTGGCTTCGTCTATGCTCCCACCAAACTCGGCCCCCACGAGCCTCGTGCATTTGGCGCTTGATCCGTACCCTAGCACCCTTCATCCCTGTGATCTTTCTTCTTCTGACGAGGATGATGAGGATACTCCGGTCAACTATCATCGCTACATAAATTCCACAAATCCCACAGTCTCGTTACTCCGCCCCGGCGTGTATTCAACCATGAGCAGCCACCCTCCTATCCCCACAATCTCTTTTTCCCTTTCCGACTCAGGCGATACGGATCTCCAACAAATGCGGGCCATCCTAGACCGATTGGCTCGTCGAGAGGATATTCCCGATGACTGGTGGGCCGGGGCTGGTCTCTCCCGCACCATTGGCCGCGGTCTCAATGCCGGTATCGAGCGCAATGAAACCGAGGGCAACGAGTGAGATCGCTGGTGTCTTCTATCTCATCTATACTTTTAATGACGGCGCTTTCATTCTGTTGTTGTTTTTTGGCCAAATTTCGGGAACTGGTTATTCATGGGGCGTTTTCTTCTTCATAAGGTTCAACCCGATCATCGGCGTTCAAGGGAGAATTCAAGGGGATATCTCAAGGGGATATCTCAAGGGGATAAGGGCTGCATTTTTCAGATCATCTGGGCTTCATCCGCACCGGTTTATCCCAAAGTGTTTCTTTTCTTGCCTCAAGGGAATGATTCGTCTTGACTACACTGGACTGTGGTCTGCTTTGTTTTGCTCGTGGCCGGGGAGACCGCCGAGCTCGGACATCTTCATCCTCATGTATTCATATATAACTAGGGCTTGATCGCCAATTCAAGCCATGTCGTTTTTAATGAAAACACATGCTTGCGCTGGCAATGGGGAGCGGATGATGTCATCTTGGGCGTCAGATAAGCTTCTAGAATAGTTTCCAACGCGGGGAAATGAGATATCACAAGCCTGATCATTTTTGCGTGTCAATATCCTCTACACATTCACCCACACCACTGGTCTGGCATGTTTGGCCTCAGTGGGCTAGGCGGTCGATTTTTCCCAATCTTTTGTGACGTATGAAATGCCTCGGAGCACAGCAGTCCCCACCGGAAATCAGTCATGAAGAGCCCCGCCAAATCCGTTATCGCGATCCCAATTCGCATTCATTTCCCCCATAAACCAACGCCCATCCCACAAAAACAGGTCACAATCTGCCATTCTTGCATCGATACCGTCGCACACTCACCGGAGTCCCATCGCTGTTGCTTTTGTCGCCTTGACTGAACGAGCCGACACCGGAGAGCTCGTATCACCTCCGCACGCGACGACCACCTCCTCATCTACACATCCGACTGCTCTGCCGGTAGGCATTTGCCCATAGTGTCTTGCATCGATAAGAAGACAGGAGCCGGGCCCGTTACTACCGGCTCTCAGGTCTCTTCCCTCATTATGGACGAGCAGGTTGACCGCCTGGTCAAGAAGATCTGGGGTAAGTGGGATGAACCTCCTTTACCTCATTGGGCGTGGATAAAATCAATTCCAGCATCAACATATATGCCTGCTTCAACTTATACCAAACCCATTCTACAAACATACCAGACTAACCCCATTCTCCTTCCGCCAGCAAAATACTGCTCCATCCCAGACAACGCCCGCCTCATGATAGCCGTAAGCGGCATCCCAGGCTCTGGCAAAACCGAACTCGCCAGCACAATGTCCCAACGTATCAACCAAATCCACGCCTCCGAAAACCCTTCCTCCACCCTTCCCATAGCTACATCCCTCCCAATGGACGGCTACCACCTAACCCGCGCCCAACTCTCCGCCCTGCCCGATCCAACCCAGGCCTTTGCCCGCCGCGGCGCAGCATTCACCTTCGACGCCCATAAATTCCTACATCTCGTCCGCGCCCTCCGTGAACCACTCACGCCATCTACAAAACCTATCTATGCGCCTAGCTTCGACCACGCGGTCAAGGACCCCGTCGAGGATGACATTGCTATCGCGCCGACGACACGGGTGATCTTCTTCGAGGGGAATTATTTGAGTTTGAATAAGGAGCCGTGGGATGAGATTGCTGGGTTGATGGATGAGTTGTGGTTTGTCGATGTTGATTTTGAGGTTGCGAGGAAGAGGTTGGTTAGGAGGCACGTTAAGGCTGGGATTGCGGCGGATGAGGTCCAGGCGGATATCAGGGCGAGAGAGAATGATCTGGTTAATGGAAGGGAGATCGTGGATTTTAGGTTGCCCGTGCAGGAGGTCGTGTCGAGTATTTATGATCCGACTTGGGAGAGGTTGTGAGTATAGTATATGTTGCCCAGGAGGACCCGTTGGTGGACGGGGTGAGCATGTACTAGCATTTTAGAATTATCTGACTTGTCTGATGTCGATCTGGCTATTATATGCTCTCTTTTGCATCCTTCTGCAGTTTGAACTGGAAGTATAAATATAGAGAATGGATTAAAGATTCTATGTTGTTCGAGCTTTTGATCGAAATGTCTACGAGTGTAGGTGGATCGTGCTAGAGTCAAGCCTGGAAGCCCTATCAAGCACGGCAACACCAATGGCCCGCCAGTGCAGTTTATTTGCTTCCTCGATATGAGTAGATACCTATAACTAGTATTGGATTTTAAGTCCTACATAATCTTCTACTGGCTTCCCTTCTTACTCGTGCGGCTGTCCCATCAAAAGTATAAATGTACGGTGTGAATGTCTGCAACGAGGTTCTACTCCATCTTCGTTGAGATCATGTACCATCTAACAATACATCGCCCTCTACACATAGACCATAAATACAAGACCAATTTGCCCACGCTATCTCAAACGGTCCCTGTCACTGTAGTCTCGCTGCCAGTGATTTTAAGCCTTTAGCACTCCGCTAGTCTTATTAATTTCAATTAAATACCACCGAGACATGACATAGCCGCAAATAGTAGCATTTTCAAGACTCTAGTTGTGCCCTTCGAGTTGGTCGAGGATACAGAACAGAAGTATTGTCGATTATGTATACAAAATAATTACCATTCTTATCTGGCCCTACCTAGTCGCGCGAAGGCACATCTGAAGGTAGAACATCGGTGACGATCTAAGTGATGCTAGCAAGACCTGCTTCGTTAATTGTAAGTCTCTTGTGTACCAAAGTTAGTCAAAGTCCGAATGAAGCCCCGTATGGAGATACAGTAATTAACTTGCGAGTCAACAATCTTCAGTTTCAGGGTCCCTGACGCTAGTCCTCATTGGGGGACGGACATGGGGTAAGTTAATTACGAACGTATTGGCCATTACAGCGCATGGTATTGTAGGGTAAGTATCTCTAACTAGCTCTCTCGCACACTAAGTACTTCACGTCCCGCCCTCTGCACAATACTCATACAGTCCCCATACATGCAGCGCCACGGCGGAGTCCACCATCGCAGCTCGTCCATTGGACACAAGCCAACTGCAACTGGGGGGGCCAAAGCCCACACTTTTCCCCTTTCGATAGACCCTGTTTCTTTCCCTCCCCGTCCACTTTGAGATCCGACTCCATCTTCTCCTTCGTCACTCTTTGTCTTCTACCTTGCGCACCCTCGTTTACGTCGCAAACCCAGTCGCTCCTTAGCCATAAACCACGGTCCTTAGAATTTCCAACTCACTACCAACACCTTCCAAATTTCTCCACCCAGATTCGCTGTGCGATCCTATCTCCGTCGTTCCAATTCTCGTCAACCTTTTCGTATCACCATGTTCTTCAACAAGTCTACCCTTGCCCTGGCCTTTGTGGCCTTGGCCACCCTCGTCTCTGGCCAGACTCCCGCCTGTCTTCTGTCGGTTATTGGGTATGTGTTTCTTGTCGATATCGGCACGATTGCGCTGTCAATCATAGTAGCCCCTCGACCCAACATTCCGATCGCGTTCTGGAATCGCTGACATTCTGTGCCTCAAGTAACTCGGCCAACCCCGCCGACCTGACTACCCTGTGCGGTTCCGACATGAAGAACATCGAATCTCAGATCTCGGACAAGTGCGGTGACAAGACCCAGTCAGCCCTGAAGTTCTACGCCAATGTTTGCAATGCCGCTGGCCACAAAGTTGGTAAGGATTTCCTCACGGTCATCGCCAGTGCACACAAAAGCTTCACTATAAACATTCTTTCGGCGATCAGATTGTTGCGGGCGGCTTCCCTCGTGGTGTACAAAAGTACAATTTGCTGATTGATTCTCCACAGACATCTCCAGCGTCACTTCCAACTCTACCTCCTCGGGTTTCGTTACTGCCACCGCTACCTCTGGCTCTGCGACTGGTACTGCTGGTGCCTCTGCTACTGGCACTTCTACCGGCGCGCGCACTAGCGGCAGTACCTCTGCCTCTGGCGCCTCCGCTCCTACGGCCACTACCAACGCTGCTGCCGGTATCCAATTCCAGGGCACTGCTCTCGCTGCTGCGGTCTTTGTCGGTGCCGCTGCCCTGCTGTGAGGCTAATCCGAGATATGTCGCTTGAACCTTTTGCAACGCACCTTGGGATATATTGTTAGATATTTGGCTTTCTCGATATGCTATGTTTCGGTGTTATCTACCCCATCCTTGTCCTCGGAGAAGCCTATTTGAACATTTGTCAGATTGTTCAAATCGTGTTGCTGCACATGTTTTTTTATTCGCTTCTAGGCTCCGCCGCCTGTCATTTTAAAAAGGCAAAATTGATTGCTATGGTGCTTTCTTGATACATGCCTAGACCCCCTTTTTTGGATGATGCATGGAGGTGCATGGTTGCCCCGGGTGTCGAGCAGTAAGGGAGGAGTCGAGTGAGTCATGATAGACTTTAATCGAGTATCTTATACAACTGTACCTCCAAGTAATACTCCGTAACCCGAGTGACATCGGGTTGTCTGAGCCCGGAATGCGGGCGTCCGCTCGGCGTCAGGACTGCCGGTACCATGCGGCCTCCACAGTGGGAACTCCATCCATCGCGTGTTCACGTGATGAGCGCGATCCAATTATTAATATTACTCAGCGCGGTAATTGAGTGGTAAGCAAAGGGAGCCGAATCAAGCCAAACGCGAAAATTCACGAGCAAAAACGCGTCTGCCCTGGCGACATCAAATATCCTCGCCCCTCTACTCTTTCTCTCCTTCCCATCCCACCTCTCTACCTTCACCTCCCTCCTCACCTATCCTCTACCCCCTCCAAATACCATTACCCCCTCTCAATTTCCCAGTCTAATACCTTCTACTACACTCTTCGCAATTCTTTATACCCCTTTGCTCTAATCCATTCTCCTCTCGCTTCCCTTCCTTGCACTCGCCAAGATGTTCGTTTACAAGCGAGGTAAGCTTTATCAACCCTTGACGCCGAAGCTGCGTGGCTCTGGCTGCGGGGCAGACGCGTTTGACAGCCATCATGCACGGCGAATGGCTTTGCCACCCCCGTCAAATTGAAATACTGACGCGACTATCCTGCAGACGGACGCAAAGAACGCGTGCAGTTCGACAAGATCACCGCCCGTGTGTCGAGGCTTTGTTATGGCCTCGACCCGGAGCACGTCGATGCTGCTGCCATTACGCAAAAAGTCATCTCTGGTGTCTACCAGGGTGTTAACACCATCGAGCTGGACAACTTGGTAAGTGTCATTGCCGCTGTTGTTCGACGCGGTGCCAAAAAATCAAAGACCAGGGGAAATGCTAATGACTCGTTCTACGACAACAGGCTGCCGAGACTGCGGCTTACATGACCGTCACACACCCCGACTACGCCATCCTGGCCGCTCGTATCGCCGTTTCCAACCTCCACAAGCAGACCAAGAAGCAATTCTCCATGGTCATTTCCGATCTCTACCACTATGTCAACCCCAAGAACAACAAGCCCGCTCCCATGATCTCTAAGCACATCTACGAGATCGTCATGAAGCACGCCGATGAGCTCAACTCTGCCATCGTCTACGACCGTGACTTCAACTACAACTTCTTCGGCTTCAAGACTCTGGAGCGTTCATATCTTCTCCGCATCAACGGCAGCGTTGCCGAGCGTCCTCAGCACCTGCTCATGCGTGTTGCCGTGGGTATCCACGGTGAGGACATTGAGAAGGCCGTCGAGACCTACCACTTGATGTCCCAGAAGTACTTCACCCACGCTTCTCCCACTTTGTTCAACGCCGCCACTCCTCAGCCGCAGCTGGCCTCGTGCTTCCTCGTTGATATCAAGGACGACAGCATTGAGGGTATCTATGACACTCTTAAGACTTGTGCCATGATCTCCAAAACCGCTGGTGGTATTGGCCTTAACGTTCACCGTATCCGTGCCACTGGTTCCTACATTGGTGGAACTAACGGCTCCTCCAACGGTATCGTTCCCATGCTTCGTGTCTACAACAACACTGCCCGCTACGTTGACCAGGGTGGTAATAAGCGTCCCGGTGCTTTTGCCATCTACCTCGAGCCCTGGCACGCGGATGTCTTCGAGTTCCTCGATCTCCGCAAGAACCACGGCAAGGAGGAAGTCCGTGCCCGTGATTTATTCTATGCCCTGTGGACTCCCGATCTCTTCATGAAGCGTGTTGAGGCCAACGGCGAATGGACTCTGTTCTGCCCCAACGAGGCTCCCGGTCTTGCCGATGTCTATGGTGATGAGTTTGATGCTCTGTATGAGCGCTACGAGAAGGAGGGTCGTGGCCGTAAGACCATTAAGGCTCAGAAGCTGTGGTATGCTATCCTCGAGGCTCAGACCGAGACTGGTAACCCCTTCATGCTGTACAAGGATGCTTGCAACAAGAAGAGCAACCAGAAGAACCTGGGAACCATCCGCAGCTCTAACCTGTGCACTGAGATTATCGAATACACTGCTCCCGATGAGGTCGCTGTTTGCAACTTGGCCTCTCTTGCTTTGCCCACTTATGTCGATGCTGCTCGTGGCGAGTATGACTTTGGCAAGCTGCACGAGGTTGTTCAGGTCCTGGTTCGCAACCTGAACAAGATCATTGACATCAACTACTACCCTGTCCCCGAGGCCAAGAAGAGCAACTTCCGTCACCGTCCCATTGCCCTCGGTGTCAACGGTCTGGCCGATGCTTTCCTTGCTCTGCGTCTGCCTTTCGACTCTCCCGAGGCTAAGCAGCTGAACATTCAGATCTTTGAGACCATCTACCACGGTGCTCTGACTGCCTCCGCCGAGCTGGCTGCCAAGCTCGGCCCTTACGAGACCTACCCGGGCTCTCCCGTGTCTCAGGGTATCCTGCAGTACGACATGTGGGACCGCACCCCCACTGATCTCTGGGACTGGGCTTCTCTGAAGGCCAGAATCGCCGAGGTTGGTGTTCGCAACAGTCTGCTCGTTGCCCCCATGCCCACTGCCAGTACCTCTCAGATTCTGGGCTTCAACGAGTGCTTCGAGCCCTACACCTCGAACATCTACTCCCGCCGTGTCTTGGCTGGTGAGTTCCAGGTTGTTAACCCCTGGTTGCTGAAGGACCTGGTCGATCTTGGCCTGTGGTCCGACAACATGAAGAACCGCATCATCGCCGATGGCGGTTCCGTCCAGAACATTCCCAACATCCCCGCAGACATCAAGGCTCTGTACAAGACCGTCTGGGAAATCTCCCAGCGCTCCATCCTGCAGATGGCTGCCGACCGTGGTGCCTTCATCGACCAGTCTCAGTCCTTGAACATTCACATGAAGGAGCCCACCATGGGCAAAATCACCTCCATGCACTTTGCTGGCTGGAAGATGGGTCTCAAGACCGGCATGTACTACCTGCGTACCATGGCCGCTTCGGCTCCTATTCAGTTCACCGTCGACCAGGAGCAGCTTAAGGTCGAGGACACCAACGTCGCCCGCGCCAATTCTGCCTACAAGAAGCGTGCCGTCGGCTCCGGTGGCTCCGCCTACTCTGCCATTCCTCGCGCCAACGGTTCCGAGGACGTTGCCGCCCCCGTCAAGACCAACCCTATCCTGGAGAGTCCCCGCACTGTGGTCGAGCCTACTGCCACTGTTGTCGTCCCTGCTGCCAATGGTGCCCAGTCCGAGGAGGCTACCGAGGGTGAGACCGAGGGCAAGTCTGAAGAGGATATCTTCTCGGACAAGGTTCTCCAGTGCAGCATTGAGAACAAGGATGCTTGCATCATGTGCTCTGGTTAGAATGGGTAAAATTTTTATTGTTCTGGATTTCTTTACACGATTGTCATGTTTGATCCCCCTTTGTCTATTTTCTTTTTCTTTTCCTTTGTCATCCCCTGTTCGCACCGGTTTTGTGTGATTTATGTATCCATATCATGAGATTGATGCTAGTTTTCTCTTTTTTCACTTTAAGATTTCTTTTTTCCCTTGATTTTGAAGGATTTTCCTAGGCGCGAATACAATTGGTTCTTTCAATAGCCTCATCACCACCTAGACTCGAAATCGTAGGATATTCCATGGTGGCACGGGTATAAGCCATAGCCAGACACGCTCCAACCTCTTCTGTTTCTGGAAGGCTCGACAAATTCAGCTGCGATTCATCCAGGGCCAAGATCATCACCGGGAGTATTTCAATACATCATGGAGACAGAGAGGGCCAGTGTAGTTCCAAACCGTATGTCGGCGGTACGGTACCAGCCCAATATCGTTCCAGGTAGCCAATTCGCCAACGAGCTCCGTGGGCATTTTTTTATCTATCAACCAAGTTGCTTTGATGCAGTTTTTTCATCATTAGCACTGTGGATCGATACACCAATGTGGTGAACGCCCCGTGTGAACGGAAATCCACAGTTCTCTCTAAGACGCCCACTTGGGCATGCAAAACACGGCAGCACGCTCATCAACAGAGGCGGATGATGGAGGCTACTTCACTGGCAAGTAGTGCCTTTCTATTCAGCATGAGTACAGCACCAAGAACCCATGACAAACTCAAGCCATGCAGGCCACGAGCCTTTAGCTTTCTCGGAAGCCGATAATGATAATCGGGACAACTAATCAATGGAGGTTTATTTAGTTAATGAAAGGGGTTGGCTGGTTATCTAAGGAAAGTCAAAATCAGCAAGCAAAAACCTTATGTAACCCTGAAACACAATTTATACTGCCGTTGCATCAAAAGAATCATTGACCCTCTAACGCTGATTTCATCCACCAATATTAATTAGTAGGAGAACGCGGAAATCTCGGGGTAATTAATTTAGCTTCTGCCGATCAGCCTTAGTCACGCCTACTATGGAGTATAGCGGCACAGCTTTCACTTCGTATCCAGTAATGTGATTGTGCAATCTCTCGGGTATCTGATCTGATTAGGCTAATTGTCCGAAAATCTAAGATCAAATGGTACCAAGACTACGAATGAGTTTTAGCACACCCACTACACACCCCTCCCTATAACTGGCCTGTCTCCTACCAGGTTGCTCTGCAAGTCATAGTACAATACGCCTAGAGCATTTAGACTGCCTTTGAAAATCCTCCCTTGATTATCAAATATAAATTTGAGTCAGAACTGTCTTTTTGGTATGACTAATATCGTAAAATCGGTGCTTGGCTGATATCTGGGCATAGTTCAAACTGGCAGAATTTTATGTCATAAAGACAGTGTAGGGTCTAGGTTGCTAACAGTTCGGAGATTAGGCGCCGGGGGAGATTAAGGTTCGATGGATCGTACCCGCTGTTTAGAGATGTCTCTGATTAAAATCTAATGGCATCGTCAGCGGAGGTTGGCCGAGCGGTTAAATCAGAGGCGAGCTTAGAGCGTCTATATGTCAGGCATTTACACCTAGAAAGCATGATTCTTCTGTGGAAGAATTAGCCGTGCCCTTCGCTCATTGATCTTACCATTGACATTCCTTTGGTTCAATTTTTCATTTCTTCTTTTCTTGAAATGTTTTGTTTTCCTTTTATTTCCTATTCTTTGACAATCGTTACGCCTTCATTCAAGCATCATGAAAGCTCTCCGATTTTTACTCCCCTTACTTCCTTTGGCATCCAGCTTCAGCCACCCCGGATTGCTGGTCGCTGAATCTGATCTGACCCGGCTCCGAGGGAAACTCTCAGCGCAGTTGGATCCATGGCAAGCTTGCTGGAACAAGCTTGTCTCTACGTCCCCTGCAAACGTTCCATACACCGCCCAGGCTGTGAGCTCTGTCGATCGCGATAACGAAGCTAATGCCGATCTGCTATGGCAAGATGCCGCTGCAGCCTTCGCACTAGCTCTTCGCTGGAAAGTCGAGGGGAACACCTCGTATGCGGATGCAGCAGCTGATATTCTGACATCCTGGGGCAAGAAGCTTACTTCCATCGGGACTAATGACGATCAATACCTTATAGCTGGTCTGCAAGGCCACCAGTTGGCAAATGCCGGCGAGCTTTTGCGGGACTACACCCCCTTCCGAGAGAATGGGCTGGATACCTTTCGGACGATAATGGTCGATGTCTTTCTGGCAAAGAACATTTACTTTCTTGAGCATCGGGAGGGGTCGGAGCACAATGTCAAGCACTTTTTCGCCAATTGGGAGCTCGCGCAGGTAGCCTCTATCCTAGCGATTGGCGTCCTCACCGATAATACGACTACATAGAATTTTGCTGTTAACTATTTCAAGAACGGGACTGGAAACGGTGCAATCAACAACGCCATAACAAATATTATGGAAGAACCAGGTACAGGCAATTCCCTCGGCCAAGGGCAAGAAGCGGGCCGTGATCAAGGACATTCTGCCTTAGACTTTGCCCTGCTAGGAATCATCGGACAACAGGCGTGGAACCAAGGTGAAGACTTATTTACGTACAATAACAGCCGCATTCTCCTTAGGTTAGTCTGCCACATTTCCTTGATGTGATAAAATCTTTACTAACACTATACAGGGCCGAGTACTTTGCCCGCTACAACCTAGGATACGACGTCCCCTTTGAACCCTACACGAACGGCATAGTCAGCTATTCCGAAATTGGCAGTGGTTCCCGTGGGAATGTTCGATAGGCATGGGAAGTGCTCTACAACCACTATGTGATAATCAAAGAACAAAAAGCACCCTGGACGACACAATACCTAAACAAGACGTATAAAACCTTTGGTGGATTCGAGCCCGGCTCTGGATCTTCCGGGTCTCCTAGAGTCTCTGGAAATTACGATACACTAGGATGGGGTACCCTTTTGTATCATTTGATCGAATCCGATGTGGCTTCGATTCGTGACTCGTCAACAACGAGCTCTGTGGTTCACAAATCGTCAACTCATGCGGCTTCAGTGGTAAAAGTCCAAGAAGCTACCACGTCTATTTCTGGCAGTTCGGTTTTCTCATCCGGACCAGCCACAACAGTGTCAGCTTCAACTAGGCGCCCAGAAATCACCACGTCTACCTCTACTAATTCGGATTTCCTACCTATATCGGCCACCACGGCGCCAGCGTCAACCTTGAAACCCCATTCAGACCAACACCCCCATGTTCACCACCACCACAACCACCACGACCATATTATTGATTCCCAGGGGAGCGGTTCCTGTCCCTCCTTGCCTAAGAATCAATAGGACGGGATCGGGACTTCAACGGGGACAGAGTGTTGATACGATCGGCAAGGCCAAATCAAAGATCTTCGGGAGCGTGTATTTATCTATTCGCTACTTGCAAGCTATTCTTCTTGTCTCTTGTGATTTTGTAGCAGCTTCGGCATTTTTGTTTCGCCAATTCCCTCCGCCTAGTCGGCCGCAGTCAAGCCAAAGGGTCCGAATCGTGTGTCCGCCACCTGACCCAGTCCTGATGCGATGGTTATTAGATCATCTACAGTGACAGCAATATGCAAGGCAGTGCCTTTGGGTTCCAGTTCATTGATATCCACGCCACTATCCAGCATGTGTTTAAGGAAAGGCAAAGCTTCCTCTCCGCGCGTCAGTACATACTCGAAAGTCCTAGGACTGAAAGTTTCAAAACTGGCTCTGTAGGCCACTAAAAGCCTCATAGCGGCTAACTTACAGTCAGCGTTCATTAGGATTTGGGACAGGGTTCAAGGATTACGATTACGCATTGAAGGAGCGCCTACTAGGTGCTCAAAGTTGTGTATGGGTACTAGGAATTAGTTAAACCGCCATGTCAAAAAGAGTACGCATTTCCCTCCGCAGATTCCCCTCAAGACTATCCCAATCGATAGGAAAGCTCACGTTGTTCACCAGAGAGTACGTTCACATTACCAAAACAATGACTCTCGAAGCGGCCCGGGCCTTGGAACAACTCAATTCAGATGAGTCAGACAACTTTAGATTTGACTATTTTTATCTCTGGTGAGGGAGCGACCAGCGATCCAGATCCAGGCCGATTCGCAGAATTCTTTCGGGCGTGTCAAAGGCAAAACGGAAGCGGCTTGGATGGAGATAGAGTCCAAGAATCCACAGTTTTGAGCTTTGATCGTGCGCCCTGCATTAGTCGACCCGAAGGGTCACCAGGCCATCCTTCCATGGATACCGCAAGGCTCGGTTATAAAGAGCCTGGGAGAGCTTGCTTCCAGTTCTGTCACCCGAGGCTTTTCGAAAGGGACGCATAGGTCGAGTGCTTCTTTGGCCTTAGGACTAAGATATTTAGAAAACTTATACAAGTTCATCTTTAAAGTCCCATTGTGTCTATACATTAGTTTTATGTAAACTAATTAGTTATTATTTATAGGTCACTATCGAGGTTGGCTGCGAGAGTACCTTGATATTGGTAATACTCAGCCACTAACTAACTTCTTGGCTAGGTTGCCGCTAGGTGCTTATGATGACAAGTTAAAGGGTAGGGATGTGGGAAATGCTTGGTCCCCCTTTCCCTCTTCAACGCGATTTTTCTGATTTCTCAAAGACTAAAGGCGTCTCATTTCTCTTCCTCTCTATATCTTAGATGGACTGCGATTCTCGTTCTCTATTGATAGCTGCGTTCCTGTGTGGCTAAACCGGATTGAAGGAACTCACCGCACTATCATTCCTGCGACCCCTCTTCAAGCCACAGCCTTCCGGCCCCCAAACAAATCGCCCGCCACGAGGAACAGCTAACTACCGATCTTCTTGCGTCGGAAAACATGGAGCCCCATATGTGTTACGACGATGTCGCATGGGAACAATCCCACGATGTCTCCGATAATTGATTGCTTCAGTTTCTTGATATCGATGCCAAGAGACCAATTGCGAAGTTTATCCTGAAGCATGATTCTGGCGACGATCCTGAGTTTACATTTCTTCGAAAAGGGTCTTTCAATATCACATTACAAATGAAGTACACGCTTAGCGCGACCAATATCCGTTTCTCACAGCCTGGCGCTATTCTTTTCCCGAGGAGAAAGTTAAGAACGAAGTTGGTGTGATGCGATACATCTCGGACTAGACACAAATCCCGGTTCTATTCATTCTTCACTCGGGTACAAGGGAGGAGAGCCCTCTTAACCTGAGCCCTTTCATCATGATGAGCCATATTGAACATACAACTACTATGTAGGATGCTCTTAACATGCTAGGATGCCTAAATGAAGAACGGGGAGTCCTTAACCTAAGGATGAATACCATCTTAGAATGCTATACATATAACTAGCAAAAGTCCTACTTCAGCTTTCTAGGCTGGGATTTTTTCAAATAGGGTCCCTTATCTAGCTAGATGATTTCTCCTGGGAAGTGGCCAGCCGACCACTATTAATGAATATGAACGAGCTTGTATGTTTAGTGACGCTGCCTCGGTCGAAACTTCTGCCTCTAGATGCCACCTTCGAGACTACATCTTCATACATTGAGGCCCTGGCACAGCTCAACATCCAGCTTTTGCTCAATCAAAGAAATGATGTAGTGTAGTCTGCAGATGACTGTCGTCGGAAGTTTGTGGCAAGACTGCTGTTTCAAAAGCTCGCCAGGGATAAGAAACTATCTCTGCCGTGTTATGAGAATGGCCCATTCAAACTCTGGTGTGATGATTTCCGGCCTGCCAATGTCCTTCTCGACGAGGATATGTCTATCGCTGGTGTAGTGGATTGGGAGTTCACTTATGCAGCACCAGTGGAATTTTCATATGCGCCACCATGGTGGCTCCTTATTGAGAGGCCGGAGTACTGGTCTGAAGGGATTGAGGACTGGACCCGAACATTCGATCGTCGCCTAAACACATTCCTCACGGCAATGAGGAGTTGTGAAGATATGGCCGTTCAACAAGGCCAGCGCCGGCTCTCGGATCAGATGCAACGGAGTTGGAAGAGCGGAGACTTCTGGGTATCGTATGCGATTTTGCACAGCTTTGCGTTTGACTCGATCTACTGGCAGAAGATCGACCAGCGGGTTTTTGGACCCACAGAGACCGACGATCCTAGCGACGCCTGGAAAGAGCGGATGGGCCTGCTGGATGAAACCCAAAAAGGTGACATGGAGCGGCTGGTGAAGAGGAAGCTTGAGAAGATGGAAGACAGGGTCTTGGCGTGGGACCCGGATGAGTATACTGAATCATTTCGTCAAAAATTGATGCGGACGAGAGAAGAAAAAGCAAAGGTGAACAAGGGCCTCCTGAATAGATAATAGACTCCCAGGACTGAGTGCACGGTAGACAAGAGCTTTTCCCTAAAACCACTGAGGCCCCGTGTCCCCGGACTTGCCACCCATCTAGTTGGGGAGGTTAGTGAAAGGCAATATACTTTCGTCCGTGTGACTCTACTTCTATACCTCTATATTTTGCCTTTTGTGCTTATATTTTTGTTTTCCATATATTCACTTCGGTATTGTATTCATTTTCTGATAGAGTTGACTAAGAAGTGACGGCCATGAAAGGACTTATAGTCACAGTTGTACTTTCTTACTCTCCCAACAAATCCTTCAATACATCAGCAGGTGTCCGTTTCGGAGGAGCAAGCTTCAAGATCTCCTTGCTAGTCGTAGAAGTAGAGCACTTTCCCTCCCAAGAAGTCTCAGCAGCGCGCTTGACCGAATAGATGACGTTTTTCGACTGCTTAGTTGCCGCATACTGGTACTCATACAGCATATCAATAAACGAGAGGTCCCCATAGCTGACATCCTTGACAGATGTACCGATATACTGCTCGACCATCTCGACGATCCCCTTTCCGGTGATATCCTCAGGGCCATTGAGGACATATTTGGCCTTGTTGTGAACGGAAGTATCATCCTGGGCTAAGAGATATGCAGCGATGACGCCAACCTCGTCAGGATCGATGATGCCGGTCGGTCCATCCTTGGATAGAATCAATCGAAGTGTATCTTGCTCTCCAGTCTTGCGATATTTCTTGATGAACTCCGCAGCAGGGGACATCACAAATGTCGTGAAAACATTCGGCTGGAGGGATGTCCACTGCAATTCTTTGAATTCAGGCGAACCGAGGAGAGTCTCGATGGCCCAGTGCTGGCGCGGGTAGTAGGCAGGGCAATCCGGGCGAACGTTTGCTGCAGTGGTCGAGATACGCACAACGTACTTTACACCGGCGTCTAGGGCGTTGACATAGAAGGTCGACTCTTCGGCAAATTGGTTGGGTTCATTGTGAGAGGCAATATAGGCCCGCGCAACTTGGTGTTCGCGAAGCCAATCGGCGGTGATCTCGACCCAATTTTGTTCGACCACTTCGACTCCGGGGATTTTGGCAAGCTCTTGAGCTACCGGGCTAGTGGATGAGCGAGTCAAAGCAATAATGCGGTGTCCGGAAAGAGTGGTGCTGGATTGAAGGAGTTTGGGCAAGGTCTGGGCAACAGCTCGGCCGGTATTGCCAGTTGCACCCACGATGAGAATTGATGGAGTCATGACGTTGAAGGAAAGAGGGTATAATCCACGATGGGAAACGGACTGGATCTGAGAGGCTTTGTTAAATATATATACCCAGTATTGCTTCTCAATGTTGATGAACGGCAATCTCCAAATTCAGAATTATTAATGAGGTTCAGATATTCGAGTCTGTTTGTGGCAAAGACGAGAGAAGATACTCGGCCTCCCGCCGCCCGCCGGCCTCCCACTCAACTCATGACACCCTACACTGGGACCCTTTCCTAGTTCTCTGCTGACATTTATTGTGGGTCACCTACGGTATACTAAGTCGCTGTTTATGAGATCTCAGGATTGTCTGCAAGAGTCTGGCACATCCAACGCGCCTCAAAGGGAGATTCAATTACCCTCACGACCAAGCGGTGGGGTACTGGCGGGAGGCCGGGAGACTCGCTCGACAACTCAAACACCCACACGGTGCTCGGCAAAGCCTGTTCGCTGGGAGCACCGGACTATATGAAACACAGAAGCTTGTAGGGCAATACGATTACCCGATGCAAGGGTTTGGGGCCGAAGTTGAGTTCCCTCAAAGTCCTTCGGGCGCTTTAGGATACGCACACGACAACGTCTTCAGGTGTCACTATCCTGCTTGCAATGCCATTTACAGGCGCAAAGAGCATCTGACCCGCCACGAAGCGTCCAAGCATGCTCAACAGCAGGAATTCATATGTTCTACTTGTGGACGCGAATTTACAAGAAGGTATCCATGCACTTGCACTCCAACCGAATAAACTCGACTCTAACCCCCAAAATCTTGGAATTAGTGATACACTCCGACGCCATGTTCAAAAGCAACACAAGATTACAGAACCGCTCAACCGTGCACGACGAGCATGCGCAAGTTGTCATGCAGGCAAGATTCGATGCGCCGGGGGCGTGCCGTGTGAGGAGTGCGTCCGTCGCGAAATTCAATGTTCTTTGCAAAGCCAGTCGACTGCTAGAAAAAGACGACATCGCAGCTCATCAAGCTCACCTCCCGTATCTCCAAATACTCCGAACTTGAATCACTCGGGGTCAACCCCTAGTGAGAAGATGAGAGAATACATTAATCGCTATTTTGAGGTATTTCACCCACGTTGGCCGTTTATCCATAAAGGGTCCTTCAATATATGCCGCGAAACTCCATTACTTCTACAAGCAATGATGGTGATAGGCATGTGGGTATCGGGAGGGCAATCTGCGCAGTCGGCGGCCATGGAACTTCATGATAAGCTTGATTCTGCTATACGAGATCAGAGGGTATGTAGAGTCTTTAATCTATAGACTACGTCAATTGCTGATATGGGAACAATAGGAGAAATGGGATGCCTCGGAAGTAGAAGGGGCCAGCAGCGCCTGCTTCTGGCCAATAGCAACATATCAGGCTATCCTACTTCATATCATTTGTTCTTTTATCATGAGAGCTGGCGGTGTTGTCAACCTCGACCTCAAAACCTCTATCTCCGCTGCGGATCTGGATCTCCTCCAATCGCTTGTCGGAAGCTGTCAAAAATTGGGCATGTTCTCTTACCCGAACATGCTTAACAGGTATGCTGAAGCTGACATGGCCTCATATGTCTGGGTGGGGTTAGAAGAAGTCAAGCGGTTTGACATAGCACTGTATAAGCTGTGTATGAAGCTCAGCTCTGGCCCAGAAGACAGGCAGTTGCTACCTGCAAGTGGACTTGATTTCCCGCTCCCAAGCAATGATCTCTTGTGGCATTCAACCGAAAGACATGAATGGGACGCTCATGCGAAGAATGAGAACACGGTTAATCTGAACGACGATTGTCGGGCAAAGTGGATTTCCAATTTTGCAGATGTATTACAATCTATTTGTTCATAAATAGACCCTCCATATTATTACGCAATTATCTTTCCTGCAGCAAGAACGACGGCTTTCCCTCAGACCTACAAAGCCTTCCGCGATAGGAGACACCACGCACTCATAACACTCAAAATACATAGCAGCTTCCATCTTTTCTTGAACTCAAAGGTGTTCATTCGCATACATGCCGCGTCTCCGCACCTAAGAGCTGTGGCAATTATACAGCGCAAAATACCCAGCTGGGGAAGCCGAGCAAGATATTCCTACTTCTAATTGCGCGACTGAGGTTATTAAAACTGAATCTAATGTTCATGGCTTTTCAATATCCCTTTGCTCTTATCTTTGATTTGAATAATATCTACTTATCTTCTTAACGCTTGTGCCATGCAAAGTGGGCTCTGATCTGAAAGTGCCAATTGCTGAAGAATGATAACAGTCGCCGATCTAAACCTGACCCACCAGCTGCGGGCGGATACCTGTGGGAGACCGGTGGGAGACCGGTGCATGATATGAATAATATTGCATTAAAAGTAGTCAATGGTGGCAAATCCGGAAATGATGACCTAAGAGCCACCAATTTATCATCGCAAGCGGGATGCCGGTGGGAGCCGAGAAGCCTTACTAAGGACTCTTAAGACATCAATTCCCAACTAAAAGAAGCTCAACAACAATGTAATAATCTGTTACTCATCAACTATGATGCTAGGTGAAAGCGTCATGGCATCACTCTAATCGGAGCAAAGAAACAGATAAAAAGGTCGACCGTCCTGCCAGGCGTAACGCAATTCTCAATACCAAGTCCCATCACGCCAAGTCAGGACCCAAAAAGCCAACTTATCTCGTGCCTTTTGTTACTAGCGAACCATGACGCAAATGAAAGCTGCCCGAGTTGTTAGCACCGGTAGCAAAGCGAGCTTAGAACTCCGTGACGAAAATATACCGACTCCGGGTCGCCATGAAGTTCTGATCAAGGTCCACGCAGTTTCACTAAACTACCGCGACACGGCCTTCTTGAGGGGAGAATATCCCGCGAAGACCAAGGAAGATGTTATTCCTGTATCCGACGGTGCTGGCGAGATCATTGCGGTTGGCAAAGACGTTACACGCGTTAAGCAAGGCGACCGCGTTGCAGTCTCTTGTTCTGCGGATTGGATCGGCGGTCCCTTCCACGAGGACTACACGTCCAGCAGCGTCGGTTTCAGAATAGACGGGATGTTGGCTGAATACGTGCTATTCAACGACAGCGCTGTCGTCCCTATCCCTGATTACATTTCCTACGTCGAGGCTGCCTCGCTCCCTTGCGCAGCCGTTACTGCCTGGACAGCGCTTAACAAGATTGAGCCCCTCCAACCTGGCCAGACCGTGCTCATTCAAGGGACTGGCGGAGTCTCGCTTTTCGCACTGCAGTTTGCGAAGATCTTCGGCGCTCGTGTCCTGGCGATCACCTCGTCGGATGAAAAGGCCGCCACACTCAAGGAGCTGGGAGCCGAGTCCGTGGTGAATTATAGCTCCTGCCTCGACTGGGACCGCGAAATTCTTGCTCTGACCAATGGAAAGGGGGTTGACAGGGTGCTTGATATTGCTGGGGAGAAGACTATTGTGAAGTCTGCAGCATCGACAAAGAAAACGGGTGTGATCGTCCTGATCGGATTTGCAAGCGGCTTCGGCGGGGGTCTTCCCCCAATTGACATCCTTGCTCGAAGTCTTACAGTGACGGGATCGCAGATTGGTTCACGAATGGACTTTGAAGCGATGCTTCAGGCGATGGACACGCACAAAGTTAGGCCTGTTATTGATCAGGTCTATCCCTTCGCCGAGTATCGCGAGGCATACCGGAGGCTTGAAGGTGGACAACACGTTGGAAAAGTCGTTATCCAAGTGGCGGAGTAGCTGGATATGAGACACTACGATGACAGGGGCTTTTTCCTTGTTCCGATAGCATATGTAACAATAAGCGTTCTGTCCGCCTTCGATTGTCACACAGGACTGATAACCCACACTGGTTTTGTCTCTCTTTAAAGGCCAAGTTGTGCTGTAGCAGTACTAAATTGGCTTTTCCAGGTGGTGATATCTTAAGACTTTGATAGATGCTGTTATTTCTTAGTATTTACTTGTTCTGGGGAGGGGAATTCACGCTGCCTAATTGCAAGATTATGTGGATTAAGCATATGGCTTCTCCATTTCGGCTCATATTTCCTCAAAAGTAGTTATGAAGTTCCTCTCGGGATGTATTCTCTTGCCAGCAGCGTATAGATCTGCCATGCTCCGGTATATTGTCTCTGCGTATATACACACTCATGATGCATCACTGTATCTTAACCTTGCTCGCTCGCTGTTACCTATTTTGCCCTGGTCATGATTAGTGCCAGGAAGTTCTAACTGAGACTGATCATCATCGCCCTACTTGATCGGTTCAATCAGCCTCGAACTTCTTATTAGCAATGCTGGATATGGCGCCGAGTATCAACAGCCTTCGTCACGATCTTCTCTAATCTTTGTCAAAACTCGCCAGATTGGCCATCTGTGAGAATATCGAACAAATACTTTGACACATTACCCACAACAGTTTGCATCCTGCACTGAATAGACGCTTGCTGGAGTGTAGCGATCAAAGGAAGGCAACATACACCGACACACTTTCTCAGAGTCAACTGCGGCAAGATTGCAGAGAACCTCCCTGAGTTCTGTATCCGAGAACAGAAAGTTTGCCTGATAGATATTCTTGTCACTTTCCCATGACAGAATGGCTAATCACAATCAATCGCATGCCCCTGGCAACAGAAGAATTAGATGCAAGTAAAGGCACCTGATGTTGGCCTGCACCCTCGGTATCTCTCTAGAAATTGTCTCAAGCTAAAATTTAAGCTTAAGTGAGATTATTCAAATACGAAGACATAAGCTTATTATCCCAGGGGTAAGATATTAGAATTCTGGTCATACATTGCCATAGTCTCAGGGTCTTCTTAACGTCAAAGATAGAAAAAGGAATGTCAGTCACCATAGGTAAGAGCGACGAATCGTCAGATTCAATTCTCGACCGATAGAATGAGTACAATATACAATGCCTAGCAACTCGTTCTCAAGTTCACCCAGAAACCTACCCAGCCTGTCCTTCTCCCCCACCCCCTCACACACAATCACTCCTCCCCTACCCATCATCCCACCGAAACTCGCCTTACCTACCATTCTACACCCTCCATCCGCCCCCGTCTACCCGACGACCCCCGACATCGCCTCACAAACTGGCCAGAACGGACCCGCACTTCCATTTCCGGCGATGACATATCGCCCACCTCCTCTCCACACACACTTTGTAAATTCTCTGCGTGGGTCTTCTTTCTTCCCTGGAATAACTTTATTTGACGTTCAAGCCACGTACAAGTACGAAAGGGTGTGGTTCCGAGTCCTCGGCATCGCTTGTGAGGGGATGGGAGGGATGGAGGGGGGACCACTCATCCATCCATCCATCCATCCAGCATTCCCTGTACTGGCCGATGATGTGCGTATAGCCTCGCCACGCTGAGTAAGGGTTCCTTTGCTTTCTCTTCTCTGGTTCTATGGCCCTTTTTTGGGGGGGATTTCTTCTTTGGGATTCCCTTTTGCGGTGGTGGAGGTTCGGGATACTCTTTTTGTAAATGGGTTCTGTGGATGAGTGGTTTTTGGGTGAAGCATCTCTTTTACGTGGTCGTGGAGGCTGAGTTGAGTTCTTGGAGATGGTTGGAATCGACTGGAAGCGTGGGAATCAGATTTTTTTTTTCTTCTCTTCTCTTTGTTGGTCGTTTTCTGTCTTGGCTCGAAGGCGAGTGGCGGGGAATGGATTGGAAGATTGGAGAATGGAAGGGGGTGTGTCGGGCATCGTTCTGAGTGTACTCCGTAGAGAGTGTCGTATGTGCCTCATAGTTCAGTTCGTGCGGAGGTTAGCGTGTCGGAGAGCCGTCACAGAGACAAGCACACACTAGTGAGTGTAACTCCGTTTAGACTTGAAACGAACGGCGGGGAATGTCAGTCTGCCACGCGTGCATTCCCCATCGTGCATTCCCGGGCAATCGAATCATCGATGCGATCTCACATTGTGATAGCGACTCCGCCGTCGAGAATGAGGGGTATACTCAATCCCGACATCCACATTGACTCTCGTCGCTACGTACGCTCGGTATTCCCCCCGAATACAACTACCAGAATGACATACCCATATTCGCCCCCTCACGCAAAACGCTTCGCAACGTTGCCCAGCATCAAGCAACTGCGCCGACTCCCACCGCGTCTCAAATCCCGTAGGTACAGACCCTTTGCCGACCGTTGAACCCGTGGTTGTCCGGCCTACTTCTGGGGTGATCGTCCGGTGGTGTGGAGCGACCACGACTCGGAGGAGGAAAAAATGAGAGAATGCCAGAGAAAAAGAAGGACCCGAAGAGAGGGCCATCCAGACATTCAAATGGATTGGACCCGTTCCAAGTTGGGGGTGGGTTCATTGGCGCAACAGGGTCTGTCCTTGGACCCCGCCCGTCGGGTCTAGAACGTTTGTTCTGTTGGAGATCGGAATCGGTTTCATCTCAGTCTGCGACCGATTCGGAAGTGGGGGAACACCGGAGACAAGGAAGACCCCGCGGTCTGCTTTGATTCAATTCGGACTTTAGATTTGAGCGATGGCATGATGGTCGGGAACAATGGAGGGATTGCATGTTTGATGCTACGTGCTTCAAGGGCAAGGGCATTGAACTGCATCGCGGATGCTGCTTGCGGTGCGGAGCCCGTACCTGTGCTAGCCGTTTCATCAACACGATCGCCACCGGTCAACCCACGACCCGACTGGCTCCTTTGTCTAGCGCCCCCACAACTCGGTGTGAAAGCGAGATTCGACCGGGCCTCGGGTGGGCCAGAACGTTGGGAGGAGTTCTCCCCCCCCCCTCTATTGTCACAATGTGGAATTCACGTCACTGGTGTCTGGGGAGTTGGGTCTCGCTGGATACAGCGCAGATGTAATCCGCACACACAACTCCACCGTTGACCTGTCATCGGTCGCATCTCCGCCATGCTGTACGGTGGTGTAGACCAGGCCCCGGGGGCGCCTAGTTAGATGTCGGCTGCGCTGTAGAATACTTATTTCGTCTCATGGGCACTGCCAATTGTACACATAGCCTGGCGAGAGAGACCCGCCCGACGCAGGTTGAGGAGGACTGCAGCGTAGGACGTGTCGCGTAGCGCTCCGTGGTTTGCAAAGGCGACCGATTGCATTTGGATGTGGCATAGGGCATAGGGCATCATCGCAAAGCCCGTCGAGCGGCGAGGACGGAACCAAAAGAAAGCGCACAGAGTTTTCAGTTTGACAAAGGGCACCTCTGATCTCATATCTCGCCGGAAATGGTAAGCCTAAAAGAACGTTGGGAGCCGGTGAGAATTCGGATTGAGAATTTAGCATTTTGCCGCCTTCCAAAGAGTGGAATAGGCTTCCGCACTGCTGCTAGGACCCGTGCTTCTGGGCTCGGTCGGTTTTCCTGTGGGCTTGTACAAGGGACAGGGGTAGACTGTCTACACTTGTATATACAGCGGACGTGTCTGGATCTCTCTGGATAGGTAGACAGTTAGTACAAACACCCAGTGGCCAGCAGCCAGCAGCCAGCAGCCAGAGACCCCTGACGTGTTCCCCGTTTCTGGGGTATTCATTGGCTGGTCCACCATCGGCTGAGGGAGCCGCCATGCCCAAGTCTGCCTAACGCCCGCCGAGACGAGTCGCGCTGAGTGGCACACGCCCCTGCGCCATCTTGCGCCGGCGCAACTTTGTTGTCCCAATCAGCGGGCCTGGTCTTTAGTTTCCGAGGGGTCCGAAGTGACGGTAATCAGGTACCAGGCAGTCATTTGTCGGAAGATGTTGGGGAGCTGGCACTGTCGGTTCCTGGACCATTGCGATTATGAGGCATATCCAATGTTCGATGCCGAGGCGACATTCCGATGACAGGGTTTGGAACGGAAAAGAAAAGAAAAAATTAAAATTGAAAATCCAAAAAGTCATTAAAAAAGGTCGGTGGCTGTGGATGTTTCCATGGTTCGTGTGGGAAAAAAAACGTGGTGGGTCTTCAAGCCCAGAGATTTCCCGTTCTTTCAGGCACTCCCTAGTCTAGACGGTGGGTCAGTCATCCGTCTCGGCTCATTATTTAAAACCTCCTTCCCACCCCCCCGGTCCTTCCCTTTCTCTCCTTCAACCCACTCACTACAACGGTCATTCCTTTACCGTCTCTCTCTCTCTTTCCTTGTACACTCGCGCTCTTTTTCGAGTGTCTTGTCATTCTCTACTGCTGCGCAGTTTGATCAGTCTCTTTTTTTCGCTACACGCCAAAAAACTTTTGACTATCACCCACCGTCTTTTCAGACACCACCAATCTTTCAAAATGGCCCCCATTTCCAAGACTCTCGCCCTCGCTGGTGCCCTCTTTGCCGTTTCTGGCTACGCTGCGCCCTTCAACAAGCGCGCCGTCGTTTGGGAGACCGTCACCGATGTCGTCTGGGAGACCGTCGACGTGACCACCACCATCTACCCCGGTGGCCACGCCACTGCCACGGTCATTCCCGTGGTCACTACCAGCTCCGTCGAGACCACCTCCACCGCCCAGGCCGCTCCGTCTGCCCAGAATCTGAAGGAGGAGGAGGCTACCACTACCTCCACCACCTCCGTCGCTGCCCCGACCACCACTGCCCAGGCCACCACCACTGCCGCTGCCGTTCAGGAGGCCGCCTCCGAGTCGAGCTCGACTTCGTCCGCTGCCTCGACCACTTCGTCCGCCAGTTCCAGCTCTAGCTCCACTACCAGCTCTGGCTACTCCGGCTCCTGCGACGAGAGCTCCCCTTGCTCTGGTGACATTACCTACTACGATACTGCCACCACTAGCTCCAACCCCAGCTCTTGCGGCACCACCAACGATGGCACCACCGAGCTCGTCCTTGCTCTGCCCCACGGTATCATGACCGACTCTGACTGCGGCAAGTCCGTTACCATCAGCTACAACGGCGTTACCAAGACCGGTACCGTTGTCGACAAGTGCATGGGCTGTGACAACAACTCCATCGATCTGTCTCGCGCTTTCTTCGAGGCCGTTGCTGGCTCTCTCGACGCTGGTCGCATCTCCGGTGTTGATTGGTACATCAACTAAATTCGCTAAAGCTGCTGCGTCGACCGCATGCGCGCGCGAGGGGGAGTTTTTTTTTTTACTGTGTTCTTGCTTTTGATGGCCATTCAAAAAAGTGTTTCTTTTCCCGTTGTGGAGAGAGAGACAAGATGATCTCTGGTAGATTGATCCAAGGCGTCGTTCGTTGTTTCTCCGAGTCTCGATGGCTCTATCTTTTTCTTTTTTTTTCTTTCCTGATTTCTTTTCAATACGTGATCTTGTCAATAGCCAATTGGCGAGACCTGGGATTGTGATCAGGCCCCCCCTTTTTTTGCCTTTCTTCCGGTCTTTTACGAACAAACCCCGTTTTCTTGATGTGGCGCGCCCCTAGTGGTGTTGCGCTTTATGACATTTATCTTTTTCATGTTGATAGAATTATGCCTTTCTACGGAGAGTCTTGTGACAATACTACCTGCGATGGAATCATCATCCAACATTTAATCTTCTCTGTAAATTATGTCCTACCAACAACGTATGTGATTAGTTCAGAGGCTTCGAGATGGACATCGTACTACTTTGAAACTATGCCCGTGCGCTCAATATTGGGCGCGGCTGGCGAGGAGAATCCGGCACGACTGAATATGACAATGACACTACCTGGCTCTGGTTCGATGGTCGACACAGCTATGGAGAACTCCACCCTTCTGTGCAGTCATACCTTCGACCTTTGAACTTGGACGTGAAATCACTCCTCGGTGGTAATGTACCGTCAAGTCTTGAATCCAAAGCATCTAACCATGCTCATCCTGATTGTCTTACTAGTCCTACCCTCCCCGACTTCATTCCCCGAGACAAGCTGCGACCACGTCCACGGCAACGGCGCAGTGTATCTCGTAAAAGGGTCGACTCCCCGAAAGTCCCATTCCAGCCTCAAAAATAAATCCCCGCTTCTTAATACTGGAATATTCATCATCCAAGTCCTATACCTAACGGTAAGGAGTACGGGCTTACATCCCAGCTGTGTCCGTAGCTAAGTATAGCCCCTGTGGCTGGGGCAGGGTGGCTGTACAAAACACCCCAGCTCCAAGCCTGAGGGCCCGCATTCCCCGAGTACGATCCGCAGTCCTTCGTACTAAAGTCAAAAGGGGAAGTCCAAGACACAAGCCACTATTACGGCATCACCCTCCCCCCTGAAACATATTGGCCTTTCGACCAATTATGATGTGTAAGTCGTGGAAGTGGAAGGTTAGCTTTGGAACTAGTGAAGTGAGGTTAGGTGAGGTGAGGTGATCGGTTGGATCTACAGGGGAGCTTGCGGTGCTGTTGCTACTGTTGCATGCCGCTGATCGTGATGTAGAGTGTGATGTACGGGGGTACGGAGACGTAGCCCCTATCTTTTTGAATGAGATGTGATCGCGACGGGAGACTGGGCTAGTGTGCCCGAGTTTTGATGGTTGGTTGCTTTGGTATTTTGGTATTTGCGCTTTTAGCCTGAAAAAAAAATATCTCATACTGAGCTGAGCTTGTAGCTTCTTGAGATACGGTGAGCTGGGCACTTTAGGTAAAGCTACGGGTCAAGTTAGTCATTGGGAGACCACTGACTCGGTTAGGGATGCTGGGAGGAATTGAGTTTTTGTTCCGTTGAAGCTGTTGCTGATCTTGTCCGAAATGGGGACTCGTCAAATGTGCTGGTACGATTAGTGCTTTCTGTAGTACTACTGGACGGAGTACAGTATAACTAATTTTCTGGTACCGTATTCGTCGGCTACCAGGATCGCTTTGTTTGGAGCTGTGATCGGCGACATGTATGGCTTTTGGTCTGACTTTTTGAGATTCGACTGAGATTAGTATGGAGCATGGAATGTGTTTTTCGCGGTCTATGATTCTGATCTAATGTTGATATCGTGGAATGACTATACTCATATCCTCAGATCTATCCATTTTACAGGGATGACCTATACAAGATCTGAGCCCCCTGCACTGGTTTCTCACTCTGCAAAGACGACATTGTTCCGCAGGGTGCCAATACCCGAGATAGACACGTCCATTTGCGTGCCCGGGACCAGATACTGGGGCGGATTCAAGCCCGCGCCGACACCTAGAGACAGTCCCAGTTAGCTCACTCTCTCCAAGACATTCGCACAAGATCCCTAGTCCTGGAGATAAACCCCCCAGGTCCCACTGAACCGATTTTCAGAAATATCCGCAGTCAAGATTTGGTACTCACCACCAGGCGTCCCCGTCATAATAACACTCCCCTTCTGCAACGTCGTCCCCTGCGACAAATAACTAACCAAATAAGCACAATCAAACAACAAATCACTAACCCCTTCCTCCTGCCTAACCTCCCCGTCCACAACAGTCTTCAACTTCAACGCCTTCGGATCCGCAATCTCACTCCCGGCAACCAAACACGGCCCCAGCGGCGCAAATGTATCAAATCCCTTGGAAAATCCCCATTGCGGTACCCGCCCAGCGAGCGCCGGATCGCGCTGCAGTTTGCGGCTGGAAATGTCGTTGCCTACGGTGTAGGCGGCGATGTAGGAGAGCGCGTTGGATTGGGAGACGTTTTTGGCGTCCCGGCCTAGTACGAGACAGAGTTCGCCTTCGTAGTCGGCTTGGGAGTCTTGGGCTATGGCTGGGATCTCGACGGGACGACCGTGGTCATGAATTGTTGTAGAGGGTTTGAAGAATATGAAGGGGAATGGTGGTGGGGTGCGGCCTGCTTCTTTGACTGTGATGGGAAGAGATTGTTAGTAATTCGTTTCGTAATGAGGATGTAGAGTTACGAGGTGAGGTTGAAGTATAGAGGGGGAGGGATCGTACTATGCTTTGCATAATTCAACCCCACACATCGAAGAATGGGAACGTCTGATGGTGCCAGCGGGCCGAGCATGGTCTTCACGGTGACAACTTCATCCGTGACACGAGTCGCACCGGTGGTATCGTAGATATCGGTGCCCTCAATAACCCGTGCCTGCAACTGATCGGCCTCCGTAATGAAGCCCAAATCTGTATCGGGAGTGGGGAGGATAGGCTCGCCGCGGAGGGTGCGGCCGTCCGTGGCGATGAAGCGGATTAAGCGTTTCCAGGGGAGGGACATCACGGGCTGTTCTCGGAAGGATCAATTAGACGAGAGACTCAGATAATAAGAATAGGTCTAGAATTGTTTTATATTGTTTTGTGAGGGGTTGGGTTTTGTTGGCGTGGTAGTGCTGGACGGGGGTAGATCGGGTATCCGGGTATACTTCCGGGAACGTGCCCGCACGTCTAGAGCGGACTTAACTCGGAATTGCGGAATATCAGTCGGGAGGAAATGGAGCAGTTGAACATTCTCAAGATAAAAAAGGGTTGAATTGAGCTTTGTGAAAATTGCCGGGTAGGGGGCAGCCCGACATATAGAGCAGGACCTGGGTGACGGAATCCCTTAGAAAGGACAGTTATAAGGTGGATGGGCCTAGAGGCGTTTGGTTGCTCTGATGAGGGACAATGATCTGAGGGTTTGCAATTTTTAGGAAGAGCAATGCGGGATAGCGCCTAATACGCGGAAGCTGTAGCTCAGCGTGCGTTCTATCGTCGGTTAGCATGGCTCCATTAGAGAAGCGTCTGAGAAAGAACCATGTACAGTCAGCGTTCGTTATTATTTGGAACATGGTACCTGAACCACCTCTCCTTTTGCTAGTGGGAAGAAGTACCATGTTCCAAATACCAATGAAAAGCCACTATAGATCCTGCAGTATACCTTGCAGATATAGCTAAGTTATACCCAAAGATAAGCTGGAATCACCCACCGACGTCGGCCCTGAGAGCCGGGCATAAATCTTGTGATCTTCGTGTTGGCTTTGCATCGACCTATGTAAGTATATGACGATCAGCAGAGTGTGAAGTAGTCCGAGCGTATATATGAACTGACTAGAGCTTATGAGACTTCGGGCGGTATCATTACTTTATGCATTTATATTGGATGAGATCTCCAGGTATGTATGGCCATCGATCATGATTTAAAACGCTTCGGCGTCGAGAATCGCCAAACTTTGTAAATGTTGAGTGGACCTGTTGTACAAATGGACGAAGAGAGGGTCGCCTTTTGGGACTTCGCCGACCACGTCCACTGGTACAACTGAAATTGAGTGCGCGGTTTTTAGGTATTATGGAAGCGGGCAGTAGAGCGGAGATATGCAAATCAATCCTTGTCGATCGTCGTAGTATATGTCGCTACGCGCTCGGTGCGTAGAAGGTATGGAAAGTGCTGCGCCAGGCTATGGCCGGTCAATAGCGTACGTCCACAAATCAGCAGAATCCATCGCATCCCGAATGCCTGAATGCTTTGATCACTGCGAATTTCCCTCGGCGTGGTCGAACGGTTCGCAACGCGTGCGCCGACTCAAAGGCTTGTCCAGCACGTTCGATTCCGGGTCCTCAGTTGCCGTGGTGGGATGTCGGGGAAATCCGTCTGGAACGAAGTTTGATCTGCCCGGTGTTGGGAGAAGATGACTTAAGTAGATCCTCCTCTTCTTCTGCAGCAACTAGTTAGCAGTGGGATCATCTTTTGCCTCTCGGCCTTTTCCGTAACACATGGCCGGTGCTGAATGTCGAAAGAGAATTGACTTCAATATCGGGACGCACGGATGAGACGTTTGTTGAGCTTGTCGGTGGCTAGCGAACCTAGATGCGTGTGGCTCGGAATGCCTTGCGTCAAGGCATGCTCTGTGTATATGAGGACCGATTCATCGCATTTTCGATGAGATGTCGTATCTTGCGAGCCGTCCAAATAATCTCAAGTCTGATCAATTTTGTATCAGTTCATATATGCATTTGATGATGGGAAGAGATTGAAGTAAACTAAAATTATGTATGAAGTGACTCGGCCTTCGGGGTGTTTAGTTTACTTTATATCAAAAATGTGAGACTACCCGAATGGGACTGCTAGATTAAACATGTAAGGTGTGGAACATTCGTAGCTGTTACCATGATTAAATGCTATCAATGGGAAATATTGTATTGAGAAAAAGCAAGGCAAGGCATTTACTTCGATCCTAGCAACCCCCGTCCCTCGAAGGACAAAAAAGCAAAGTAGAGAGATCTGGTTTGTCCCGCGGTGCGACGTTTCATTCCCCATATGTCCTCGACACTTCTCCAGAATCCCTCTCTTCATCCCATAGAGTCAAGCATTTTCGGAGTCGCTGGGCTCAGTTCTCCATGCATTCCAAGGCTTATTTGGCCGCAGTAGGGCGGCTTTCTGAGCCTCAGTGAACGCGATAGCTGGATCCTTCACGGGTTTGTCCCTGAGGATGGGTGGCCTCAGCGCCAGTGGCTTTTCCTCCACCACTTCTCGAGTCCCAGGGTCATTTTGATTGGCAGGGGCCTGGGATGCCGATTCTCTGGCTCGGCGCGCGGCCTAATTTCGGTTAGCAAGTCTTTGTCTATCAAGGCGTCTGGTAACAAACCGAATAAGCCCGCTGCCACTGCCTGCATTGCAGACATAGCCGGGCTGGACGAGAGCCTTTGGGACTCGAAATGTGAAAGTCGCCCGCTGGCTTGGGCTTCTTGCACCGGGTACAGGTCTGAAGTTGTTCAATTTCAGGCTCGAGTGGATTCTCGGCTGCAGGTGTTTCAGATGCAGGTGTCTGGGGTGAATTTTTGGCTGCAGGTGTTTTGGCTTGCATTTTTGAGAGGGGTGAGTGGATGGGTAGAAGGGACTTCGTCGGTTGATGTTGAGAATTGGTCTTGTGGATAGTGTGGTGAAGCTTGTGGATACAAGATATCAGAGGATTTATGTTTGATGGTGAGAAGTGATCTTGTCGAAAGTTTCGTGAAGGCTGTGGATAAAAGATATCAGAGGAGTGATGTTTGATGTTGAGAGGTTGATCTTGTTGATATTCTCATGAAAGTGGTAGATAGAAAGAAGATTCAGAAGATTGATGTTTGTTTGTCTCTCTCGTAGCCTGGTAGTTCTTCTCATCTTTCAACCGTGAAAAACCGAGTTCCAGGCTTCTGTTCGTACACGCCCCAAACAAACATCATCTCACAAGGCTTCAACTCCCATGACTCGATTTTCATGGATGGTATAGGTGCGGCTGCCTTTTTGAACCCAGCGGGTTGCTAGGAGCCTATCAGATGGAAGTATAAACCTTTGGCATGATAGGCTCTTAGATTTCTTCTTCTCAGGTGTTGGCTTTATATCTAAGCATGGGACTGCTCAATAATTGTATGGAATTTTTCGAGGGTTACTTTATAAAGTTATGTACGGCCAGGTACGGCGGAATTGCATCCCTCAGAGAATACCTCGAGATATCACAGAGGTTTATTGCAAATTACAAGAAGGATAGAACAAAATTGAAATGATCGAAAGGAAACAATGTATTGAATCATCCGGCACGCAGTGACTATATACATAACTTGTAGAGAACACGACGGAGATGCTCCTCTATAAAGGCCAAGATAATCAAGCACACAAAGCGCACCAAGATGCCCAAGTTGGAAAAGCCCAACAACAATGATCTATCAAACCCTCCCATCTCACCCTCACAGGTGAGACTTGACAACCCCCTCCACCTCCCCCCAAACCCGATCAATCTCCCCCTCCGCATCATACCCATAAGCCCACATCTGCGTCGCCGGATCAGTCCACTGATTCGGGCTATGAGCCACAAGTTCGCCCAAAACCTCAGCCCTCATCGCCCGGTCACGAGCCCGCTGCACAGGCCCATCTGGAAAATGCCATAACTTGCCGTTCAGCAGACTCGCTTCTTGCATCTTGGTTGCGCGGGAGATGCGCACTTTTTCGAAGATTTGGAGGGCGTGGGGTAGGCTTGCGGATTGGGTTATCTTAGTCAGGGCGCGGGAGAGGGCGAGGCCGTCTTCGACGGCCATTGCGGCTCCTGGGATGGGAAGTTAGAGTTGTGATAAAGAGGTTGAGGGAGGGAGAGGGCTTGCCTTGGGACATATAGGGCAGCATGGCGTGGGCTGCGTCGCCGAGGATGACTAGACGGCCGGTTGTCCAGCGTGATAGTGGTGTTCCGCTGACGAGGGGCCACTTGATGGTGGATTCAATCATACTAATGATCTTTTGAAGTCTGGATGATATTCAGTATGGTGGTCTTATTTGTGTGGGACATTGATTAACGCACCGTGAATCCCACCCATGGAATTCCCGCTTCATATCACTCAAGGCAGTCGTCTGATCCCAGGTTGATGGGTCTGTATTGTCCGGATGTGAAAGAACCATGTTGAAGGATTTGCCTGCGCCGATGGTGTAAGTCATGACGTGTCTTTGGTCGCCAATCCTGGACTGGAGTTAGCCCGTAGTCAGAAGAGGGTTGCAAAGTTGGCGAATATACCAGATGTTCAGGTTTGGTCTGTCCAGGAGCCATGAAATTTCTGGGTCGGCTTTCATCTTGGCAACGTCGACTGTTGCCCGGTATGCTGCGAAGCCTGTCCGCTCGAATTGGGGTTGACCAGATTCGTCGACTAAGCTGCGCGCAATAGATTTGACTCCTGCCAGATACTTAGCATCGTATATAGAAAAAGTGAGCTGGAACATACCATCAGCAGCGATGATCAGATCCGCCGACGCAGATGAACCATCCGCAAGAGTAATACTTCCCCCTACGGCATCATACTTGACCACCCTCGCCGCAAGCTTAATCTTCACACCAAGATCCAATGCCCTTTTATGCAGCGCTGTATGAAAATTCGCGCGATGAATAACATAGTACGGTGCACCAAAGGTCTCCCGGAAATTAGGTATGAGCTTTGTCAATCCGATGACATCGCCAGACTCCCAGCGACGGAACGAGATGGTCTCGGGCTCGGTTACGTATTTTTGGAGATACGGGTCTAGACCAAGTCTACTGAGGAGGCGGGTTGAGTTTGAGGGGATTTGGATGCCGGCGCCGACCTGTCAGAGTAAGGATATGCGTTGTGACTGGAGTGTGCAGACGAGGGAACGTACTTCTCCAAGTTCTGCGGCTTGCTCGTAGATGGTGACGGTGTGTCCGGTGGTAGCGAGGGCGATGGCTGTTGCCAAGCCACCTAGTCCGGCGCCGACGATGATGATGTTCAATCGGATGTGTGCCGTCTGGCTGCTTTCAACTGTAGGTGGAGAGTTGAGAAAGGCGAGGCAGTTGCTGGGATAGCTTGGGGTCTGTAAATGTTATTTAGTCTGAGTCGTCCTTCGACTCGGTTGTAGACGAAACTGACCTTGAGAGAACCATTAGGCAGAGCCTCATCAAGCCGAGTAGTTGACGACATATTCCGATAGCAAACGCAAATACGCGGAATTTGATCTGTGATTTGGTCTACCGCACGCGCCCGCATAGCTTATAATCACCTCCTTCCCCGCGATCACAACCGCCAGCCGGGGATGCATTCCCGACGTATACCCGGTGCGTGCATCACGTATCCGATGCCTCGATGAACCCCCGAGTATAATATTCGGCATCGCTATCGAACATGAATGAATACCAGAAAACATCAATTCCGAATTGACACTGCTCAGAAATCGATATCATGTCGACTACCGAAGTTGCTACCGCGATTGACTCGGAAGAGCAGCTGCTCGCAGATCTAGAGACGAGCAAGACCCTGCCACTCTGGAAGCAGATGGCACGATTGAACCCTCCCGCACCCAATCCAACTACAGTCCCATGTCTGTGGAAGTACAAGTCTATCCGGCCAAACCTGGAGCGTGCTGGGAAACTCGTTCCTGAGTCGCAAGCCGAGCGTCGAGTCTTGATGCTCGTCAACCCTGCCCGCGGTACGTACACTCCCCTTGAAACAATGTCTGCACTCACTATCGCAACTACGCTTCTCGTTATACTAACCACACACATCCAATCTAGATGCCCCCTACACTACGGACACCCTCTATGCGGGTCTGCAACTAGTAATGCCCAACGAAATCGCCCGCGCCCACCGCCACACGGCCTTCGCCATGCGCTTCATCATCGAAGGAACCGGCGGCTTCACGGCCGTCCACGGCCGCCGCATTACTATGCAGCGCGGCGATGTCATCCTCACTCCAACTTGGAACTACCATGACCACGGCAAGGACGGGTCTGGACCCATGGTCTGGCTGGATGGACTGGATCTGCCTACATTTAGACACTTCCCCGTGCATTTTGTTGAGCACTTTGATCAGCCGCGGTATCCGGCGGTGGACGTTGATAGTAAGACTTCGCCGTTGGTGTTTCCTTGGGTCGAGATGAAGGTCAGACTCGATGCCGTGGAAGGGGAGTGGGCGGCTTTGAGGTATCTGAAGAAAGATGGGAGAGAGGGTAAGTTTGGGTTCCCCCCCCTTTTTTTTTGCTTTTATTCTTGTTCATGCTCTGCAATATAATGTAGCAATACGTTATATTGCTCAATTTCCTTTGTACCCAATACTCATCGCGATCCATGGTCTGACCACCAGCTAATCTGCTTAAATGAATAGTGAGCCGTGTCCTAGGCGGAAGCGCCGAGCGCATCGCGGCCGGTGCGTCCTCGCCCTCCCGTCGCGAGACCACCTCGGCCGTGTATCACGTTATTAGCGGTCGGGGACGGTCGGTGATTGGGGAGGAAGAGTTTGTATGGGAGCAGGGTGATACTTTCTGTGTTCCTTCGTGGTATCGGTATCAGCATTTTGCGGGTGAGGGCGAACGGGTGTACTTGTATCGCTTTGATGATCGGCCTATGCTTGATGCGCTGGGCTTTTATCGGGCGGAGGGAATGGATGTTGAGAGTTTGGTATCGGATTAGAGAGGCGGTATGAGTATAGGGAGAATTGAATTAGATGGAATTATCTGAGATAGTTTGTTCCCAAATATTGGTATTATAGCAAAGGTTCTAGTACCAAGGTAGTATGCTTTTTCATTGATACTTGTGTTCTTTGTAGATTGTCGTTCGCCTGCTGTACGCCGGCTATATCACCATACTACTTTAGGTACAACAGATCTAGAGGCTTCTGAATATTGAATATTGTACTTAAATCTCAATTTCCAAATGCTATTCCGTCTGATATGCTCGTCCGCTGAGGCGTTCAGTGGGGGTTTACCTTTTTGCCGTTCGTTTCAGAATTGCCCCACTATCACCGTTGGACCGGAAGACCGAAAGTCAGGCCGAGTACGATATTACTCGACCATCACACCAAGCGTTCTTCTGTGCAGGAGCAATACGGAATACTCAGGAGTAATTCAACTCTTTTGACAGCCTTTGGTTGGTCACAAATGTGAAAAGAGCAAAAGAAAAAGGAGAAATCCAGCGGTTATGCGCCACTGCAATCACAAAAGATTAAAAAGAGCGTGGACTACTCCGTACACTATGGAGATGACTCCTAGATACAAGGTTGAGGAGATTGGAATGGAATATTCCGTGATTTAGATTGTGACCGGGTTGCATACGCGCTCGATCTCCGTGTTACCCTCTCCACTATGACACGGTATGTACCGCAGTCGAGATGCAGGTCAGCTTCTTCGGATGCGACGTACCGAATGCAAGTTGAGAAAAAAGGCGAATATGAGGGGGCTTGATCATGAGTTTTTTTTGGTGGTGACGACGATGTTCTAAAAACGATATGGCTGGTGTGAAAGGTCTCACATGTGACGAGGCCGGCCAGCGACAGTTTTCTGGCAGGTCTCGGCGGGAAGGACGAGTACTCCGTGCACGTACAGGATGTACGGAGTACTTTGTATGCTAGGTCAGATCTAGTTAATTACCAAGCCCACCGTGATGTAGTAGTAAGCATACTTCGTGTAACTAACGTAATCCACGGCCGACCGGATCACACGGCCGACCGGATCACCTACCCCTATAAGAATATTTCAAAATCGATTATCTCAACCAACACCTATCAATTCAATTAGATATAGCGATTTTTACATACATTAATCCTGTGGCCAATCTCCCTGCATCCACTACACCTAGGCGGAGCCCTAGCTTCTGGCCTAGTTTGCTTACTAGGTAATTCGACCTCTGCATTCGAATCTACCCTATTATCTTCCTCTGGCTTGTTTAGCTGCGTAGCTAGCTTTATAGCCTCTTTAATGGTTAAACCCTCTTCGTAGGGTATCTTCTTAGTTGACCGATTGCGCTTTTTGACTATCTTCTTATTCGCCATTCGCAAATTCGCGTTGTCCTCTGCTAGTAGTGCACTGCTTTGAAGCGCTAGCTGGAACCCCTTAATCATCTTGTCTAGGATCTCCTTTTATGGGCTCGGAGGGCTATTTAACCGCCGTTTTAGTAGATCTTTTAACATAGAAGCTTGCTTGAATAGCTAAGTAGCGGTTCTAGGCGTTTGTGGTGTGAATTCGCTAGATCTGCTGCTTGGCCGGCTGTTTAGTGGTGTTGGAGTTCGTAGAGAGATATTAAGCTTATTAAGTACTCTCTCAGCATCTAATGGTACTAGACCGCTAGCTGCGAAGCTGTTTTTGATAGTAGGATTGGTTGATTGGAACGCTTCTAGCCGCGCGTGCTGGTAATCCACTAAGAAATCGTGCTTGTCGATATGGTTATATCCTCTACGCGCAAGATCGCTAACGAAGCGACCGTACGCGCGCTTAACCACTGCAAAACACCCAACATCTAGTGGTTGTAGTAGATGCGATGAATGCGTAGGCATGTAAAGAGGTATAATATCGTTTTCTGTGTAGATTCGGTCGAATTGGGGTGTAAGGTGGCTACCATGACCATCAAGAATCAATAGCCGAAACCGACCTCGTACGCGCGAATTCGTATATGGTATAAAGATCTTTTGTAACCAGCGTAGGCTAATCTTATGGGTAGTCCAACCGTTGGCAGAGACCTCGATTCGCCAGTCTTTCGGTAGATTTTCGTTAAACCATCCTGCAATAGCCACTTTGCCTTTGAAGACTATACATGGCGGTAGTGAATAGCCATCTGCGCAGATTGCTTCGATCGCAGTAACCCATTCGCGATTTCCTGGTTGTAGAAGACGTGGCCGACCGTAGTATTCAGCTCTTGTAACCACTTTCTGCGAAGATATAAGGCCCATTGCAAAGCCTGTCTCATTAAAGTTGTAGATATCCTCCGGTTGTATACCCTTGTCATCGATTGTGCGCTGTACGGTCGTAAACCACTGCCGAATCGATTTCGGATCTTCGTTTAGGGCTCTTTGGTAATCATATCTTCGCGAGAAGCGAGATCGAAGCTTATCGCGGCGTTTAATAAAGCTTGATGGCCAATTGACACTAACAGTAGGCGGAGGGTTACTACCGCGCGTAGTAAGTAGGATATTAGCCATTTCTCCCACAGTAGCCGGTCTAGGCGCTGCTCCACGTGAATCCATAGATAATATCCACTCAGCAAGCGCATCCTCTTCGGTTTGGGTCAATTTATGACCAGATGGGCGCTTATCAACGCGTGAGACGCGGCCATCGGCGCGCGCATATAGGGTAGTGTAGGGTATCTCATATAGCTTTGCTGCTGCGCGGATAGAAGAGATACGGCCCTCTTTTAAATCAGAAAGGGCCAATAGGATCTTGCCCTCTTGGTTGGCCAATTTATGGCTAGATTCACTGCGAATTGGTGGTATGGTAGGTGGTTGAATTAATCAGGTTGGTAGAAAGACGCGAATTTAGAAGGGGTGATCCGGTCGGCCGTGTGATCCGGTCGGCCGTGGATTACGTTATTGATTAGGTGGAAGTATGGCCATTCTACTGTACTCCGTACGTATCGACTGATACGCCTCGAATGGTATACTGGTATACCTTAGCCGAGCTCATCATTGACAACGATCGAACAAGCCCTGAAAAGGGGACTGGACCCACCGCAACCCGCCACTTCGGGCGTGTCTGCGGTGTATCGTGGCCCTGAAGCCGGAGTCCGCACCTGTCCACACGATTATACGAGAAGTACAGTAGGTGGAAATTAGAATGAGAACAAATTACTACCTGTAACAAATTATCACATCGCACAAAGAATTAATCCTCCGATCCAAAAAGAAAAAAACCCTCTCAAAGGCCGTCACCGAAAACCCGCCACTCGGCCGTCCGATTGGGCGGGGAGACTGATGAGCGCAGCTGAAGGCTGCGCGGAGATCCCCGCCGTGCACCCAATGACAACCTCCTCCCTCGCCATCACCGCTGGGAGGTGGACCCTCCAAGAAGAGGCTACTCGATGGAGTCCATGCAAGGCAGTTCAAGTCCCTCAATTCCGAGACTTGCTCGGGTCCCTTGGCAGTTTTTTTTCTTTGAACTGTCCCTTTGGTCCCCTTCTTGGGGGGACACACGCCTGAAACTAGCGACCACTCAAGCCTCCCCCCGCTCATCGTTGCCCCTCATGGGCAACCTCGAAGCCCGTTCCCTTCGAGTGGAGATGGCCATGTTTCAGCCTCTGCAACGCAAGGAACCCGCCCACGGATGATTGGCCCATTACGCGGTCCTTGTGCAGCAGTTCCTGAGGATCTTGACTATCTTGGACGTGTCTGGCTGGGGTGGATTCCCTTTCTGTTGCCGCAGTATACTGGGCTGGGACAGAAGGGGAATTAATCCGATGAGCGACAGCCTTGAGAGACCCAGCTCTCTCTTTGGAGTCTCCACTTGGACTGGAGTTTGTCTGCACGGGGACGGAGACACCCTGATGGGATGAGGGTTCAGGGCAGGGTGTACTACAGTACATATACGATTTCGCGTGCTGCTCATTCTCTCTTTTTTCTTTCTTTCTTTTCTCAGCAGCAAGCAAGTCTTCTCTCTTTCACTCCCTGTTTTTCTCTTTTTATCGTGCTGGGCACTCCTTTTTCAGTCACGATGTTCTTCACCCTTCCACTCATTCTGGCTGCTGGCAGCCTCCCCCTCATTTCTGGGGCTCCAGTCGCATACTCTCTCTCGCGCGCCTCCGCAGATGTAGTTGAAGTCGAGCAAGCCACGTCCAGTCACTCCCTCAGTGGACGTAGCAGCAACCTCTACGAAGCCGTCTTTGGCGGTACCGGCCTGGTCTCCGATGGATGGCCCGCCGTCTCCAGCTGGATCTCCAGCTTCGATGACATGTTCGAGAACAACAAGGAGATCATGGGATCTTCCTGCTCCCAGTGGGGTGTCGCTGATACCACCGAGGATGAAATGGCCACCCTGAAGTCTGCCATCACCAAGATCGCCGGCGAATCTGGTGTCGACGCCCGCTTCATTCTGGCTATCGTCATGCAGGAGAGCAACGGGTGTGTCCGTGTGCACACGACCAACAACGGTGTCGTCAACCCGGGTCTCATGCAGTCTCACAACGGCAAGGGTAGCTGCAACACTGGTACCAGCACTCCCGAGAACGTCCAGAACCCTTGCCCCGAGTCCGAGATCGAGCAGATGATCCGTGATGGTACCATGGGTACCTCCGACGGTGACGGTCTGCAGCAGCTCATTGAGCAGAACGGAGGCACTAGCGACGCGACTGCCTACTACAAGGCTGCCCGCTGCTACAACTCCGGCTCGGTCGCTTCCAATGGTAACCTGGGCGCCGGTGTCGCGACCCACTGCTACGCTTCCGATATCGCCAACCGTCTCCTCGGCTGGGCCTCCGGTACCAGCAGCTGCAACGACAACACCATTGCCACACTTACCGGCTCGAACTGGAGCGGTAGCTCGTCCAGTAGCTCCAGCAGCTCGACTACCACCTCCTCCGCCAACCCCACTGGCGTGACCACCATCCTGCCCGAGTCCGCGGCGCCCACCAGCACCGCTACCAGCACCAGCACTACTGCCAGCACCTTCGTCCCCACCACCACCCCTATCGCAGCCGTCCAGACTCCCGTC